TTACGAAGTATCATTTGGTGCCCCCGTCCAAACGAGCTCCGGATCGGCCGAACCCGTCAGACTTCGGCTCGAATAAATGCCGTACGGTGATCGAACCCGGACTCGGTGAAAAAAAAATCGTGTAAGCGAGTGATCCAATGATTGCCGAGCTGGATGGCAGATCGCTATTAGGAGCGGCGCAGCACCTCGGCGGAATATGCGATGCGAGAGGTCTCACCAGCATGCTTGAATTTCATTACACTTATTCCGGTTCACGGCCAATCCGACGCCCTAAACTTTGAGCTAAACTGGAGGCGTTTCTGCTCTACTTCGCAGGTCTCTACAACCAGTGTGAGGCGTCCCGCGAGCCCCAAGCGGCTCGACGGATTAAATTGGTTGCCGGGTCTCCACCTTTTCATCATCATCGGAATGTTCCTCTCCTGCAAAGTGCAGTTATCCGAGGATGCCGGTTTTCCCTGCACAATGTTTATATGATGCGCCAGATCCACAGGGACGTGAATGCAGATCCTCGTCAATCTTGAAGGGTGTGCCTGGACCTTCACGATAGATCCCGATGCTAGGGTGATAAGCCAAGGATACCAACTTTGCCACCAAATTAGTTGACCCACGCCTGTTTGTAGTGTAAGTCCGAAGGGGGCACTCGAGCATATTTTGCATGGATTGTTCCTGGAGTCCTTGGCATGACATCTTGCATCCTTTCGATCTCAGGAAGACGGCACTATCCATAAACTTTTGTACTACTGATTCTCAAACGCTGGGTAAATCTTTGCCCCCCAGGTTCTGGGATGAATAGCATGACACTCATGCTTGAAGACAGGCTCTGTCTCTGCACCTCCGAACTACAAAATGAGGCCGGCTGACTTAAGAAGAAGGGGGGACACGGACGTGTCCAACTGGTGGGGTGGCTAATAAGTCGACGAACTAAAACATGGTAGCGATCGACCCCTTGTCAATCCCTGCCGGCAGTCCTTGAAGGCTTTGACGCGACATGATCCACGCCATGCATCGATGGATTACAAGGATCACATCACAACGGCACACAGAACAAGGGAGACTCAAGGCCTGGTCGGGAAGGCCTGGTCTCTTAGCCTTTCAAGCTCCCTGCACTTCCCAACTGAGCAAGTCCTCGAAGAGATCGATGACGATCATTTCCTCTCGAGGATATCAGAACGCGCTAAAATTCCACCACACTTTGGGCTACAAGTAGGAAGCAAATGACCAAGGACCTTACAAGGACCTTACACGACACTTACAAAGTAAGGACGAAACGTGCCGCTGGTGGCAAGCGAGATCTTTCGTCCGTACGGTTCTGACTGGGATCATGAGAATGATGGGACAGCCAGGCAAGGCGAGCATTTTCTTTGCGTGCATGACACAATGCCGACGCATGTACGCGCACATACACGCACGCACACACGACACGTATACTTGTATCCGTGGCGAACCCACTCAGCTCGAGGCAGTTTTAGCCATTGTGTAGCGCACCCAGCATTCCAAGATCTGGGATGTCCTCTGAACGGAAACCATGGCTGGATTCGGAAGTCCTCCCGGTCCGTCGATCTGCTCTGATCCCGCCATGTCAATTCCTGGCAGGGTTCCCTTGAGTTACTAGTTTAAATTATTCAGATTCTCCTTTGTGCGACGATCAAACACGATCCCTTACCTATCGATAGACGCCAGGGGCCCGGCCAGCCTTCATCGAAGGCATGATACAAGGAAGAAGGAGCCTTCGAGCGGCTGGAAAGATTTGCATTAAGCACCGGCTTCTTCAGGGCGCAATGGAGAGGCTGAGCGCTCTGGAAAATCGAACTAAACGCTCTCCCTCGAGGTTGTATGAGTACCTCGGCAGGTAGCTCTGCATGCCTACATTAGATCTTGGGTTCGTTGCTTCACTTGCCCCATTCTAGGCAGGTCAGAGTTTAGCTGCGTCAAAACGTCTTCCGAGGGAGACTCGCTCGGCACGATACAATTTTGAATGACTGCGAGCTTGTTTTGGCGCCCTCGGCTTCTCGTAAAGGCGTTCAGTTTGAAACTGCCGCGCCATTCATCTCGAGTTGTTCGGCCGCACCCGAGACTGCCGGAGGGGGGAGTCGATGTAAGGAAGGGGTTGGGTTCGTCTCGATATGCATCGCCTGTTCCGTGTACAAGTACGAAGACGGATCGAGCAGGTTTGTCAAGCCACCGGGATTGTTAGCGGCGCACAAGAGGGTGGTAACAAATAACTGCCTCCAAAAGAGCCCACCCACCGCCCCGTCGAAATCCCCGTCTTACTGCAGTGTACATACGCCAAGGACAACGTTGGAGTGTGTGGGACAGGTAAATCTTGCTCGCCCGGGAACGTTTGCCGTTGAGAATTTCACATCCCGACTTGCAGTAGTGTGAGCAACAGCAGGGAGGGAGAGATAATGGGGCCGTAAGAAGGCGAATTCTGGCGCCCCCCTCCTTCTCAGGGGCCGTGACCCGACTGGCTGTTTCCTAATATCACGACTCGCAGCGTAAACGGGATGAGGCCCCTGCAATCACAGCAAATGTGGCCGGCATTGATACCTAAGGCTCTTATGCCGGAGGGATGTCATCATCTGGACCGACTGAGCAGATTGCTCAACGGGATATTGCTGTACGTTTAACATAGCCAGGTCCAAGGTCTACAAGTCAGGTGCCAGATGCAGAGCTTGTTCGCACCTTGACATACCCACTCCCCTGTTATCAGTCTAACGGCAACCCTCCTCGTTTCGCTTTCGCCTGCCCCTTTCTAGATTGCAAGGGGTTATTCCTCCGCTGCCAGTTAGCCGGTTCGTCCTTGTACTAGGTCATCCTCTTGGTTGGCTCTCGGTAAGGTGCCGGGGGTCGTCGTTGCAGTTCCCAATCGTCGCCCTTCCTTCGTCCCTACCCTCCAGGTTTTACTAGGGGAGCAATTCCGCCCTGGATCAGCTTCCTCAACTAATCCCCTTTTTCCCGCTCCTGACCAACTGTATTAGGGAATGTTAAACCTCCTCGGATCGGTATTAGAAAAAGGATAAAACGGGGGAATGTTACGCTAATGTGAGACCCATGCGGTATGGTCGTCGATCCCACTTTCAAAAGCATTCTCGCGGGGCAGAAGGATGGAGAACGAGAATAGGGAGGAAGAGGAGAGAAATTTTTTTTTTCCTTTTGAAACCTCTGCAGGTGAAGAGGGGGGGCCTTTTTCTTGGTCTTCGTAATTTAGTAGGCAGATGGAGATCGGAAGAGAGGAGGGTGCATATGTGCTGTGGATGTTTCAATGTTTGTGAATGCGCTTGTGTGGAGCCTTGATGATCCGCAGGATTTGATGCCAGAGGAGGGACATTCCTCACGGCAGCCTTTGGGAATGTGAGCGATGCCTTATCCCTCCTCGTTCTTGACTCAGTGAGGCATGAAGGGACACCAATGGAGGAACGCCACAGAATCCTTCCATCCCTCGACGCCTCTTGGACTTACCCGTCGTCGGTCTCATCTCGATCTCGGGAAGGAAAAAAAAAGAAAAGCCACTGGTACAAGCCGGATTCTCGCCGAGACTAGATCTAGATCCTGCCTCTCCTACCTGGCTAGCAAAGACGTTTGAACAGGACAAGGTTTGATTTTTCTCCTTTCCTTTTCGCATTCTCTTCTTTCTTTTTTCCTGCGGCTCCCCCGCTCCACGCCGGAACCCGCCGAGTGAGTGGCCGCCTCCGTCCAAAAAACCGCCGTCACACAAGGAGCTTACGCCCGCGAGACGCCCGCTCTACTTGGTTTTTCCTTCTCTTTCCCCCGTACCCGAGCGCTGCTATTTTTATTGATTTTTTCTTAGATCTGCTACTTTATTTTGCTTTTTCTCTTCACGCCGGCTTTAACTGTTCTTTTTCCTTGTTTGCTTTTCTGGGCCAGAACGGCCGTGGATGTTGCTTTTTTTTCGTTTTTTGACTTACACAGGATTCTCTATCGCTTACCGCCCTAGCCGAGACTCGCCGAGATTTATATTTTCCTTTTCTTTTTTCTTCGGCATACGTGTTTATTTTATAAGTGTACACCCCCCCTCTTGGAAGGTGGAAGAAGTAAAGTTAGTGCTGGGGGTTTTGACTCACTCGAGGACAGGTAGTAAGACAGACGGATCTGTAGGTCGAGGTGGCAGTTCTTTTGCTTTTGTTTCAACTCCCCGGACTCCTTACAGTTGGCGGCGGCAAGCGCGGCGGCTTGGAGGAGAGTAGAAACGAGCTTCTCTCCGAGAGAGAGTCCTGAGTCTTTTCTTCTTTTTTTCTCTGGGGGATTTTTGGAGGGACACTGGGTGTAGCATTGTGTTACGTTTAGAGGGACTGTTTGCTCGCTTATTCTTGGGCGTTTGGTGGTTGGGGTTTCCGGCGTATCGAATGTCTGCGTGTTTGTTTGTGTCGTAGACGGTGGAGATGTAGCTGGGGGAAGGAATGGAAGGGAGAGTCTTTGTCGCGGCTCTCCTACAGGACTCGGGATATAGGATAAGGGACGCAGGAGCATAATAAGACCACCATGGAAGCTCTTGTAAGCGGACGGATATTCACGACACGCCAGTTAAGGGGGGGTTCCGGAGGCGACAACGTCGTGTCCGAAACCTATCCCTCTCGGGCGGTATATACCCCAAGACCTCAACACAATGCCATAATGAGGTTTAGTATCCAAGCAACGGAGTATTACTTCGAATTATCGGGTTCTAAGTTTGTCAGTATGAACAGGGAATGGAGCGTCGTGAGACGAGATATGGGAGACAGTAGTTATTAGTTCCAACAGAACTCGTCCTAACGGAGGAGAAAGAGATTCATGCCAAGCTCGGGTCTAGTCGGGCAGCGGAGATGGAAAAAAAAATATCAAGTTTAAGTTCATCTCAAGTTTATCAAAAAATAAGAAATTCATATACAGTCTAGTTTACCGTCTTTGATTCCGCCCATCATATACACCGACCTCATAAACCCTCATCCCAGAAACCATCCATCCAGATCTCCTTTCATAAGAAAAGAACCATTTATTTTCATTCATTCGTCATCATCCTCCCTCCCCGCCAACCCATTCGTAAGCCCCTTCATCCTCCTCCCCAATAAATCCTCCTCACTATTCAACTTCACCAAGCTCTTCGACCCCCTACCGTGACCTCCCCTCCGTCCCGGTTTCTTCCCACGGCCCCGTGCAGGCTCGCCGTCGTCCGCTCCACCGTTGCTGACTTTATTGCCTTTGGGAGGAGACCTGACGCGCATCTTCGTCATCGCCATCTCGAGGAATTTATCCTCGTCGCCGCTCGACTCGGTGCGCGCGTGGTAGTTTGCCCGTTCCTGTTCTTCTTCTTCGGCTGCGGCGGCTGCTTCTCGCTGCTGTTGGCGCTGGAGGATTTGTTGTTCTCGACGTCTGACTCTTTGGGCGTGGATGAAGAGGTCTTGGATCCACCCCGCCGAACGCTCGAGGTGTTTCCATGCGGGCGGATAAACGGTAGGAAACTGGAGGAATCCATGCGAGATCCCCGGGATGAGAATCACCTCAGCAGCGTCCTTCTCATCGAACTTGGGCGGCTTGGACACGTGTAGGCCGCGAGCCTTCTGCTCCGCCACCGCTTCTTTAACCTTCGTGAGACGCCCCGCGAAGATGACGGTATCGTCGACTAAGGGATCGCGTTCGCCCGTGAGGAACCACGTCTTGGGGAAGTGGGCCAGCAGGGCGTCCGGGGCGAGGATGGGCGAGAGGAGGTAGTCGGAGGAGAAGTCTGGGCGGTTGTGGGGGCCGATGTAGAGGATGATCATGGCGCGCATCATCTCGGGGGTGAGGACGCGGTCGTTGAAGTAGGAGATCATGGAGGATACGGCGAGGCGCGTTTGCATGAGTTCCGGGCGGTGGGAGGAGGAGGGGGATTTGGGCTCTTCGCCGGGCTTGGATGACAATGATGACGGCGGTGGTTTCGCGGGTTCCGTGGTGAGGGAGAGGGGACCGCTGTGCGTGTATTCGGGGTGAGTGCTACGGAGAGCCTCGGGGGATGGTGGGGGACCGGCTTCGACCGACTTTTGAGAGGAGGTGTCCTCGGAGGCGTGCTTTGAGGGCTCTTCGTCTTCATTGTCGGAGTGATGGGGGGTCAGGGCGATGTCGGTGTATTGTCTCGCCTTGCGGCGCATGATACTCTTGTTTCGCTTCCTGAACTGGCGGTCGCGGATGAGAGACATTTGCTCCTCCGACATCCAGTTGCCGATGTTCATGTCTAGGGAAGGGTAAAATAGGACCAGCCCATCTGGCATGGGTAGCTCGACGGTCGTCAAGTTGCGGCCCAAGGGATTCTTAGAGCGTTCGATGATCATGAGCGTCGTGGCGGCCGCAAGGTTTCCTCCCGCGCTGTCGCCTGTCATGACGATTCTGGGCACGTTGCGGCCTGACAGCCCGATGCATCTCCCTTTCGTCTTGACTAGGGTGCAGTAGACGTCGAAGCACTCATTGATGGCATAGGGATAGGGGAACTCCGGTGCCTTCTTGTAATCGAGGGCTAACACGGGGAGACCCGTCTTCGCGGCCCAGCAGAAAAGCTTATCGTCGTTACACCTCGGATCCATGGCGACAAATCCACCTCCTGGAATATCCAAGATAACCCTATTATGATGCTCCAGATCCGAAAGAGGCCCATCATAATACAACCAAGCCGACACGGGTTCCTTGTAATCGCTTTCGGCAGGCCTCGGAATGCGAAGCGCACGGGCGGGCCAGCGCGTAAAGCGAGGCCGCATAAGCCCCTGGAAAAAGCTGAGGTACGGCGTCTTGCCCTTGTTCCACGCCACTCTGAGATGGTCGACGGTAATCATGCTCCTGACTTTGCGGACCTTTTCGTCGGCCTTCTCGGCCGCCACGAGGTAGAACACGGAAAACACGATGCTCGCCAGGTCTCGAAGGCGCCTGGAGCGGATCTTCATGGCCGTCCAGAAACCGGCGTCGAGAGCGGTTAGGACCCAGGTGGCGCGGAAGAAGGTAGCGTCGTACATGTTAGACATGGGTTCGGGACTGGCGAGGCCGACGAGGGAGGAGAAGTTGTGGGCGGCATAGATGTACATGAAGGTGGCCACGATCGTCTGCCAGGCGGTGAGGTATTTGGTTAATATCCTGGATATGGTTTGGGCTCCTGGAGGGCCATGCTTGTGTCCTCTACAAGGAAACTTTGTCAGTATCAATCGGGAGCTAGCGAGATTCCAACCTAGGGAATTCCTTACTTGAAGAGGTAGAATGTCCAGAACGAGAGGACTGCGAGGACTTGTAGCCTCCTCGACTTGGCCGATGGGCGGCCAAGAACGTGGTCTATCATTGGGGAGATAGAAAAGACCACACAAGATTGGATGTGTTGTCTTCTTTAGATCATAGGCTCTGTGGGCATTCAGGAAACCTGCATCGAAGTTGGCATATAACGTAAAGGCCGTGAACGGCTGGAATGCTGGAATGCTGACCGGGAATTCCGAGGGGATCCGGTAACCTATCCTACGTCTCGACCACGACGTAGAGGGCGGCCCCAGCTGGTACCTTGGTCGCCTTTGCCCAGACGAGGCGCTATTGATCAAAGAGTCAGGATAGGCGGGGAAGCGCCTCCGAGGCCGTGTTATTTCGATAAGGCCAACTTGGTGAGGTGTAAGTATCGACGCAGGACCGGACAAGCTCGATGGGTCTCGAACGAACTCGGGGAAGATGAACAGCAAGGCCCAAAAGAACCTATAATATGCGACTGGGAATGTAATGTACACGCAGCTTTTGAGCACCCGGATATGCTTAAAGAGCACAAGCCCGAGATCCGTACTTCGACGAGGGTATTGACGGGAGGAAAATATATAAACCAAAATGAGATTGAAGATCAAATAAGGCTAGATACGGCAAATAAGCACATGCAAAGAAACCCTCCAAAAGAGAAGAATTGGATGAAACGACGTGAACGGGGTATTAATGGATGGTGTGGGTGGCACCTGCCCAATTTCTCCAAGTTGTCCGGCCCCCGGTTCCGTCTCTGACATGTGAAAGCTCCGGAGAGGGGCACGAGGGGTGGGGGACAAAACTAAGACGGCAGTGACTTTTGCTTCGGCCGAGTCCTGCACGACGCAATATGCGTGTCTAGTTTACAACTTGTGTTAGAACTGGGATAAATGGAGAGAGCTGAGATTTTTTTTTGTAAACTGAAAAAGGATATGACTCGCTTCGTTTGAATCATTCCCTCCTTTGTCCGGCCGTGGCAGTTTATTTCTTTCCATCCATGCCTTGGTTCCCAGACGAAGTACGTACTTCGTCATGGTCACGGGCAGAAGCGTCTGACCATGACAACTCAGAGCTCACTGCGCAAAGTGCACGTGGATGGCGGATGGAGAAGGTTCCGCCGGCCTGGCCACCCACGCAGCCCCCGCTATTACGTAGCGGGATAGTTTGGGGCAATGAAAGGTAAAAAAATGGCTTGTGACAGAGAGGTGAACAGGCTGAATGAAGTCTGAGTTCTAGCAATTAACTTCAGCTGGTGGAGAATGGACTCATGACAGTGTTGACAAGTGGTGACAACTGTCATGTCAGTTCTGACCCAAGGCGACCCGCATCTGGATGAGAAGTAATCATGCATCAAACGCAGGTCATCGTGAGTAGCTCGCAGGAGCTATCATTGCCCTTTTCAGGAGAAATCGTCCATATAACCAGTGAGTCAATCGACCAGGACGAGGGTCAGATTGCCAGCTATGGGATCTTAGCCGCATCAATTCACAGGAAGGGCGCAAAAATTGTGTCATGGTCTAGCGAAGAAATTGAGTGACTCTTAACTGGAGGGACCGCGCTTGAGAAAGACCACATCTCCTTGACCTTGGTAGACGGTCGAGTCAGAAAAATAAAATAAATCGAGATCAGATCGATAAGAAGGACTGGATACAATTGAACAGCTAAATATATCAATCAATGATAGCTTGGAGCTCCCAAGAGCCCCGAACTTCGGCGTGTCGACAAATTGAGGTGCTCAATTAATTGCCCCGCCATGTCACACGAGAAAGCAGGGGTCTCAGTAGTGGTACCTTCAACTGCCAATTCTTGCTACCAAAATCAAAGTATTCGCTACTGCATCGCTAGTCCTTTGCTAGCCGATCGCCGGCAAAGCTGCTCTGATTGATATTTTTTTCTGTCCACTTTCATCAACACACAGAGTCATACAACAAAACACCCAAGCTTGACCACCCCAGGTTCAAGCTTAAAAACCCGCCCAATCCACCCTTCCCTCCTCACTTGGGAGCCATTCCATATCTTCGATCTCCCTTCCCTGCGTCATTCGCCGTTCCCCGACACCACACAACACAAATGGCTCTCAGGGCTCCCCTCCGATCCCACCTGGCTCGCCGATGCCTGAGCCAGGCCCCAACGACTCCGCGCTTCGTCCTCGCCCGCTACCAATCTACCGCCTCAGTACCGAACCCGGATCCCCTCCCGGGCTCCCCCTCGGCCAAGATCATCGCCGAGAATGAATCCTACATGGTAGCCACCTACTCCCGACCCACACCCGTCTTCGTCCGCGGCGAGGGCTCCTACCTCTGGGATCTCGAGGACAGGAAATACCTCGACTTCACGGCCGGTATCGCCGTGAACTCTCTGGGGCACTGCGATCCCGAGTTTAGCAACATTATCGCCAAGCAGGTAAATGCCAAAAAACCAAATCAACCCAGCAATCTAGACAGTAACTGACCTTCTTCTTCTTTTCAAACAGTCCAAGATCCTCGTCCACGCCTCCAACCTCTACCACAACCCCTGGACCGGCTCCCTCTCCAAGCTCCTCGTCCAAAAAACCCACGAAGCCTCCTGCATGCCCACCCTCTCCTCCGTCTTCATCTGCAACTCCGGAACGGAAGCCAACGAAGCCGCCATCAAATTCGCCCGCAAAGCCGGCAAGGTAACCGATCCCTCGGGCGCCAAATTCGAAATCGTCGCCTTCCGCAACGGGTTCCACGGCCGTACCATGGGTGCGCTGTCTGCCACGTGCAACCCCAAGTATCAGCAGCCTTTTGCGCCCATGGTACCGGGTTTCCGGTACGGCGATCTTAATGATGTGGATGCTATCGAGGGGCTCGTGACGGATGCCACGTGCGGTGTTATTGTTGAGCCTATTCAGGGTGAGGGGGGCGTCAATGTCGCGAGCGAGGAGTTCTTGGTCGCGTTGGCAAAGAGGTGTAGGGAGGTTGGCGCTGTGCTGATTTATGATGAGATTCAGTGCGGATTATCGAGGACGGGTAAGCTCTGGGCCCATGCGGCGCTGCCCGAGGTCGCTCACCCGGATATCTTGACGACGGCCAAGGCACTGGGCAATGGCTTCCCCATTGGCGCCGTGCTCGTCACCAAGGACGTCGCCGATAAGATGAAGGTCGGCGATCACGGTACCACTTTTGGCGGAAACCCCTTGGCTTGCAGGCTCGCTCACTACATCCTCGGTCGTCTGGCCGATCCTGCCCTCCAGCATGGCGTGGTCGCCAAGTCGGCCGTCTTTAAGGAGGGCTTCGAGAAGATCCGCGCCGCGTTCCCCGAACTCGTCACTGAGATCCGCGGCGAGGGTCTCATTCTCGGTCTTCAGCTCACCGAGGATCCTAACCCCATCATCAAGGCTGCTAGGGAGAGGGGTCTCCTCGTCATCTCGGCGGGGCATAACACGCTTAGGTTCGTGCCGAGCCTGTTGATCTCGGAAGAGGAGATTAAGGAGGGCCTGAAGATTCTCGAGAGCGCCATTGTTGCGACTAGGGCATGAGCTTTTATACGACTGGGTAGACTTTTCGTTTTTTAGAGTTCGCGGGTCTCTCGAGCCGGGAAGAGTTCTCCATTGAGGCAAATTGGTTTCTTTTTTCTTTCAAAAGCGGTGGGGATGTTTTGACATTGCTGGATCAAAAAGAGGAGTTGATATCAGCGGATTTCTTGTCTTGTGAGTAAAATGGCGTTGTGGCTCGCTTCTTCTGTTCTTTTTTTTTTTTTTTTTTTCTTTTAGACATGGGTATTTCGTTTCAACAAGAGCAGTTTGGTGTAAAACTTGATATTCAGACAACATGCAAAAACAGTTCAGAGTCAAGAACTGTGGCGCTCGTTATTGACCCTCAAGACCAACTAGAAAGAATCAACAAATCGATGGAAAGGAGAGAATTGGCATTGAAAGGAGTCGTACATAGCTAAATCCTCTACAAAGGACCAAGAAAAAATGCCAACCTAAACGACGCCCAAGGACCTAAGAGAGACATCAACTTTCGGGGACCACCAATCTATAGAGGGAACAAGCTAAAAGAAACAAAAAACGACGCCTTAAACAGGTGTGAATCGAGCCTTTCGAGTGTGAAAAGGGGTTTCATGTCATCAAATTTTGGAGGTCCCTCTCTCGTCATAAACATCAATCCACATGCTCCTTCAACGAAGACCAAGAAAAAGAAGGACGGCAAAAAGAAGGAAAAAGAGAGAAACAAGATCCCCTCCCCTTTCTAACCCTCAGAGGTATCCATCTTTTCCACATCCTCCTTCTGGACATCCCCATCGACTTCCACCTCCTTGGCTAGGGCATCCTCAGCCGCGGCTGCCTCAGCGACAGCTTGAGCCTCCAACTGCTCCTTTGCCTTCGCCTTGGCGGCCGCAATGCGCTCCTCCTTCCAAGCCTCGATCTTGCCTCGCAGCTCATCGTCGGGAATCACTTGCTCAATAGTAAGGGGCTGGCGAGTGAAGGGGTCCGTAGGGTCGGAGAGCAAGTGCTGGATAATCGTCGAGCGATCCACCACCATCTTGGATGGGAGGATAACGGGGTCCTTCATCAGATCGCCGAGGATAGGGTCCTCGAAATCGGAGGGAATTTCTCCAAGATCGAGCTCCGCCTGCTCGGCCTCGAGTTTGGCCTCGACAAACTTCCCGCGCAGCTTGTTCCACTCTTGAATCTCTGCAGGGTTCTTCGTGGTCTTCGCTCGCAGAATGGTTGACGCCCTCTCGAACGTAGCCGGGCGATAGGATCGCCCGTCCGTGGCCACGGCCATGATAAAGTCGGGGGACGAGCCGAGGTTGATGTAAATATCGACGAAATCGGAGAGCAACGTGCCGGGACGGAAGTGGTACTTCTCCGGGTTCTCGACCTTGAGCTCCCGCGCCTTTGGTCCGGCGAGGGTCTCGAGGTTGTAGTTCAACATGCTGGCCAGTCGCTGGACGATCTCGGGCATGGTAAAGGCATCGCGCAGGGCCTTGGTAAACAACTTCATCATTTCAAGCGTCTCGTTGGCGAGCTGCATATATGATGTCGCGGCCCCGGCGAGTTGTTGGATCTCTTCCTCCTTCTTCTGTTGGTCCTCGCGAGAAAGACCACCGGCTCTCAACTCGGCCTCGAGCGTGTGAATCTTGGGGAATTTGCCCATTGCCTCATCAAGCACGTACGTGGCGTCGTTGAGGAGCAAATTGACAAATCGGATGAAGAACGACCGATTCATCTTGCTCTCGTGGGTCAACTGACGGCTGTAGACCGAGTTACCCCGCCAAACACACTTGATGACTTGAAAAATTTCATATCGTATATTAAACTTGTCATAGAATTGGGTGTGGGCGCCGGTCGACTCGCACTCGATGTAAAACTTAATTAAGGCATGGAGCAGGTGGTCGTTGGCGAATTTGGAGTTGATCAGCTGGTCGCCCAGCACACCGTTCCGGTGGCCAGGTGCAGGCCAGGTTCCTGAGAATAGGAGTGAAACGAGGGATGACTTGAGGTAGGGGTTCTTGATGTACTCAGAACACTGCAAGAATGCAATGGAGAGAGCGATGATCTCGTCACCAACAGCCAATGGTAGAATGGTAGGAAGGTATCTTTTTTGGGGAAGTTCATGTCAGCTTAGCTTCAATTCATAGGGTTCCCGCCATCTTCTTTCTTTAATACATACCTGTAGGCGAACTTGAAGTTCTCAACCACGTTCTGGAGAGCGTACTCTGGAAGAGAAGCAAATGCCTCGGGTTCTTTTTCGGGCAGAGGTAGACTAGAAATTTTCAAACCGAATGAGCACAAAAGACGAAAAAAAAAAAAAAAAAAAAAAAAAAAAAAAAACATGGTACATGTGGCATAGTTATACGAATTAGGGATAAGTAGGAGAGAATTGTCACGAACTGCAGAGTCTTGTCGGGTGTGTAGTCTGTCTGACTGGCAACCCTCAACAGCCAAACGGCAACATAGCGCATGAAGCGTAACGACACTTCCTGCATCTTGGTATCCCGCAAGATACCCTCAAGGGAAAATTTAACTCGCATAGCCAGCTCTAGAGCATCCGTGTGCTTTCTTAGGGTGACTTCGAAGAGCTGGAGCTGAACAGCGTTCTAGAATACCAAGTCGGTTAGTTAAATCTGGAGGCTAGATCGAGTAGCATAAAACCCGAGACACCTACATTCCCAATCTTTGGCCTCTCGGCTTCCATGGAGGCGAGGTGACGTTCGTAAATCTTGATATCTCTCTCAAGAGTCTTAACCTTCGATACGCAGCCCTCTAAGCCGTAATGATGGGCGGCCAATGCCAAGAAGAAAACTTCGGAAATAAAGTGAGGAGAGCCTGGGAGAGTGTTTGCGTAGAAGGCATCCGACTTGGCCTGATCTGCGTTGAGCTTCGTCTCGTCCTTGATATCAAGCTTAGGATTTTGACGGAAGTAGTCAACATTTATGCGGTCCATCTTGGAGAAGGAATTGTCCATGAAGGGCTCGCAGAGTTTATCTAGAACTCGGGTGACGTTGAGCATAAAGCCGTCGGAGGAGACCTCATTAGGGTCAACGCGCATGGCCCGGCGTTTGTGGTTGACATTGAGGATATACGCAAACCAGTCAAGAATACGACTACGGGTGTCACGGCTCGCTCGCACAAAGGCGTTCGTGATGGTAAAGAGGTCACTCTGGTGGAGGGCAAGTACCTGCCGCATCGAATCCTGTGAAAGGCCGATCGAACCCCGATCCATAGTCCTAGGTGCTGAGAAGAATGTTTGCATAGATTCCTTATTGACGGGAGAAATCTTGAAGAAGGGACCCAGAATCGTATGCGTCTCGATACCACGTGCGGATTGCGCCATCTGGAAGCTGGGGTGTTGAGCCAAGAGGTTCAGAAGCGTGGGGACTCGGCAATACAAAAGAAGGGCCTAGAGGTTTGAGCGCGTTAGTTAAATGACAGCCAGCACACTGGGGCAGCTCCCTCCCCGCGGTCAACGTACCCTAACATATGGCTGGTAGTTCGTTTCCATGTTCATGGTCGACAGCTTGTTGCTAATGTTTATCATGGCCTGGGTAAAGACATTGGAGAGCGCGTCATCGTCAGGGAAACGGTTCACAGCTTCCTGGAGGAACTCGTCGTCGATTCCCTCGGGATGGGTGGGCTCTTTGAGGAGATGAGGCATGAGACCCTGATTCTGCGGAACGGATTCTCGTCTGGGAGTGGGAGTGGTGTTAGCAGAGTTACAGCAGACTTCGGGGCACAGGGTGGCTCAGAAATGCTGGAAGAAGACACCTACCCAAACAAATCAGGGACCGTCAAGGCGAAGAGACAGTTGCTGATACATAGTCGCTTCGCCTCATTAAGCACTTCCATCTTCTCCTCGGTCGCATCCCTAGGTGGGGCGTTTCTATGCGACTGCGCCCTCGACCAGCACGGGAGCAGGTAGCTCAGTAGGGACTTGCTTTTAGGCCATTGCGACGCAGCTTCCATAATGGCCGAGTCAAAGTTGGCGGCCGAGAGCTTTAGAGGGTCGCCAGCATCGCTGAGCTCCTGGCTTAGGTTCGGTAGGAACATGAGATGGTCAACAGCCTTGCTCGAGTCGACGGTGGCCCGGAGGATATCTGTGAGCACCCTGTCGGAAAAGTCTTCGAGCGAGACCGGAGCCGGAGTATGAGGTTTCCTTTGCTGAGCCATTCGTACCTCTGCGCGCTCGAGATCGGGCGGGACACGTCGCTTTTGGGATGAGGAGGAGGAGGGCGTGGGCGTGGGAGGTTTTGCGCCGCTAACGGAAGCAGGTGTACTTGTGGAGGATTGAGGGGCGGCGGGCGTGCTCGCGGGGCGGGAGGGCGTTGTGGTAGACTTCTCGGATTGGGGCGTCGAGCTACCAGAAGCATCGGCAGGCTTTGAGGACGATCCAAGCTTCGCAAGTCGTCGGAGACGGATCTGCAGCGGGAGGGTTAGCATATGGAGTATACTCTTGGAGGTCCGGAGATCAAAAAAGGAAGAAGGGAAGCAGGCTCATACTTTCTCCATTGCCTCTCTGTCGGGGGCCTCAGGCGGGCCGTCTCCGGGAGGAGGGGCTGGAGGGGGTGTATTATCAGCAGGATCCATAATTGAAACGAGTCTGCAGAGACAAGATGAGTTGTGGAAAAGCCCAAAATAAGATCCCAAACTGGGAAAGAGAGAAGTGATGGGCTGCTGATGAGGGACGAGGAGGGTTGGTTGTGCTATTGGAAGGTAGATGTCGATGGAAACTGTTCGTCACAAGGTGAGATAATCCGGCCGGAGTTAATAACCCACAGTTGCAGCATTACTATTGGGAGCTCCCACACCAAAAGTCCAGGCAGCTTTTAGTGGGGATGGTGTAATGAGAGAGCCTACATAGCCAGGCCAGCAGGCATAAGCTTGGGCCAGGCTCGGGACGGATCTTGGTGGAAGGCCTGATTAATCAGCACCTTTTCTGTTTTTCCCCCATTGTCCTCTCACAAGAGCACCTTCCTCCCACAGGAATCAATGAAGAACTTTGTCTAGGTGTGCACTGTCTACAGTGAGCAGGAGCTTCCACGTTACTAAAATGTTATAAAAACTTCAATGTTGTGTGTCCCAGATTCTAGGGGATGCTTTTCTTGTTTCTTGTTTGTTTGCCATTGTCAATTACTGCCAACACTGAACTTGAAGCATCTCAATGTTTGGCTGCACATCAATTGGATCATATCTGCCTGAGATTGTTGTTCGAGGGAAGCCATACTCTCAAACACTGGCATGATTGGGCCATTGTTGCCACCCAGGCATCTGCATTTTCTCTCGGCTCGCCGACGTTGCCTCTCGCAAACATCAAGAATTGGAAGAAACTTCTCGAATTGTATGACTCCTTGCCCCTTTCATGAGTATGTATAATTCGGCAGGGGACGTTGCCCCCAAGGTGTGGAGGCAAGCAAAGTTCATGCCCAAGGCCAAGTCGATATCGGCGTGTGAGGGGATGATCACGGCCTCAAGTCTGAAGTCGCAAGTGCCTGATAAACCTAGGCAGTTGCCTGCCGTTTTGGAGAGCTCTCGATCAAAAATTACACCCCTCAGGAAGCCCTTGAGCTGAGGCGGAACTCCGCCCCGAGGTAAGGGGTTCTTCAAGTGTTGAACCAATTCGACGCCCATCTAGAGCCTATAGAGCCATGGAGTTTGACAAACATGCGCCGTACATGGTCATTTCCTTGGTCGATCTGGTGATTGCTCCGAATGTTCTGACGCCGAAGGCCTATCGAAGCGCCTCTGCAACGTCGCTATTTGCTAAAAATAAGACAAGGTCAGGAGAAGGATTTCATTGGTGCATGTTGTCTCTCTGCCTTGTCTGAGAGACATTCTGGGAGGCAGCGTCGGGGAGGATTGCCTCGAAGACGAGCCTCTCTGCCATGCGACACATGCGACCTATGGCGAGATGTCCCCAAACTGTTATAATGAAAAAAAAAGAGAAAACTTGTGAAAGGGTACAAAGGTATTATGTTCAATTGATGCTCTTTGAGAAGCCATTAAGAAGTGAACTTCGCAGGGGCTTCCCTGAATTAGCAAACCTTCGATGAGGGGCTGGGAAACGAAGGATTGGGGTGTCAAACAAGGGTCCTTTCGGGCAGCCCTCAAGAAACAGCATAGTGGCCTTCGTCTCTTCCTTTCCTTTCGAGGCGCAGCCCTTCTCTCATCTCGGTCCCAGGCTCACAAGAGGAAGCGATCAATTGATGTCGTGAACGTCCAATTGTCCTTCCACGGCAGGCTGCCATTGTCTTTCGTCAGTGCTCGCCACCCAAGACCAGATCTCGTAGGGCTGAAATTAGTGGAGATGAAGTGGAGAATTGGGGCTCCAGACGGGCTTCTTTTAGTGGATTGTAGTTACCTGAGTAGGGACCAGGCGAGATCGAATCTGATCGATTCTTGTCAACGTCCTCAGGCTGCCAGATCAGATCAACTCAACAGTGGACGCCACCTGAAAGACCCCGTCAAGCCAGAAACCTGCCTGGCAATTTTGAGATCGATCTCTAAATCGTGAATGATGTTTGGATCCTTTACGAAGTAGAGTGCAACCGAGACATTCGATCAATAGTGTGCGCTCTCAGCGCCCAGCACTTTCTCCCAAGTCCCAACCCCAACAACCCCTTCTGCCATTCGAATGATGCCAAGATTCTTCAGGATCGACTTTCCTCCCTCACCCCAGGCTCTATCGACACAACGTTGAACCCTCTCGTGATCCTTCGTAAATCATCCCCTCTAAAGGCCCCAATGCATATCTGAGTTGTCACCCACCCCCATGAACCAAGCCAAAAGGGTAAAAGATGACATTTAATTACGACACCCGCCACCGTCCGGGAGCAGCCTCGGCGTCTTTTCTGGCTATATCCTTGCCCCGTCTCATCTCACAGTGATATCGCATGCTGACATGCATACATTCAAGCGGGGGTGAAGGAGGGAAGCGACAGGCCACAAATCCTATCCGCGCTCTCTGACTTGCTGAAACACGAGCGTGCGGAGCGCTGGATTGGAGAGTGGGTGGTTCGGGGTCCTTGTGTGGAATGACATGCTGGTCCGCCTTCTTGGCTCAGCTCTAGCCCTGTCGGTGGCCTTTCTTGGGGTGGTTGGGTAGATTGATATCAAGCCTACGGCTTCGTGCCGCTCTACGCCGGATTAGCGTCTCATGGTTGCATCCCCCCCCCTTTCCCCCCCCCATGTCCCTAACAGAGCCCTTCGTGTTTTTGCCGAATACAAAGGTACGGGGCTCACATCTGGGGCATTGAGGTCTATGTGACGAGAAAGCAAGTGCATAGCGACGCGGCACTTGGTCGTGTGCTCGACCCAACACGCGTCGCGATCGTTCAGTCTGTCACCATCGGCATCGCCCATCCGAAATCAAGGTCACGCAGGCATGCGATGCTGGACAATCTGAATTTTGTCTGCCACCATGCTTCGTAGTCCCCCATGTACCAAAGCATTCCAAAATCAAATATCTGACCACGCAACAATCTCCTTGGCCAAGTTGGGCCGCTCAAGGTTTTCCATTTTAAGACGGCGCAGGGAGGGTAGCACGTAGTTTCCAGAGGATATCATGGCTCTTGTCTTTGAAAACGGTTGTTTTTTGCAGCTCTGAAGGATCAAATGCTGGGCTGCCAGACCCTCTTTAACGGCCTGCCCGACGTTTTGGTCCTTGGACAACCCCCCTGCAGATCAACCTACGCAGCCCTATGACAGACCGCCACGGCAAACAACATAGACGCCAAGCCCGGCCGGCGCGTAGCTCCGGTCTAGTCCAGAATTAGATCAAGAGAGAGAGCATTTTCGTATCCTGCCTGCACGAGATATTTTGCACGGCGGTTTCGCGCATTCCGTCCTCCCAGTTCGGCCCTGTCGGAAATGAAAATATCCCAGCCACCCCGCATAAGGCGAGACCTTGTCCGCGAACCGAGCCGGGGGTGGTGGAGGGGAGGGGGCATGGCCTTGAAACAAGGGCTCCTGGTGGTTAGGAGCCAGAATGGAGGGGCAGGAAGCTTGCTCTACGGACGAGAGCTAAGACCCCTCCCCGGTTGGAACCACAGGCTGCGTGGCAGGATGCATGTAAGACGAGTAGGAGATGCATCTCTTTGAGTGAGCACCTTTGTCCCGGTCACACCACTTGGGTGAGAAAGGGAATAGCTGTCCCATGCAATGCATATTATTAGTATACAGGTAGGCAGCAGAGAGCAGTGACATTTCGTGCTCACCTTGGCATCAGGTCTCGTAGACCCATGATATATATGAGGGAACTTCTCCCCCCATCTCTAATCGGTTCCCCAGTGAGCCTCTTTGTTTTCCATCTTTCTACCCAGCTGTTTCACAGAGCTCATTATACCTATACCTTAGCTCCTCAAGCTTTTGTTTTTTCTTCCCTTTTCTTCTTCTTGCTGTAATTCAAAACCACATAAAAAAAAAAAAGGCGAAAAAAAAGCCCCCTTCACAATGGCTCCTCCCCGCCGCTCCCACTCGGCGGCCCCCCGATCCCGATCCCGCTCTCGTTCCCGATCTCGCTCCCGCTCCCGCTCCCACCACCGCCACCGATCCAACTCCCCCAACAGCCGGCGCTTCGACCCAACCAAAAACCCGCAAGAGCTCCTCGCCGACTTCTGGACCCGTTTCCACTCCAAAAAGCAAGGCAAAGTCACCTCCATCTTCCCCCGCACGCTCTACGCCTCCCTCCTCCCGGGCACCCACGCCAAGGAGGCCCTCGCAGCGGGAGACGACGTTGTCCCCCCGACTCCTGGCGGCGCGCAGCCTCCCACGCGTAATGCGGCTGAGAGCTATGAGGCCGCGGCGAGGGAATGTCGCGAGAGGGTGAGGAGGGCTGTGGCGGAGTGTAAGCGGACCAATGAGAAGTTTACCGATCCGGACTTTGATATCGAGAGTGATCCGATGGATAATTGCTTGTATGGCTTGTATCGCTGGTGGGAGGAGATTGACTGGTTCATGTGGGCCGGGAAGAACGCCGCCGAGGATAACAATCACTGGCCTCCTTCTTCCGCAGCAGCAGCGGCGGCGGCGGGATTGGCCCGCTTCGGTCGCAATGACGATGAGGCCGGAAACCGTCCTCGCGGTCGTCCTCGCGATCCTCCCCCGCCCAAGGAGAGGAATTCCGGTCCTCCTCAGCGCCTTCATCCTCCCCCCGCCGCACATCGGGACGAATCCCCAAACAAACCGCGCGACAACGACGAAGATGGCGTCCGCTGGGGCTTCATGATCGGCCCTGGCTCCGTCCACCGCGTCTCCTGGATCTTCGAAAAGCCCCAATTCACCGTCAACGGCTACTCCTCTTCGGACATCATGCAGGGCCGCAACGGCGACTGCTGGTGGCTCGCCGCCGTCGCCACAATCGCCCACCGCAAGGACCTCATGGATCGCGTGTGCGTGGCGCGTGATGAGGAGTGCGGTGTCTACGGCTTCTGCTTCTTCCGCGAAGGAGAGTGGGTCTCGACCATTGTCGATGATAACCTATTCCTTACGAAGCCTGACTTCGATTATTATCGCGACATTTATGACCCTGCGGGGAAGAGGGCCTTGAGGCATAGACAGAGGTATCAGACCGGTTCGGAGGCCTTGTACTTTGCTCGTTGCGACGATGAGAATGAGACGTGGCTGCCGCTGCTTGAGAAGGCGTACGCCAAGGTCCATTGCGATTATGCCGCCATCGAAGGAGGTTGGTCGTCTGAGGGCGTAGAGGATATGACGGGCGGAGTTGGCACGACCATCGCTTCGTCCAAGATCTTGTCCAAGGATAATTTGTGGAAGGAGCTCACTAACTCGGAGGGAGAGTTTGTCTTTGCGCTGTCTGCTATGGGCACAGGCTGGGACTCGACGAGGAATGGTCTGGCTCTAGGCCATGCTTACTCTATTCTCCATGCTACTGAGCAAGAGGGCAAGGACGGTACTCGCGTGCGTCTTGTGAAGATCCGGTAAGTTCCCTCTCTCTTCCCAAAGAAGAAGACCCCCCCAAAGAAAACAAGGTTCTAAGTCTTTGAACAGAAACCCCTGGGGCCAACGCGACTCCTACGGTCTCGGCGAATGGACCGGCCGCTGGTCCGACGGCTCCAAAGAATGGACCCCCGAATGGCTCGACAAGCTCCAACACACCTTCGGCGACGACGGCGTCTTCTGGATGTCCTTCGACGACATGCTCGACACATTCAAATGGATCCACCGCACCCGCCTCTTCGACTCCTCCTGGACCGTCGTCCACCGCTGGACCTCCGCCAACATCTCCTGGGTCACGGGCTACCTGCGCACCAAGTTCCGCATCGAGGTCAAGAAATCGGGCCTCGTAGTTGTCGTGCTCACCCAGCTGGATGATCGGTACTTCGTCGGGTTGGAGGGCCCGTATTATTTCGAGCTGCATTTTGTGCTGCAGAAGGTCGGGAGCGAGAAGGGAGAGCATGTTTGTCGCGTTAGGCAGGTTCATAAGTGGGAGAATAGGAGCATTTCTTGCGAGGTGGACCTCGAGGCGGGCGTTTATGAGGTGATTCCGAAGATTACGGCTTCGAGACATGGTGGGAAGGAGACCGTGGAGGAGATGGTCGTCAAGTATGCTGATAAGAATCCGCAGAAAGTGAGGCAGGTGGGTATGCAGTATGATTTGGCCCATGCTAAGCCGGGCGTTGTTGATCACGACCTCGATATCGAGAAGAAGAAGAAGGAAGAAAAGGAATTCGAGGAGAAGAAGAAGGCTCGCGAAAAGGCTAAGAAAGCTAGGGATAAGGCGAAGGCGAAGAAGGAAAAGGCAAAGGAGAAATTGAAGGCCAAGAAGCTAAAGGAGCGCGAGAGGCGCAGGAAGCAGAAGGAAAAGGAAAAGGAGAAGAGGAAGAGGCAGAAGGAGAGGGAGCGTCGCGCGAAGGCCAAGGCTCGTCGGGCCAAGGAGAGGGAGCAGCGAAAGAAGGAGAAGGAGGCCGAGAAGCCCGAAGAGAAGAAGGCCGAGGAGGAGGCCCCCGCTCAGGCTGAAGCCGCCGCCGAAGGTGCCACGGTTCCGGCCGAGCAGCCCGCTACCGAAGTCGTCTCCGTCTCCGAACAGCCCAAGGAGACTACCGAGGCCCCGGCCGCCGCGGATGCCCCCACCGAAACCGCTGAGACCAAGGAAGAAACCTCCGAGCAAGCCACATCCCCCAAGGCCAAAGAATCCGACGCCTCCTGGTCCGAAATCTCCAAGCCCGAAGCCCCCTCTCCACCCCCGGCCATCACCGACGTTTCCGACTCCGACATCTCAGAGTCCGAGTCCGAACCAGAGTCTGAAACCGAAACAGAAGAGGAAGAGGACGACGACGACGATGAGGAATATGAAGCCGCGGAAGAAGCCTACGAAGACGAAGTAGAAGCCGAGAAAGAACGCGAAGAAGAAGAGCGCAAGAAGAAGGAAGAGGAGGAACTGGAGCGGAATAACTTCCAGCTCGATGCCGATAAGCCGCTGCCGTGGAACCCCGTCTGCGTCATGGGGTTGAGGGTGTATGCCAAGGATTCGGAGGTGTCTGTTACGCTTGTTGAGATGAAGGATGATGAGGAAGGGACGGCGTTGACGACTGCTGGGGAGCCTGCTGGTGCCACGTCCTGAGGGGGGATGAAGTAGGAGGATGGTTTGTTTTTGCTTTCTATTCCTTTTATTCTGCTTTTCTTCTTCCTTTTCTACGCCAATGTTTGTCCCATAGGTATGATCTAGTTAAACTCTCCTCAGATATGTCGCATAATGTACGAATTCTCAACTTCACCTTTTCAGTTCTCTTCCCACTTCAACGAGCCAAACCTATCTTGTAGATTCTTCTCCAGCCGCCCTTCGTCCTCGCAATAGTGCGCGAGATTAATCGCCTTGAGTGCCCACTTCTTACATTCCTCATCCTTGCCGACGGAATACAGGTCGACGGCATGGTTCCAAGACATGGTGGCCAGCCATTCCAACTCCTCGTCCGGGAATCTCGAGTCCGTCTTATAGCAGCGTTAGGTTGGAAATGAAAAAGGCTGCCATAGTTTAACAAAAGTGAAGGGAGGAATAAGAACTTACAGTCAGAGCTTCCCTCACAAGCTGTAACGACTCATCTGCTAACTGAAAAGCCATACTCCCCTGGAGCGGAAGCACCATCTGGAAAAGACACCGAATATACTTGGCCACCTTCTCAACCCCCAACCCCTCCAGCGCCCAGAGCTGGTTAATTATAGCCCGCATTGTAGAGAACAGTGCTGCAAAACATCACGCGTCAACCCTTCAAGTGTTCCACACTTGCATCGATGGAAAAGAAGAGGTCACCTCACCTTGCGACGGCACCCCAGATGCCCTCAACAAACAATCCGCCATAGCCTTAAACGCAACCGCATCCCCACACCCTTCCCCGCTCCTCACAACTTCCCTTAAATCATCCCACTGCCCCACCTCCACGGCCCCTTCGAAATCAAACACGAGCAAGGTCGCCAACTTGGCCTTCAAGTCCTCATAAACGGCGCCGTTCATATCCTCCTTGCGCGCCTTCTCGAGCTCGGCCTCGAAGAGAGCGACGTGCTCACGCATGGAAGAGTACAGCCGGCGCTTCTCCTCGAGGACGTCCTCGCGCCGAGCGGTGGAGACGAGCGCCGCCGCCACGACGAAGTGGCAACACATGGCCTCGAGGGCGAGGTCTTTGGCGTTCTCGAGGGGTATGTCGGGCGGGTAGTGTCCCATGATGGAGAGGCAAGCGTTGAAGATCCGGATGGTATGCTTCATCTCCCATGTTTCGCAGTGTTGGATGCCGATGTTGTAAGCGTTCTGGTGGAACCAGTCTAGCTCTTGTACGGTGAAGAGCTTATGATCTTTCTCATCGCGGGGGTCCTTCTTGATCGCTGAAACCGCTATATATATACCTTACCGGTCAGCAGATGCCTTTCGTCTGATTGAAGCTCTTATCTAACTTGCCCGCTTCAAACATTCGACATATTCCATCCGCCGCCTCACCACTCACAACCTCCCTCCCACTCTCAGGATCCAACCCCAAAACCAACAAGCGTATAGTGCACCGAATCAACGCTGGAAGATGCACCGGGCTCGTTGACCCGAAATTATGGTTCTCAACCAGGCTTTTCATCGCCTCTGCAGCAAAGTACCTGCTGCCAACACTTTGCGCGTCGAGGATGCAGGCATACAGAAACTCGTGGCACCTGAGGCCGGGATTGCTCAAGGTCGCGAGGCAGTCTGATGCTAACTCGCGATCGTCGTTCCGGATGGCGACCTTGAACATGAGGTATCTCGTCATGGGCTCCCCTTGGATGGGCTCGGGCATGGCGAGGTATAGCTGCTTGGCATTTTCGAATTGGTTGCGCATCAGAGCGCAGAGTATGCGCTTTCTGGGTTAGGGACTTTAGACAACCTTCATGCCCACTTTCTGGGGAGAAGAAGGAGGAGGATGGACGCACCTTGCAACTTTGGCTAGGTTTTGCGGGCCAGCCGGGTGAAAAACCTCATGCATCGCCAAGCGGCACCACTGATCCACCATCTCCAACTGCTCATCCGCGAACAACGCCTCGACTCGCTTCTAGATGAGCTACATCGCGGGTCAGCAATGAGGGGTTAAAGATCCAATACGGGCATGGAAAAATCCTCGCTAGAACCCACCGATTGCGCCGTCGCCGCAGCAGTCGGCTGTATAGGAACCTCCAACCCCTCTCGCACCCTCTCCAGCAAATCCCCCAGCTCAACAACATCCTCCGAAGCAGCCGCGCGACTCGTCCCCATCCACACCCTCATCACCACAGCCTTATCAACCCACGCCCCCTTCCCCGCCCCCAACACCCTCCCCACAATCAACTCATCAGCAACACTACACCCCAGCACGGCACTCCTCTCATAAAGCCTCCTAACCTGCGCCATCATGAATCGAAAATGCGCCTCCGTAAAGTCAAAACTCTTCACCATCCGCCTCAAGACGTCCGCATACGCCAGCGCATCAAACTCCTCGTCGGGAACGCTCATGAGTAACTCGAGTCTCAGGAGTAGCACGACGAGCTTGTTATCCCCGACCTCAGCCTCTACATACATGACCATGTCTCGCGCCTTGCGTAGGTCTTCGGGCTTGTTCGTGCTCACGAGGGCCTGGACGAGAGCCTGTAGGACGGTTAGGCGCAGCTCGATGCCCGAGCGGGAGAGGTTTTCGAGATCTTGGCCGTCGATGACGTTGTAGGACCGCTCGAGCCACTTGGCTGCTAGTTCGAATTCTTCCTTTTGCAGGAGGGAGCGCCCTATTTCGAAGAGGGCGTCGCAGAGATTCTCGGCGTGGCGGGGGTCGAGGGATTTTAGGGTGTCTCCTGCCTTGCGGTACATGTGCTCGGCAACGTCAAGTCGATCTTCTTTCCAGGACTAACATGAAATAAAGTCAGCATCGAGATCAAGGCGAGAGAGAGAGAGGGAGAGATGGCGAAAGCCCACCAGCACCGTCCTCAACACGAAATACTCAGTCTCCATCCCTCTGAACTCCCCCTCATACTCCCTAGGGCACTTCCCTTCTTTCACCTCCCTAATATAATCCACAGCCTTCTGCAGGCATCCCAAAGCCAACTCCAGCTCCTGCCCCCCACCCTCTATACAACTCCTGGCAGCCTTGAGGGCCAGTCTCAGCAAGTACATCAAGTCCTCCACCGCCACCATGTCAGACCTCTTCTTCTTTTTCTTCTCCCCCTCAACTCCTACAGACCGCCTAGCAACATCAATAAGCAAGAAAGCAAAAACACGACACCGCAGCAGCAGCGACTTCCTCATACCCACAGCACTGTTCGTCGCCGTCGACGCCGCATCGTTGGCCGAGACTTCGCGACGCAGTCTCGTACAGAGATTCCAAAGAGAAATCGCCTCGCACTCTAGCTCATGGAGTGTCTGGGTTTCCCGCACGTCCGGCCGCTGTTGCTGTGATCTCTTCTGCCAAAACACCTTCACCGTGCGTAGGTGGATGGTTACGTCGTCGAAGAGTGCCTCGATGGCTGCGCTGTCGGTTGAAGTAGGGAGGCGGGCTGCGAGGTCAGCGCAGAAGGCGAGGAGGGAAGCAACCTGCGCCATAGTGAGAAGGAGGGGGAAGAGATGTGAAGATTCAAATGTCAGTTTATATTAGATCAGATCCCGACTCCCTTTCACTACTTCTTTTCAATCCACCGACGGCCTCGTCTCCTGCTCGGGAAAGACAGAGAGATGTCAAATATCCCCGGTCTCCTACGGTGGAAGCGCGAATTGTACATTATTAAGTGACACTTGAGTATGTCAGCAGAGGGGCGGATCAAGAAGGGAAAGGGCCTCTCACCCGCTACTCTCCAGGTCATGTCACGAACAAGAGCCGTTGAGACCCGTAAGGCCCGGACTCGAGCCTGCCTAACGAGCATCAACCTGAAGAGCCCAAGATAACGCACTATCAAGAGCGCTCAAGTGGAATATTTTGAAATCCGGAGTTCATTATGGATTCGGAGCGTCACGGTCTCTTCTACTGAAAAGCAGAACCAAGTAACCATGGAAAATCAGAGTTGATAATCGTACCTTCTAACCAAGTTCCCTCTCAGGCATGAGTAGAAATGCACATCCTCATCCTCTCTATCTCTGTTTCTCACTCTCTCTCTCGCACACAATAAGCCACCTTCTATATGCCCAATCCGATCCATTCCCGCTTCGAGACATCCTCCCAAGCCGTTAAAAAAAAAGGCACCAACCGAGAATATCTCGATGCAACTGTATGTTCCCTAAGCACCTAAAGAGGCGAGGAAAATGAGAGGAGAAAAAAGGAAAAAGGAATCAATAAAATAAAACAAGTGGAGTTTAGCGATAAAAAAAGAAGAAAAAAAAAAAACAAAACACCCATCACGCCGATTGTGTTGTGCCCGGATTTTGATCTCCTTTCCTTGGCCCTTCCGAATTCAAGAACCACAAGAAAACCAAAATTAAAAAGACAAGAGAAACTATCCAAGAGCCCATTTCCTACCCATTGTTTTTGTAATGTTTCTGGTTGTTATAATATAGCTTTTGCAATGAGAATAGGAAATCCCAAAGACCTCGCTGGGTCCAGACGTCGTCTTGGCGCTGGAGTGCTGTCCGCCGAATGCGATGCATGTATCGGGTATCGACACAAGCAGTAACGTTGAGTTATAGCAGAAGAGCAAAGAGGTGACCACTTGGTAAAACGTGGTACCGCTTGCTCGAACCTTCAACCGTGGCTGAAGGCACATAACATATATAAATGAGCCCAAGAAGGATCCCTAAGGCTCGGGATCAATGGGCAAAAAGTTGCCAACAATGATGGTAGGTCTAAACAACACGTCAGCAAACTAGAAACCCTGTTTTTCGTCTCAGAGAGAGAAGACTTGCAGTTTATGCTCATCGCGTTTAATCATAAACGAAAATGAGCACTCGACAAGCGTCGGCACATCCGACCTGTCATCCGGAATCTTCAACGTACACGACGTAAGAAGGCTGTCATGGTGCGGGTCGAAAGCGATGGTCTGGAACTCCTCCCAGTACCGAACACACGAGTCCTCGGTCAGAATCTCATGAAGCGCAAGCCGGCCCTACCAGACACAAAAGGTTAGAAAACAGACGAGAGGGGGGGGAAAGTCAAAGAACCACGGTTCCAGGACAACTCACATTTCTAAGGCGCTCGACAGGCACACCAATTAACTCCGCCATCTCCTTATTCCCCCTGAAAATCTCCCCCGTCCTCCTCCACAAGCACGACGGCACCGCCATGCTAGCAAACACGCGATCATACTCCATGAGCTGCTTCTCGAACCACATCTCCACGATGACGAGCTCCATGTCCGTCAGCGCCGACGCCCTCTCGCGGAACTTTGGCCTAAACTGCCCCAGCGTGCGCAGGATCTTCTGCTTCGACGACGCGCTGATGTTGCGGTCGAGATAGGCGCCCAGGCGCGAGTAGCCCTTGATGTAGTTGAAGGGCTTGAGCAGGCCTGCATCGTACTTGGCCTTGAGGAGCCGCTGCATGCGCTCCTCGGGCGTCGCGTTGCCCGACGGGTCCGCCGCTTGGAGGTAGTACTCGCGCCGCGCTCTGTCGTCGCCGGCGGGGGTAGCTCCACCTGCCGTCATGGGCGGTCGGCGACCGGAGGCTTGTTGTTGGTCTGCGGATTGCGGGGGAAGAAGAGCCGCCTGCTGGCGTTGCTGGGGTGAGATTCCGGCCGCACCGGCGAGGCCGGCCGCGCTGTTGTTGCGGAGTCCGGTGATCATGTCCGCGGCCGATTGGCTGAGTCTGGGGTTGTTGTTCGCTGAGGTGCCTGCTAACGCCTCGGCTAGCTGGCCGCCGTCATCGAGCAGGCTGGTGTGGAGGAAGTTGTCAAGTAGATTGAACTCGTCCGTCACCTCGGGCGCAATCATGTAATTGCCGTGATAGGGGAGGCCATTGAGGTGGCTTTGCGCTGCTAGCCACGTGTCTTGGAATCCAGCGACTGTTGCAACGGCAGCAAGAGGAGGAAAGAATGCCTTGTAGGTTAGAGAGTGTTGATTGAATCTTCGAAACTTTTTATTTCTTTCTCCAGAGAGGAAACGGAGCAACAGGTGGTAGGGGAGTGTTGTTTGGAGGGGGGGGTGGGTGGTGTGGTGTGGGTTAAGGCTTCGGAGGAAGGGGTACATAGGAAGGTATTAGTGAAGCTTGGATCAGGCGAGGGAGAGAATACAGCGCAAAACCGTAAGAGGTTACACGCCAAGAGAAACGTGATGCCCAATCGTACAAGAGGAAAATGAGTAAAAGGAAAGAAACGGCATAAGAAAAATAAGAAAAATAAGAAAAAAGGGAGCAAGACCCACACTGTCCTAAATTACCGCCTCCCAGCAGGTTCCCATGCAGTCTCGCATGCGGCGATTGTTGTACAAGATGGTGAAGCGAGGCCCCGCCAAGCACATCATCGCCGAAGGAACCGGAGCCCTGCCTCTGGCGGCCGTCTAAGGACGGCGGACGAGGGGCAGCGGAATCGAATGCGGGCGGCACCGGCACGGTGCCTCTCGCTTGTTGTTGTTGCTGCTGCGGTTGTTGTTGTCCTGTTGGGCCGGACACAGAAGTTCGGCGCTCGGTATCGTCCATGACTGAAGACCCAGCGACGCTTTTCGACTTTCTCGAGTCGGCATCGCGAGGCTCGTCGCGGCAGAGGTGGCTAATATTGCGCTTGATACACCTTGTACAAGGACGTTCCTGGGTTTCCCAACGAAAGTGAGTTAAATGACTCAGTTCTTCTCGAAAATGGCAGCGGGGTTTCAAGGAAGTTAGGGCGTGAGAATGTAGGATGAGACGAGGAAGAAAGGAACACAACGGGAAGGGAAGAGGCGGGGATGATGGAGAGTAGGTAAGGGAGTCTGGAAGCGAGAGGAGACCGTGGAGAAAGGGAGGGGTCTCAATAAGGCAAGTTGAGGCATCTTACATACAAGGTCGCAAGTCATATGCTGAATATAGATCGGAAAGAAACACGAATGCCCAAAGTCAGTCAAAAGAACCAAAACATAGATGGAGAAAATGATGTCCCAGAGCCCAATAGCATATCTGCAGAAGTTGTGTTCCTGGCCCCGGCCGCTTCATTCGCCGTGCAAGGTCAGCAACAGCTGCAGTGCAGGCCGGAGCCGGGGCGACCAAGAGAGCTGATGGTGTCGGTTCTCGGACTCGGATACGAACAGGTGGCTGAACTGATAAGGGGAGAAAACTCACAGAACGGCGGCAGTATATGCAAGCTATAATGTTTTGAACAGTCTAGTGTCAGCGCAGTTCAGCACACACTCACTTGTCGAGAAAGGTGATGAGACGGAGGGTTTATTTCACGAATCAACTTATACAGATCCGCGATCCGCATCCGCAAAACTCACAGGTTTCCCATCAAGTTCACTATTCCTCATGTAGCTGCCCCACTGGGGGCGAGGAGCAAGACGAGAGTAGGTAAAGCAGGTATATCGGTATCCGCCCTAGGCCTTGGGCGCAAAGTCTCACAGGTTGGGCTGCCACGACAAGGGGAATTTTGGAATTGAGAGGGCAGGAAAAGGGCAAAAAAGGGGTAACAGCATGCATTCGTGTAACGGGAAGCAACAGAAAGGTGTGGTCACATCAGGGAGGGAGCCGTATAAAACGCGGCGAACTGCACGAAGGGAGGGAGGGGCGTGAAGAAGAGCAGCAGGAAAGGACAAAAGGAACATAAGGGGGAAAAATTGGGGGCAAAAGTAGACAGCAGGCGCCAAGAGGGAGATCCTTCTTACCATGATTAACCTTCCTCCGCTTCTTTTGTCCGCGCTCAGTGTGAACGGACCCCGCAGCCTTGGACTGCGCATCTCCAGCCTTGGAACCAGCCGTGCTATCCCTGCGCTGTTCCCTACCATCGAGGTCGCGCTGGCGCAGTTTCTCGTCGGGGCTCTTCCCGTGTTGGTGTTGGCGGGCGGCCGCCGTGTCTACCACCGCTTGGCTTCCCATGGAGGCGGCGGCGTTCTGGTGACTCATTGGGCGCTCGTGGCCCCGGTTTCCATTGGGTATATCTCTTTTCGTCGGGGTGGGTTACGCAGGTAAGGGCCGGGATTCGCAGATCATTTGAGGAGGGAGAGCTTCAGATTTTCGCCGGTATCTACAGTTGGAGAGGGGGGGAATGCGCGTGTGGTTGGAAGGGGGGTATATCGGAGCACGGCGAGGGGTTCGATGAGGGAGGGAGAGAGAGAGGCGCCGGGCCAAGAGCGGTAGGTGGAAGGACGAGCTGTTCGGGTGTCTGCAGGAACGGGCAGGAAAGAAAGGCCGGGACCGGGGGGAGGAACCAGTTATCGTCTTGCGAAACGGGGGGTGGGCGACGGGAGTAGAAGAGGCGGCGACGAAGGAGAGATTCGTTCACCGGTGTGCGTGTGCGTGCGTATTCTCGTTCAGCGTGGGCGCAAAAAAAGAGGTCGAAGCTTGCTCTCGGCGTAATGTTGTCCGACACTTTAAATTCCGCTTTCTCTAAGGTCTCAAACTTCTCGTGTGTGCCGGTCGCTACATAAAATATATACAAGGCGCAGGCGCAAAATTTCCGTTGTACGAAGTTGCAGTGTGTCTCTATCCGTTTCTTGTCTCCCTTGCCTTGAAAAAGAAAAAGAAGTTGTGGGTACAGGTACAGAACAATTTGAAGGGACGGAGGATTTCTTTCGTTCAAGTTTCCTCTTTGCTCGCTTGTCTTTTGCGGTTTTGCGGCTCGCGCCGACGCCGAGCATCCAATGATCCGAGGGAAAACAGGACGATCACAAGGCTGCCCTGTGCCCCCCCGTTATCGATAAATGATGGCGGCGGGGATGGGGTGGGTGGTAGGCAGGGGTTCGAAGGGGGGGTTCGAGGGGAAGACTCGTTTCTGGGTAGACTCAATTTGAAAAACGGGGCGATTTCGCGTGGGGAATGTTCTAGTGTAGCGCGGTCGGCGAAGGCAAACTGAGCTGAGAGTTGAAGTAGAGATTCAATGATGGCGATGACGACGGGCTCAACTTCCTCTTGCCTGAGGAAGACAAGGATTTTTTTGCGACTTTTTTGGGGGAAGGTACGAAAGAGGGTACGAAGTACGGAAGGACCCTGAGCTGACTGGAACAGGCGTTGAGATCTAAATGTGGCAATCAATGCAAGGTCGCTCCTGTCCTGCTGCTGCTCACTCTTGCTGCTGCTTCTGCTACTGCCGCTTGTCGTCGGTCGGATCGAACTACTATTTTTATCCCGGTTAATAAAATTTCTCTTTTTTTTGTTCTTCGTCTTTTTTTTTTCTCTCTTGTCCCGCTCCGGTCGGTCTGGTTCGCGCTGAGGGTTATTAGAGGAGAGCGGATTGGATGATCGGACGACTTGGGCCGGCAGGTCGTGGACGTGTGTCGGCGTGGGACAGTGGGCAGTGGGACGTGGACCGAAGGGAAGGGAACCAATGCACTTCAGGATGTGCGCACGAGTTCATTCCCAGTTGGGATTTCAATCGATCGATATTCCTTCCAAGCTATCACCGCCGCAAGGGTTTCCAATCAGAGAAAAATCTGGAAGAACGAGCCGGGCTGGTCCAAGGAGTCGTGAGGAGGGGTACTGAGTACTTTGGGACTGAGGGCGAGATTGTGGCTTTTACCCCGCACCTCGTGTCATGTGCCGCGGTAGATTGTACATAGGAATGGGCTGGATTTGATGTACATCATCGTACTTCTTGCTTCGCACTTCGCAGATTGCTTTCGCACACAGGCCAGCACTAAAATGACATCAATTGAAGGGAGCGAACGATTTGGAAGGATGCTACGAGTATTACGAAGGACTCTCATTTCAAGAAGACGGTCAAGATTGATGCCAGGCTTGGAAGTATGAGGATTTGGTCGTTATCAACAGTATCACCGGTATGCTTATGCAGCCATTGATAGCATCAATCCCGTGTCAAATCACCTCAAGTCGGCCAAAGAAGGGGGAAAAAATGTAAGAGGGATTTGATACACAAGTGGCAACATCAATTGATCGAATTCCACGTCGAAGAAAGAGGTCCAACGGCCCCAGCCATTGACCCATCCCCATTCATCTCAGACCGCCATCTCAAATGTCAACGTCAGCCAGGCAAAAGCATTCGATCATTTGATATCAACCGATCAGCAGACTCGAACCTCAGCCCACACACCTTCTCGGACCCGCATGGGACGAATCCAGTTCAACCTTGATCGAACAGGCAGTTTTAAGAGGTTCCCTTTACTCTTAGATCGCTCCGCTCCGATGCTTCGAATCCTTCGCTCATCGCCAAGCTCCGTTCCCCAAGATCTCTTCCCAACCACCCCCGGGACCATTGCTCAATGCGAGAAAGAGACCCTTACGGCTTTTTATAACATCAAACCGGACGATTTTTTAGAAATCCTACAAAAAGCACGGCGCACCTGCAAGGACGGACCACCTGCATCTCCATCCCTCCCCCCCCCCCTTCAACCCCTATCAATGCTATTAATGCCGAGGATAACAATCCCTCAAGATGCCCCGATTGGACTCGGAGCTTCTCCCTGCCTCCCCCTACGGATCCGATGATGAATGCAATATGCCGCAGGGCCCCTACCCGCAGGGCCCCTACTCGCGTCCCCTCCCTCCCCGGGGATAAAGAGAAAAAAAAAACATCTCGAAGTGAGAGAGGGAAAGAGTGTGTGTGTGTGTAGGTATGCGCCACCTCTGGCCTTGCTAACGGAACGGGTGAAAGGGTGGTTGGGGAGGCTGCGGTAAAGAAATACCTCGGTGTACATTGGATCAATTGCCCGCTCCGCGAACGAGAGATTCCCAATTGCCAATCCCAATTCTAATCACGGATATCCGAGAGCTCTTTGCACTAACCCGAGGCTAAGACCGAAGCGACAGGTGCCATTAATTTTACAAGTCAAGGGAGCCAAAAAAAACAACATGCCATTTGAGATTATGATTCATCTTCCGGCTCTCTCTGTAGCATAACGGGGTTATTCGAAGCTCTTCGGACCGTGCCACAGCCCCGAGCCTGACCGACTCGGCCATCGTCTTCATCTCAGGAGTGGAAACAGGATCAGTGTCAAAACTCATATTATCAACATTGTCTGTAAACCTTTCAATCAACTCCCGTAATATGTTGATGCAATCTTGCGTAAAAGCCATATCCGTAAATCATAAATCAGATTTCCAAATCCAACCGCAGTAAATCCATTTAAATCTCGACAAAAAACGACTTCTCCCCCTCCCTCGGCACAACCCTCGCCCTCCTCATAATCGGATCCTCACATGCCAATCGTATTCTCTCAGGCGTAGCCGGACTCCTCAATCTCAATAGCCCGTCTTCGTCATCCGCACCCTCTCTGATACCCTGCTTTTCTCCGCCCGTCTCCTTACTCCACGTCCCCGCGTCACGCACCGTCCTGGCCGCAACGCCATGCTGCGCCCTCGCCGCCTTAAGCGCATCCCTAATCGCAAAGAACACCGCGCTGCCCATAAAAAGCGGCGGCTCACCCACGCCTCTCGACCGCTGAATCGTCCTGAGCTCCTCCCACTCCACGCCCTTGAGCAAGCTGACGTTGAACTCCTGCGGTATGTCGCGGAACCCGGGAATCTTGTACGTGCCTGGCCCCCTTGTGAAGAGGTTGCCCGCCATCGGGCCCGTGCCGCCCAGCCATAGCGACTCTTCCATTGTAAAGAGCCCCATGCCTTGCACAAAGGCGCCCTGGATCTGACCGTAGTCGATCGAAGGGTTGATCGACCGCCCAACGTCCATCTTGATGTCGGCACGTACGCACGTCCACGTCCCCGTGAGCGTGTCGACCTCGACCTCCGCCGCCGCCACCCCTTGCGTAAAGTAGAAGAACATCTTGCCCCGGTTCTCGCCCCACACGTACCCGATCTCCGGCGTTTTGTAGAACCCTTGCGCCGAGAGGTTCACCCGGTCGAAGTACGCCGCGTGGGCGAGTTGCTTCATCGTGGCGTTCGGGCCGAGCTTCTCGCGGTAGGGGGCGAGCCTCTCGTTGAGCTGCTTGCAGGCGTTGTAAATCGCGTAGCCGTTCATGTCGGAGGACGCCGAGGCTGCCGTCGAAGATGCGTTGGCGACGGTGTTCGTCGCCGTCTCGGAAATGAAAACCGAGTCGAGCGGGACCCCGAGCGCCTGCGCTGCAATTTGAGTCATCTTGGTGTGAAGACCCTGTCCCATCTCGATGCCGCCGTGGGCGACCAGGATCGATCCATCGTGGTAGATGTGCACCAGCGCCCCGGCCTGGTTCAGGAAGAGTGCTGTGAACGAGATGCCAAACTTTGTAGGAATTAGTGAAAGCCCGCGCTTCCGCCACTTCGACTCCTTGTTAAACTTGGCCACGGCCTCCCGCCTGCGCTCGTATTCCGATTCCTCTCGGACCTGCTTGTACATCAGCGGCACATGCCAGTCCTTGATCGTCTGGTTAAAGTGCGTCTGATCATCCCGCCTGTAAAAGTTGATCTCTCGGAACTTTTCGACGGGGATGCCGAGACGGTCAGCAATTTCTTCCATGTACGTCTCGGCGATGAACATGCCCTGGGGCCCGCCGAATCCTCGAAACGCAGTGTTCGACATGGTATTCGTCCGGCAGAGGTGTCCGCGAATATGGACGTTCGGAATGAGATAGCATCCATCCGAGTGCGACATGGCTCTCTCGCAAACGGCCATGCTGAGATCGGATGACCATCCGGCGTTATTGTAAACGTCGGCAACTAGGGCTTGGATCTTGTAATCTTTGTTCACGCCAACCGTCCACCGTCCGTAGAATGGATGCCTCTGGCCTGAGGTAACCATGTCCTCTTCCCGAGTGAGCATGCATCGTACCGGTCGTTTCGTCTTCTTGGCGGCGAGCGCACAAGCCGCGCTCAGCGGCACCGACCTCGTCTCTTTGCCGCCGAAACCACCTCCCAGTCGCTTGACTCGGACGACGACCTTGTTACACTGGACGCCGCACACCTGAGAAACGAAGACTTGTCTGCGTAGAGTGTTAGTTGTTTAGTTAACCAGACCAGAAAGCAGCCAATATCAAAAGGTACTTACGTTTCATTTGCGTTTTGCGTGCTCGAAAATACCTCCAGCTCACCACCCTCAGGCTTCGGCACCACCAAACACGCCTGTGTCTCAAGGTAAAAATGCTCCTGTCCACCCATCCTCGCCGTCCCACTAAAGACGTAGTCGCAGTTCTTGAGCGCCCCTTCAGCGTCCCCCTTCTTGATATACCTATCATAGGGGTAGAGGCTATTCTTTTCGATCGCCTCCTCGATGGACAGGATGGCGGGCAGTTCCTCGTACTCGACTTTCACAGCCCTCGCCGCCTCCTGCGCTTTCAGTGCAGAAGTAGCTAGCACCATCGCGATGGGCTGTCCGGCGGTATAAACGTATTCCTCGGCAAAGAAGACTTCGTCAAAATTGGGCGCACCCCACTTGTTGGCCTTGGGATCCGGAAGGTCGTCCTTATCAACGTAGTCAACGACGCCGGGCATGTCCAAAGCCGGAGAGTAGTCAATAGAGACGATACGCGCGTGTGGCTTCTTTGATAACACGTAGCACCCATAAAGTTCATTCCTGAGCGGTGGCGTATCGTCCGTGTACTGTGCCTCGCCTGTCGTCTGTTTTAACGCCGCGAGGTGAGGGTTCTTTTTACCAACAATCTCTTGTTCGTAAGACGCAGCGGTCGACTCGTCAACCATACCTGTTGATATATCCCGGTCCAGTTCTTCAATGGCTTCTTCGTCGGCTTTGCCTCCGCGCCCCGTAACCTTCGAGTCCATGTCGCTGAGCGTATCGTGATAGAAGCGGTAGAAGAATCCCAAAGCCAAGGCCTTTCGGTAAGAGGCCATACCGCCTGGGACTCCAAAGGGTAGGTTAAAGTCGGTCTCGAGGGCGCTCATGGTACCCTCCAAGGTATCTAGGTCGGCAAGGCGCTTTCCAACGAGATATTCTTGGGCCGCCTTGGCTGCAACGGTCATAGCCGCCATTCCACCATAAATCAAATCGCATTCCTTCACGAAGCCGCTCGGATCGACTAACACTCTAAGTGCTGCCGTAACAATGGCAATGTCGTCATCCTTCCTCTTGGCCTGTTTGTAAGCTCGAAAATACTCACCCTTTTCACGAGTAAGGGGAATGCGTATCGACGTGATGATGGCGTCAGGTGCAAGCGAGGTCTTTCTATACCCAGTAAAGAAGGAGTTCATAGGAATCTCTGTCTCTTTGCCAAGTGACTTGGCCACCAAAACGGCATTCGCTGCGCGCAAGACGGGGTTCAAGTCGGAAATGGGAGAGGCAGTCACCAAGTTCCCTGCCGGGGTACCAACGTTGCGAATCTGCCTCCCAGCAAAGAACTTGAGCTGCTTGTGAATCGCCTCGAAGACTTGGGCTCGCTCTTTCCCATAGTATTTAATCGCTTCCAGTGATATCGCCTCAAGATCCGTCAGAGCAATGTTACCCCCAATCTCGAGATGATCGTCGTTGAAAGCATACTGCCGGAGGTCGGGGATGTCGCCAACGTAGATGGATACGGGGTATTGAAGCGCCTTGAACTTGATTTCGATCTGAGTCTCGGTGCTGCCACCAATGATCTTGGCCGCCGGATATACGGCTTTGATTTGGAGAAGCTGGTCGAGCGTGACAGGCCGACACCAACGTTTTCTCTTATTTCCAAAGGCCAAGGGCTTCATCTGATATTTCTTCAGATGCGGAGGGAAGATGAGTTCGGTGTCCCGGTCGTACTTGATAAAGTCAGGCCGCATGAACTTGCTCTTGACCGGTCCATCATCCGTTAGACTTTTGTCCTTGCAGCAGCCTCCGCCCCCGTTCGGCGTCTTCTCCATACAACACCCACTTCCTCCGTTGGCGGTAGCCTTTCCACAAGGGCTACCTGCTCCCCTAAACGAGTGCGCCGCGTCTAGGATAGGCCTGTATCCTGTACACCGGCACAAGTTCCCGTCAAAGGCTTCTTCTACTTCAACCCCAGATGGATCTGGGTTATTTCGTACCAGAGCGTACAAGCTCATGACAATACCCGGTGTGCAGAAACCGCACTGGCTCCCGTTACCGATGGCGACCCGCTGCTGTACAGCATGAGGGTTCTCGGAAGTGCCCAGGCCTTCGATCGTGATGACATGTTTCCCGTCGACGCTTACGAGGGGTGCGAGGCAGGCATTTACGCTCGCGTGGTAAATTTTTTTCGTCGTGTGGTTATACTGGCTAATGACGACGGTACACGCACCGCATCCTCCTTCGCCGCAGCCCCTAGTTGGGGATAATCAGGTTAGCATTGGCAGGACAGGCTTAATTATCAGTGGCGAGGGCGAGTGGGTGGTTGAAGATGTTAGTCCCTACAGCTTGGTCCCTGTCAGCCCAATTCCTCGCAAATACTCCAAAAGAGTTATCTCCGGATCAACATCTTCCAGGACCACTCGTGTGCCGTTCAGGTAGAAAGTAAGCTTATCATCAAAGTCGGCGGTCAAGGCGGAGAGGCGGCCCAAGTCGGAAACCTCCGAGGTGGCAATAGGAGCCATGTCGACAGCGAGTGAGTGCCGGATAGAGAAATACTAGCTCTAGGTTGGGCCATGCAGGGAGAAGAGAAGAAAAGGTACGAGATTAGAAGAGAAACGATTAAATACGGTGGAAAATATGCAGGGGGGAGAATGAATAGATAGAATGAATGGAATAGATGGAATGGACGAGATAAGTCGGTCCCATCGGAGTTGCTGGAGATGTTCTTATCATTATCAAAAGGGCAGGGGCGGTGGAGCCCGGCGATTGCCGCTAAGGCACGACGGCGTTGAAGCTACGAAGCTGCTAAAGTTGCTAAACAATGACGGAGCGAGCTAAGCAAACACGGCGTTTTTGTGGGGTAGCTGCAGCTGGCCCGGTTGGTCTGGCGGGGAAGCAGCACGTGTCGACGTGCTTGCTGCACTTAAGCAAACAGCATCGAAGCTTTGAATGGTCAGAATTGATCCGTTGATCCCAAATTCTTGGTCAATCTACGAAGCATCCCTGCCAGTCGATGAGTTTGGCAACTGCTTGGATGACCCCCACCAATCAAGGCCTTCCCAGGCCTTTCCATCAATTGATACGTCATCTGCTGAGTGCTGAGTGCTGAGAGCTGAGAGCTGAGAGGACGGGATGCATTGGGAGACAACAGCCAAAATTGGTCCGATCCGTACCAACCAAGGAAGATCCTACACGTATTAGAATTCGGCATGTTCGAGATATACCCAAGGAGTGCGAAGCCCTCGGATTATTGTCTGGGGAAAGACAGCTGGTGGTGGAGGAGAAGATCATCCTTGCTCTGACATTTACAGCCCCTGTCGCCTGTTCGAGCAGTCATATTCCAGCACGCATTGACAGCAGCAGCGAGCGCCTCGGAATGCCACACGATATCTTTCGTAAGTTGCCTGCCATCGATGCAATCATGATGTCAAGCGATCTCCATGGCTTCCCTAGCCAGGCTTTCCGCCTCCACGTCCACGTCTAGCGGACTAGCGGACATAAAATAGCAACAACTCTCCTCGACTATCAACCTCGCCAACAGTTGGCATCCGTATTCCCCAAGCGACAGGAGGAATGGGCAGACACAGGCAGCAAACTGCATTCAGGGCCTACCACTCCTACCGCTCTCACTTCAGTAAACGTTCGAGACGTTCGATGACTGTTGCAAGATCCAGAGTTCCAGCCTTCAACTTTTCCTCCATGCTCTCAACCATCTTTTTCTCATCAAAGAATGGCCTCAATCCATCCAGCTTTTTCGTGACGAATGCTTGAGCTTCTTCACCAGCCACTTCGGCAGCGAGGTTCTCCCAATCGGGAGTGCTAGCTATGAGCTGGTCACAGGGCAAATCCGTGACGTCGATGTAGAAACCCCGGAGCACCATGAGGTACCACATCGTGCCATTTTCTTGGGATCGCTTCACCAGCGAGGATAGTCCCTTGCGCTGGTCCGGCTGTAACTTCTCCTCTTCCGCCTCCAGGATCTGCATGAACTTATTCAAATATTGGAGGTACATGCCCGCGTGCTCATCGCTCGCCGCAAGGGTGTTGGGCCTTGCCTGAAGTATCCACCAGGGTGCGGTCGCGAGTAGTTGAGCCGGTCCGATGTATGACCATTCCAGATCGACGACCCCGACAATATTCAGATCGTCCCTGTTATCGACAATCATGTTGGCTGGGCCGAAATCATCGCAGATGAGCTTAAACGGGCCTCGGTCGAATTCGGGCCAGGTATGCCGTTCAACTAGAGACCCGAGGGCTTTGTGAAAAGCGTAGTTCCGCTTGCCGCGCTCTTCTTCGTAGACTGAGTTCCTCTGCGTTGTGAATTGTTGCCAGTGCTGCTTCACGACGTGGTTGAAGTACTCTCCGGCTGTGGATAATTGCTCCGTTCTCGGGCCTAACGAGCGGCGGTCAGTATTTTAGGGAAAAAAAGGACCAACGTAGGCGGTTGGGTAGGAAATACTCATGACTTTCGCGCCAGAATAGAGATTGATCTCGTTAGCGGTCATGGTAAGTGGCGGCTGCAGAGGTGATGATGCGCCAGGCAGATTGCCGATCTGGTCAAAGTCGAGCGCAAAAAGTTGGAGCATGAATCGAGCAAGCTGCCTATATATTATCTCGAATGTCCTGTCGTCTAGCTTGTCGCTCAAGATGTGGTCGCCGGGGTCGCTAGAACCACTAAGAATCGGCTTAAGCCTCTCACCCTCGATGAACTGCTCCATGATGAACGGCCCCAGCCCGAGTCTATTGTGGTCGGCAGAGCCCCAAGCCTTGACTTCTGGGACTGGGATATCAGTCTTCTCGCTAATCAGCTTCAGTGTCTTTACCTCGTTGATAATCTTCAAGTCCAGATACTCGTCGCTAGTGTGGCCGACCAAGGGAAAGCGAATGAACCACTTCTCGCCATTGGTAAATACTGCAGTTAGGCCTACGTTGTACGAGCCATGAAGTATTCGTTGTTCCAGGGAGCATGGTAACCTCTCCGGGTGGTGCTCCGTCACCCAAGCAGGTATCTCAGGCCATTTGGATTGAACGACGACAAGCCACTGGCTGGCCTTGTGGTTGCCGAGGCTCTCTAATTGTATGTCAATGTCCATGACATGACTAGTAGTACTGCTGAGTTGAGTGATGTGATAGAGGAGCTGAGTATAAACGATGAAAAAGTACAATACACAGATGAGGATGGATAGGTAAGAGAATAGGCACTCAAAAAGAAGAAGAAGAAGAAAAGAAGAAAAGATAGAACTGGTTCAGGTCAAATTTGGTACTAATACTTGGCCCCTGGTTCTGTCTCGAACAGACTATTACAGCATTGCTGTAAGCCTTGGATTGGTCTGCTGCCTGGCGGTCGGACACCTCAATGGCAGCCACCAGACCTAAATATCCACTTTCTTGTTGTGTAGCCTGTCTTACAAAGTAATTATTCTTCTTCCTCATTCACAAGGTAATTCTCCAAGCTAAAGTCCCTATATTTCTTTCCGGTATGCCTGCCGGCTTAAAAAATAGTAATTTCTAAACGATTTATAAAGGCTTTAGACAGGACATAACTACATGGAAAGACCTAAATTACTATTAGCAAGCATTAAGGCTTGAAGTATGGAATAGCTCTTTATTTTGCTACTGCTGTAGATATTGTTGTGCTCCCCAGATCCTCTGGCTAGCTCTATGACTTGAAAGAAGTCGCAGTTAGACACTCCCCTTGACCCGAAAACGAGCAGAACACCATTCTAAAGTTTCATGGCTGGTGGACCAACCGAAGAGAAAATAGCCCAAAATAACTCTATCCTTGCCCTATTAGTCTGTCACCCATCTCTCCACCTTGCTGGAGTAGTCGCCGTTCCTGCCGAAAGGACGCCGCCGTGGTTAAGAGTCACCGCTCTGGCATGATCTTTAGCATTTCAAGAAATTATCGGGATTGCGCAGGCTTTTTTTACCTTCGATGCGCCACCTTTATTCTTCTCCGCTTCGGCCTTCTCTCGCGCCCTCTGTGCGTCCAAGCGTCTCTTCTGGGACGATCTTCCAGTCTCCTGTATGATGGTCACGAAGCCTGACGGGGTGTTGGACACTTTGTCGTTGACCGCCTTCCTGGCTTCGTCTGAAACTTGGTTTTTGTCCGACATGGTAGTAGGTTTGGGGGGATGTGGTAACTTATATCCTTATTGGAGAGTGGTGATGATTTGGTTTGATCGAAGGTGTTTGTGAGTTTGGTCATGTTGATTTGGAACAAAGGCTCTGGCCCTATTTATGTGCTTTCATGTCCACCCCTTCTCGTCTCTCTAAGCGACGACGTGGTACTTCTTGCCGCCGTTTTCGAAATCCCCTCTCATCCACACCTCCTTCGCAACTCACATCGGCAGGTCGACAGAGACGGAAGCCTATGAGGTTGGGGATAACGAAGCATCCACGAATAGAAGGTGCCCGGAGCGGCTTGGAGGGTAGGACGACATGTCCTCAGAGGGCAATGCAGTGGCCGCCTCCATCACCACTCAAGCGAGAATAACACGTCGATGACGTGCTCACACGAGGTGCGCATGAGGTTCGCCTCGAATCTACTTCCGAGTTCACATCAATAACGCATTTAATGCGCAAGACGAGTGAATTGGTACCTGGTGTGCCAGTGGGAGAGACGGGCGCTCTCAGAGGCTCCATCAACCAGTCAGAGTTTACAATCATGCCTCTTCACGCCTGCCGCAACATCAATGCCCCGGCCAGCCACGCCACCTTGGGCATCACCCATTACCATGTCATCGGCCTCCTCCAGATCGGTGGGAAGGTCGACCGAACAGCTCTCTACCTTATTGTGAGCGCGACATGTACTTGGATCGTCCTGGGGTTCAAGAGACCCAAGACTAGGCAGCAACGCGCTCAGTCTTGGAAAGTGTGGGGAAATAGGTAGGACAAGGCGAGCGTGGCGTAGAACCCGCCTGAACCTGTGCCACCCGTGAAGGAGAGCAAGAATATCCCAACCTCCTCGAGGATGTCTGAAAGTGGGTCAAGTGATCAGTGTGATGTGTGATGTGACGGACTCCAATGCGGCATCACAGATGAGGGTCCAGAGCTCGGGTTGAATGGGGGGATGAGAACCTCATCCCGATCCTCTTCCCTTGGAGGAAACGTGTATGTCTGGTGCAACATGAGTCCAAGTCCAGCCCATCGCTTCTCAGAATACGAATAGTTTGTGTTACGCTAGCCAGGTCAGCGTTGTGATGCCAACGATAGCCTCATCGCCCAGAAGAAAGACATCTGTGGTCTCAGCTAGTTTCCTCATTGAGCTCCCCCATCCGTGTCGTCTTGGGCCTCCTGGTTGATTGTCTTGGCCGCCAAATCAGGAGACCATACGAGAATTGTGCTTTAAAGTTAAAATCCGATCGATGGTGGATATGCTTTCATCAAGAGAATGTATTGACCTGGTCGAGTCTGAACCATCCCCCCCTCATCACCACTGTGTATATCTAGAGATATGTGCCCATTATTGCTTCGTCCCGTACCACCAACTGCCGTTGAAGCGCATGGGCCTTAATATTTTTGCCAGCCTCTCGGCTGATCCTCTGAGCGCTTGTGTCTCGAATGCAACTTCAACAGCCGCTGAAGCGACCCCTCAATCTTGGCTTCGCAGCTTTTAAGCGGCACAGAAAACGAGACTGCGTACGGGCTAAATACGTATAAGAAGCGAGCTGCCCGTGTCGCATCTTGGGAAATAAATACTCCGCATACGTATTTTTTCCAGATTTTCTCTAACCTTTCCAAGTTTCTATCCAACACTCTCTCTCACTATTTCACAATCCGTGTTGCTTAAGAGGAAAGACTCTTCGAAGCTATATTCGAGACGAGGGCTGATTTTCGACACCATGACTTACACCTTCTACAACACCATCAACGGCGAGAACCGCATCAGAGCCAACGTCCACCGAGGCGTCGACCCCCGCACCGAAAAGGAACTCTGGGATGCCCCCATTGCCAGTGTCGAGGACCTTGACGAGGCTGTTGCCGCGGCCGAGAAGGCTTTGAAGACATGGTCGCGATCGACGATAGAGGAGCGGAAGGAGGTTCTTACAAATATGGCGGAGAAACTGAAGGAGCATGCTGCCGAGATTGAGGAAATCGTCAAGCTCGAGACGGGGAAATCTGTCAGTTACACGCCGGGTGCAAATTTGTCTTCTAGTTTGGGTGGGAATAGAATGAATAGCAGATCTAACAAGGAGTTGACATCTAGGCACTCATGGCCCATATCGAGGTTGCCAACAGCGCAGGCCAGTGCCTCTACTACGGTAAAGAAGAGCTCATTCTCAATTCCCAGCACTTTCACATCTCGAGCCTCCGCACTAAATGATCCGTATTCAATTCTTAGCCGAAAACTACCTCGAGGACGAAGTAGTCCACGAAGACGATACCGTCAAAATCGTCCAAACCCACGTCCCCCTCGGCATCGTCGGCGCCATCTCCCCCTGGAACTTCCCCCTAATCCTCAGCAGCCTCAAAGTAATCTCGTCCCTCATCACCGGCAACTGCGTCATCGTCAAGCCCTCCCCCTTCACGCCCTACTCCACCATGAAGGCCGCCGAGCTCTGGCAACCCCTCCTGCCACCGGGCGTCCTCCAATGCCTCAACGGCGGGGCGGACCTCGGGGCCGCCATGACGTCGCACCCGGGTATCGCCAAGATTACCTTTACCGGCACCATCGCGACGGGAAAGCGCGTCATGGCGAGCTGTGCTAAGACGCTCAAGCGCCTCACGCTCGAGTTGGCGGGGAACGACGCGGCCATCGTGTGCGAGGACGTGGATGTTGCCAAGGTCGCAGGGTTGACGGCCGCAGGGGCTTTTTTTAATGGTGGGCAGGTGTGCGTGGCGACGAAGAGGGTGTATGTGCATGAGTCGATTTATGATGAGTTTTTGCAAGAGTATGTGGAGTATGTTAAGGGCAATATTCTGATTGCTGAGGATGCGACCATGACGACCTTTGTGCCCATGTCGAACAAGGCGCAGTTTGATATTGTGAAGAATATCATCGACGACTGCAAGAAGAATAACTACAACATTGTCGAGGGAGGGAATGTTCGTGACAAGGGATTCTGGATCGAACCGACCGTCGTCGCCAAGCCGCCCGAGGATTCACTCCTTGTGCAAGAGGAGCAGTTTGGTACGATAGCCCAGACACTTACCTGCCAGTATTACGAACCCTTAGATTTACTAACATGGCGTTTCTGTTCCCCTTCCAGGCCCTATCATCCCCATCCTCTCGTACAGCGATATTGACGACGCGCTGAAGCGAGCCAACCTCGCCAACGCCGGTCTCGGCGCCACGGTCTACTCCAAGGATCTCAAGCGAGCCGAGGACATCGCTCGTAGACTCGAGGCCGGGTCCGTATGGATTAACGGTCATGAGAGACCACACCCGGCGGGTTACTTCTCGGGCCTCAAGGATAGTGGATACGGAGGAGAGATGGGCAAGCAGGGACTGCTATCGTACTCGTACACCAAGACGCTTCACTTCAACAAGGATTGAATGAGGGAGACGGTCTTGGAATTCATAGTGCAGAAGGAAATTGAGTCACAGTGACCACCTATTGTACCTGCTAAAGGCCGAATACCGCGGTGTAAAGTTGAGTTGAGTTGCCAAAGTCAAAAGGGTCACGTCTGACTCCTCTTGATGAGTGATAACGTCCAACACCTGTCCCACCCTATACTCTACGCATGTCGGCTGTTAGCAACTGCTGCACCCACCACCGAAACCGGCAAGTCGCAATTACGCCATCGCGAGACTTGGATAGAATCGGCCATTTCGGGTAGTTCATGTCTATGAGTCTTTCACCCACCCTCACAAGCTTCCCCATCCTCTGCATTTACCGACCAGTAACGCTCTCCTATCGTTTCGTTCTTGGTTAAGTGAGAGGGGAAAGGGACGCAAAAAATAAGTGGATCAATTGGATCGATTCAATTACAAAAGAGGCGGCCCTCCCGCTTTACTTTACCATTGCCAATCGCAAAGAGACCCGAAACCCCATGTCTTCGCGACTCCGGCCAATCTCAGTCCTCCAGTTCACTTCCAAACCTATACACGCAGTCTTCGGCAGACCGTTCTCAACGACCATGGCGACGACTGAGAAGCTAAAGCCCGCGAAGAGGGTGACTGGTCAGAGGCAGGATGTATGGTGAGTTTGGCTTATTTTTCCAGACTTCTCCATGAGCAATTCGATTTTATTGTTATATCTCCCTCATCTCTTCTTGCTTGTTCCCCGGCGCGTTACTTATTCCCCCCCTCACGCAGGTCCTTCATCAATGAAGCCGCCGCCGCCTCACCCAAGCAACCCATCATAAACATGGGCCAGGGTTTCTTCGGCTACAACCCGCCGGACTTCATTCTCGACGCCGCTCGAGAGGCCCTCTCGCGCGTCGAGTGCAACCAGTACAGCCCCACCAAGGGTCGGCCCAGGCTAAAGAAGGCCATTGCCGATGCGTACTCGCCGTTTTGGGGCAGGAAGATTAATCCCGACACGGAGGTGACGATTACGACGGGGGCGAACGAGGGCATGCTGAGTGCTTTCATGGCGTTTATTGAGGAGGGGGATGAGGTTATTATCTTTGAGCCCTTCTTCGATCAGTGAGTTTTGTGCCCTGATGAGTGAGCCGGGGGAGGGTTCTGTGAGTGAGGGGTAGGAAGTGAGATCAATGCTAACTTTCGCGATAGGTATATCAGCAACATCGAGATGCCGGGCGGCAAGATCGTCTATGTTCCCATGAGCCCTCCCAAGGACGGTGCTACCGTGACCTCCTCAGCGGCGAACTGGACCATTGACTTCGATGCGCTTGAGCGTGCCATCACTCCTAGGACTAAGATGATTGTTCTCAACACGCCTCGTAAGCGACAAAGTCCCTTTGTCTAGCAAACGTCTCATTTCGCGTAACTGACCTGTTGGTTTTTTTTTAAAAGACAACCCTGTTGGCAAGATTTACTCTCGAGAAGAGCTAGAGCGTATCGGCGACCTCTGCGTCAAGAACCAGATCATCATCCTCTCCGATGAAGTCTACGACCGGCTCTTCTACGTCCCCTTCACGCGCATCGCGACCCTCTCGCCCGAGATCGAGAAGCTCACCCTCACAGTCGGCTCCGCGGGCAAGAACTTTTACGCCACCGGCTGGCGAGTAGGCTGGCTCATCGGCCCCGCCGACCTCCTCCAATACGTCTCCGCCGCCCACACCCGAATCTGCTACTCCTCCGTCTCCCCCCTCCAAGAAGCCTGCGCCGTCGGCTTCGAACAAGCCGACGCGCACAACTTCTGGGCCGAGTCCATCGACGAAATGAAGGGCAAGATGGACCGCTTCAACGAAATCTTCAAGGAACTCGACCTCCCTTACTCCGAGCCTGAGGGCGGCTACTTCGTGCTCGTCAACATGAGTAAGGTGAAGCTGCCGAAGGACTACCCTTTCCCGCCGCATGTGGCGAGCCGGCCGAGGGATTTCAAGCTGGCGTGGTTCTTGATTCAGGAGTTGGGGGTGGCGGCGATTCCGCCGACGGAGTTTTATACGGATGAGAATGCGTGGATTGCGGAGGATTATATTCGGTTTGCGGTTTGTAAGCCGGATGAAGTTTTGGAGCAGGCGAAGGAGAGGTTACGGGGTTTGAAGAAGTTTATGGAGTGAGGAGGAGGATCTGAATGTAAATGAGAGGGTAGAAGGTAGAGGCGTCGCAACGGCAGGGACGGCCGGTTTATAGACAAAAGAGATGTTGGATCTCCCACTGGTACATGGGTTAGTCTCTTGTCATACCTGTGTATGGTATAAAAAAAAATGGTTAAGAGTATGAGGGTCTAAGAGTAAGAGGCACGTATTGCCCGGTATGCTTCCCACAATTCTCCTCTTGCCTCTGTGTCTATCTGAGAGTCAGTTAACCCCCATCCAAGCAGAGGGAATGCGAGATTTTATGAGTAGACAATCAAGCCTGACCAATTCAACACGTCCAACATACTTCTCCACAAGAACAAGCTATCCCATCCATAACCCCTCCACACCGTTCCTCACGATAGTGCTCCGCCCACTAACTGCAAGCTCGAATCTCGCTCAAGGTCTCAATCCAATCTCTCTCACTTTGGCTCGAGCATGGGACCGCTTTCGATTTAGACCCACCTCGGATTGAGCCGTTCAAGCAACTAAAAGTCCTCATTGGTCTAGTGGTAAGGATACCTGCTTGTCAAACGACAGTTCGCAGGTGGCCAGGGTTCGATTCCCTGATGGGGAGCTTCAAGTTTCTTTTTTGCTCTTATCATCTTTTTTCTTCTTTTTTTTTCCCTCATAGGCTCGCTTGTGAAGACTTTATAAACCGTCCGATTTCATCTTATCGCCGGAGTCTGCGCTACCTTATCGAGGATGTCCTCACCAACGGTCGAGAGCGGATCAATCTCACTCCCGATCTCTCCTCGAACCCCGGCGATATGGGTATCAGATCTCTACAATATGAGACTTGGAACAAAGAGCAGTGTCGCTTGCATTCAGAGTCATGACGTAACCTGATTCTGCATTGAGGTTACTATTACCTTCCACCTCTCTACCAGATCATACGTAGAGTCTCCCTCGTCGTTGATAGAACCACGTAGATGCCCCCCCTCTACACCTCTCATCAAGCAAAATAGCATTATTATTTCCTACCAAACATCCTCATCCTCTCCCTCTCCTTTCAGTAAATCCCCGGCAAAACAGCCCACTTCTTCCCAACCTTCTCCTCCCCAAACCTCTCCACATACCACCACTTCCCCTTCACAGCCCTCGGAAACATGGTCGCAACCTCATTCACCAAGAACGCCCTGGCAGGAACGCACCCCCACCCCGCCGCGATCCAAAACCCTAGCCACTCGATCCACTCGCACAGATAGTGCGGATACAACATGTACTTGAACAAACCCGCCTGAGGGATCCTATAATGCTTTGCCACGGCGTTCTCCTTTTTCTCCTTCCCTTGTTCCTTAGCCAGCTTGTCCTGCCGCCGCTGTTCAGCCCTTCGGATCTCGCGCAGCTCCTCGTCGTGGAAAAAGTTACCCGCGAGCCCGAAATAGAAGATGCCGATGCCGATGACGAAACGAGCCGTGGCGAAGGGGCCGGTGGAGAGCCAGGCTTCTTCGGTCGTGGGGCCGTAGGCGGCGAGCCAGCAGCCTAGGGAGGTGGCGTTGCAGATTTGGAAGGTGATGGCTGCGGCCCAGACGAGGACGTGGATGGGCGACATGGAGGGTTGGAGGTAAGGGAAGAGGACGGCGCGGTAGCTGTAGTGGATGACCTGTTGTAGAGACGACTGTTAGAAAGGTGAGGAATAAGTACAGGAGGGGGGAGCGGGGGGGCGTACGAAGAGACCAGCGAGAACTCTATTCTGCCAAGGAAGATCGGTGATGCCGTGTTGGGCTGGCAGTGTCTTCATTATGTAGAGGAGGGTGAGGAAGCCGGGCGATTCCATGGTGAACCAGGCGATGCGGCCGGGGATGTTGAAGCGGCTCGCTACGGAGGTCTTGCCCATGCCGTACCAGTTGACGAGCCATTGGAGGTTGCCGAGCTGCGAGGGTCTGAGTGTCAGTTACACAGGATGAGAAGGTCTAGGGCGTAGGTTTGCCGGGGAGGGAAATCATCGCGTACGACGGGGTAGAAGAGCTGCCAGGCTCCGACGAGAGTCTCCCACCTCTCTCGCGTCGGCGGCATCCATCCTTGAATAAGCGACATTGTCCTGGTAGGTGTCGACTGCTTGTAGGACAGAAGGAGAATGGAGACGGCGAAAGAGCTTCCTTGCGCTGCTGTCGATTCTTCTCCTGGTCCAGCTATGCCTCGTGCTCGGATCCGTAATCGCCGAAGAGGGTCTTAACAACAGGATTATTTTCGCGGGGTGCAGGACGGAATTGAAGAAGGGGAAAAACGAGAATGAAAAAATACAACGTTACGAAACACAATTTACAAAAAAAATCCGTCGCAGGAGTTACAGCAAAAGGAGGAAATGGCACCACCCTGACAGAACCAGGAAATCCCCCAATTGCGACGCGGGCGGGAACTCGTGATGTCAGTCCCCCGGAGTTCGCAAGCGATGTTGTTCGAGCTGCGACAACGGAACGAGGGAAAAACGGCAGAGTGACCTCAATGTCTCGCTCGTCATTCGTCGGGGAATATTTATTATGTCCTCGATTGGGAAGGCGGTGGAAGATGTCGATGCAAGTTTAATTTGCTTCCCGCCGCCAATCACGACCTTGGAGACACTCTGGAGCTGGATGGTTCTTGTTAAGCTTATTGTTCGAGACGACGAGTTGCTGTCAAGGAAATTGCTTCATCTGGCGCAAACTTTGAACGTATGTGTGTGGGGAGAGAGTATCTCAAAAAGTATCGCTGATCGAGTCGCAGCTATATTGCACCGCTTCGCACCGCTTCGACTCCAAAACGTAATTATATTCATCTCAATAACATATCCATATCCTTGCCCATGTCCTGCGTTCCCTCTCCAAAGCAAACCCGAACCTAAATTCCCCAAAACCAGAAAAAAAGACAAAAATAACTTAAGCTTACTATGAACGAGAAGAGAAGATAAAAAGGAAGGACAGAGAATGGGAAAGCAAAAAGAAGCTAGAGAAACCTTGATGCAATTCATGAATTCATACCGCTCATCCTCCTTCCACCCGCTTCACAAACCCAACACCCTCCAACCAACCCACACAACTCCCTATGCAATCTCTTCCTTCCCTCATGCCCACTCCCTTCGCCCCTCGGCCCGTCCCGCCTCAACAACCTCTTCCAAAGGCGCCTGATCCGCTCACGTATCCTGTTCTACATGACCACGCAATCACGGTCCCTCGTTGACCCGCTCGAGCTGCCGGCGATAGCCGATGGCGGTACGGGTCGTCTCTGAATCGGCGGTTGCAGGGGGCGGGGAGAAGAGGAAGAGGCCACCATGGCGGCGCTGGAGCGGCGCGGGCCCGCATAAGACTCTTGCTGCTGCGAGACGCCGCCAGGGACGCTGCTAGGGTGGCTGGGGTGCCCGACCGGCGGGCGAAACGGCGTGTCGTTGGCCGACTCATCGTATGAAGGCGGCGCGTCGTCGGCGCTGGCGTCTCCCGGTCGGTGGACGGCAGGTCTGCCGACGGGGGTTCCTGGGGGAGGGACCAGAGGTCGTACCACTTGCTGAGAAGGTGTCGTCGTCGTGGTAGCGCCGCTGGGTCGTCGGAGGCCGCTAGTTCGGTTAGGGATAGCTGGTAGACTGCTTCGGTTAGAGAACGGTTCCGGCCTGTGTCTTCCCTGCTGCTCCATGACACGCTCGGAGAACCTCCGCTCCTGCTGCCGCCGAGCTTCCTGCTCTTGGCGGTGCCTCTCGTCCTCTTCCTCCTGCAACTGCAAAGCCATAGCATAATCCTGATCCTCCTGCTCGAGGTTCAGGGACCGCTGTGGTTCGTCGTGCCGCCCACCGTTACCACGACCGCGTACTGTCGTCCAACCTTCCTGATTGTCTGACGACGCGCCGGGAGTGGGCCAGTCGCCCTCACCTGTGCTGCCGGGGAAAGCTCCAGGCACGTTCTGACCACCCCTACCGGTCTCGGCGCCGCTGACGATACGGAAGTCGCCCGAGTAAAACTCGACGTCTCCGTTGACGTTGCGCAGAGATTCCCACACAACCTCTTGGTGGCCAGCATACCCTGCGTCTGTCACCAGAGTGAGGAGCCCCAGCGTCTTCGGGTGCTTGTAGAGGGTAGAGAAATGGTCGTTCCGGAACAAGATGGCCACCATACCGGGCTCCATCGCCTTTCTAAGGACTTCGAGGCCCCACGGCGTGAGCTGCGTTGCTGAGCCATGTAGGAACGTCTTGATGATCAATAGGTCTTGGTAGAGTACCTGTTCCTCCGGCGTGAGACCTGAAGAATTTGGATTTTCTAGTTTTTCGTTGAGCTCCTCCTCTAGGAACAGGAGATGCTGCGCCTCCTCGTACGACGTGGCGCGTCGTTTTAGCGAGTCGTACACGAGCTCGCTCGAGCTGGGAAGCCATCCGTGAACCAGGGGGATAGCGAAGGTGGCGTACAACTCCATTTCCTTCGTCGCCTCGAACACTCCAGGTATACACTGATCCCTCTCGTATGCGGGTACATGTGATAGGTACGTGGCTTTTATACGTTCGGCAACGTCTTCGGATGGGATGAAGCGAGGATTCACATTCATGCCTGTATCGAGCCCCTTCAAAAAGTTATAGAGGTCCGTCATGTCGGGGAGCTCGCCACTCCCTTGCCGGGGTATAGATATGAGCTCGTCAACGACCGCGTCAAGTAGTAGTGATATACTAATTTGTTCGCGAGATTTGAGGACCTGGATGATGGGGGTATCTTCATTTTCAGGCGGGTGAGTTAAAACGAGAGCGTTGACCAGCGCGACCAAAGGACAGGGGCCGTTGGCGTTCTGGACTAATATGGGAGACGTTCTGGGGTTCCGACTCGCTCTGTGGTCGTACCAGTTTATCGACTTAATGTGATACATCTCCGTCACTTCCCTTCCCGTAGTCCTCGGAGGGGGTCTAGGTGGTGGCACATATGCCTGTGTCTGGCTCGTTGTCGGCTCTGGAGATGGAGCTACTGATTTGCCTGAGGTAGTTTCCCTCAACGGTGTTGTGCTCGAAGTTAACAGGTCTTGGGGTGTGCTGTTGTCTCTGGCACTTGAGTCATTAAAGATCATATCCCACTCCTCAGACGGCTCTTCTGTCCTAATTTCCGGCACAGCAGGCGCCTTGCCAGTATCGGCCGGAGTGCGTTTGAGACCATCATCCCAAACATTCTTCTCTGAATCTACCTTGTCGTCGTCGATCTTGCTCGGCGTGGAAATGGGCTGCTTGGGCGGACGCGTAGGTTCATCAGCCCATATCAAAAGATCCTCGCCATCGTTCGCAGGAGCCGTGAGAGTGGGCTGACTGGACAAAGAAACTGCAGCGGGTTGTCGCGCGGGGTCGTCCATTGCCCAAGGGTCCTTAGTGCCATCTAGGCCATGGCCTATGACCACGCTAGACCCAGTGTTTGTAGACGGTAAAGTGTCCCACGGGTTGTTGCTGGGCTCGTTGAGTGACAACCTGTCGAACGCACCACTCGGCGCCGACGTGTTTGTGCTGCTACCTGTCTTTTCCTCCGCCATCTTTCTCAGAAAGGGATTAGTCTCGCTCCCGTGCGAGCTTGAGGGTGCGAACGTTTGCGGTGCATCGAGGTGGCTTGACCCACCCTGTGGTTGCCTTAGATCGGCATCCTCCCATATATTCGGGTCTTGCACAATACCCGGCCCGCCAGGCCGGAGGGATGCAGGCGTATTTCCGGTCGTATCACTCTGCAAAGGAGCTCGTGGGGGTAGAGGCAAATTTGAGTCGAAGGTCGCCCAAGGATCTATTTCCGTACCTGGTTGTTGTTGCCGGCGCTGATCATCAGGCCTGGGATGGGGCCCTTCCCCGGCGGTATCCCTTTCCCCACCCATCCCAGGTCAAACAAGGGGAAAGAATGTCAATGTTGAAGAAGGTCGATATTATGAATCAGGTACTGCAAAGACCTTCGCATAAATATTGTCGTATAGTATAATTGTGAGTTCGTGGTGGTGGCAGCGGGGAGAAGGGGGTGGATCGCGTGAAGGAGGGGTAAACAAAGGTCGACGTTGAGAGGGCAGTAAAGGTCTGTTCAAAATCCTAGCTCACACAAGTTAGAAATATTGAGGCAAAGGGGGCCAAACAAGAGGCTGAGGAAAGTCCATCCAAACCTTTTCTCTCCAAGGTGCTCTTCCTCGACAACACAGCTTTCACCAAGCAGAGTGGCAATGGGGGGCTGAGCTCCCTTCGGCCAGGAGGACGGCAAATTCCGTCTCTTTCAGAGCAATTCTAAGCTTCTCCGAGCTGCGCTCCCACTAAATGAGTACCAGGAAACTGTCCACACTTGCATGTTCAGCCTCGCCCGAGCCGCGTTTCGAGTGGATCTGCCTTGAGGAGGCAAAGGTGGCGGGTGTTGAGGAATACGCTTGCGCCGAAATGAGTGGATAGCAGGGAAGAGGAGTTATACGTTCGTTTTCAATTTTGAGGCCAATGTGTGTAAAGCTTAGGAACAATATTCGAACAGGGAGGCGAATTATCTAGGTCTTTGTTGCCTGGCGTTGCGTGTCCCCGGTTGAGCGGACAAGCTAGGCTGCGTGGAAGGATCCGGTCGTCGTTGCTCTCTTAGCCGCCTGTTGCTGGTAGATCAGTGGTGCCGCGAGGATCCGTGTCGTATTCCTCAGAGCTGTCGTCATCAATTAAGACTGCTGAGTCAGCGGCTGGAACCTCAAACGAGGTCGCCCACTTGTCGTCACTGTGAGTGGCCCTGGTGGCGGGATGTGGCAACATCTGTGCCACAGAACAACGGCGGCAACCACAACTAAGATATCAATGGAGCAGGCAGTATCATAGGAGACGCTATAACACTGAGTTTGCGTTTACAGAAGACGGTCGACATTAATGTTCCCAGACCCAGGACAAGAAACAACACGAGGAAACAACGGAAACCTCAGACTATATACAAATGCCATGCAATGCCAGTGTCGTTAGGGCTTGTAGGGCGGCTGCCCTGCAGGCGTGAAGGAAAAGACTCTAAGACGCTAGGAAGAAAATAAATTACACATTTCATCTCTCCTGTTATTACTCCCCTCTCCTCTCCACTCCTCGGCCCATAAAGGAAAAGAACGACTTCCAGTACTACCTCCTCACACCTAGCTTCTCCAACCGCTTACATCCCGGCATCTCATAAGCCTTCGCCCTCTCCATCTTCTCCTCATCCTGGAAAAGCCACCCATTCGCCTCGTCAACAAGTCTCTGCTTCGTCCTCAGCTCCGTATCGCACTCCGTCCTCAACACCCTAAGAAGATTCGACTCCGCGGTCTTGTCTAGTTGCGAGAGCTTGCTGTTCGAATACGAGTCGATGTCGGCCGGGTTCACAAAGTAGTTGACCTTGAAGTTGGGCGTCTGTCGCTTCTGGGTGTACGGTGGCATGGGGTTGTCGAAGACCATCCGAGGGCCAGCGGGTTGTTTTGTCGCCGCACTGTTGCCGGAGATGAGGGATGAGATGAGCGGAATGACGAAGAAGAAGAGGATGGGTAGAAGACCGAGGAGGGTTTGGAGCATGCTGCCGCCGTCGTCTTGGTCGTTGGCTTCACGCGGTCGCCGCCGGGGGCGAGCTCCGCCGAACTGATGGACTCGGATACCAGGACCGCCGCCGAAGTTGAACACAAATTGAGGACCCGTATCGAACGCTACGGGGGTCGGTTAGCAAAACCACATCATGATATTCGTATTCCTGTAGTCTCTCCCCAGTAAAACTCACCTCCAAAAGGTCCACCACCGAACCCACCACCACCAAAGAACCTCTGAAACATCTCCTCTGGCGTCATCTCTTCCTGCCACCCGCCGCCACCGCCCGGGAACCCACCACCACCCGGCCCCGCCGCCCCCGAAGGATGCCTCCTCGCAAACCCAGCAAAAGGATTCTGTTGCTGCTGCTGCGCGCTCGCGAACCGACTATCGGGATCTGTCCCGAACTTGTCATACTTTTCCCTCTTCTCCTTATCGCCCAGGACGCCAAAGGCCCTGCTGACCATCTTGAACGCCTCGTCGGCGTGCTCGTGGCAGTTTTTGTCCGGGTGCGTCAGCAGCGACAGTCTCCTGTAGGCCTTTTTGATGTCGGAGTCCGTCGCCGTCGTCCGGACGGTTTCGAGCTCGAGGATGTCGTAGAAGGCCGTGGGGCTGCAGCGGCGGATGCGTAGCACGGCGGCTTTTTGTTCGGGGGTGCATCGTCGCTGGGCTCCACCACCTGTGTCGGCGCCGGATGCGGTCGCGCTCATTGTGGGTTGGTTTTTAAGAGGTTGAGAGCTTCTGTTGAGCTCGATGTAGATGGGTTCCGGATTGGGGGTTTGCTTGAGATGCTCTGTGTAACGCAATCATGTACTTTTCGTAATCGAAATAACCGGCTATGCTTGGATGTTGACCGTTTGATGGCGCGGATGGCGGGTGTTGGCTTCGACGTGGTGTGGGATATATTTGAGTCCCCCCAGAATTGCTTGTGGTTATCTGGCGAGATCAAATGTTCGAGGGGAAATCTCCGAGGGATTTGTAAGGGGGACCTGGTAGCACGAATCCAGCACAAGGTTAAAAAAAAGACAGCGTGGGAAATTCGTCAGGACGCGAAAGAAAGGACTTCGAATGCCAAAGAGAGAAAGAAGAAATAGAGAGGGCTTGGGAATTAACCTCAAAATACCCGCGATAGTTGCACGTCAGAAAAAGTGCCGTGTACGTGGCGGCGGCGACGAGGTGTTCAAAATTGTAATGTACAGGCGGCCATTGCTGGAATTGCTGCGACTCTCTGGGACGAACCACGAAGTAGATTTTGCAACTGCAACTGCGCACGGGCAAGACATGGGCACGCAACACCCCGTCAATTGCTTAGTCAGAGCTGCTCTTCAAGCTCATGCAGGTAGACATCATATCACCAAATGGAGAAAAAGCTTCACTTGAGCTCTCAACTTTGCGGAATTTTATGAAAACCAATTGCTGTTCATTCCACACAGAAATCTTTTTCAAAACTCATACACTCTCACAATGGCGTCTAAAGAGCCTACGGAGGTTCAGCAGACCCCCCAAGAAAAGATTACGTCCACCCTCCAAAACTGGGGCAGTAAGTCACCTCATACGATCAAGCTCTCTCATCAACATATCCAGATCAAGAAGCTCACCCAAAAATACTAACTTTCTTCCCCTCTTCCTCCCCCTCCTTCAAAGCCTCTTCCCTCCCTCCAACAGGCCTAGCAACCCTCGTCGTCGCCCTCCACGGGCGTCCCCTCCAACCCCTACCTCTTCTCTTCGCTCCCGTCCTTCTCTTCTCTAGTTACGTCAACCTCGCCGGCTTCCCCACCGATAGTGCGGGTATTACGGCAGCCTGGAGCGGTCTCTACGTCCTTCTAGCGCTACGCAGGCGCCAGTCACTGCGTAACAAGTTCTCCCTGAGAGGGGTGGTACGCGGGTGTGCCATTGGCTTGGGGACTATGAACTTTGCGTCGGGGGCGTGGGTGTATGCGCATGGGGATAGGAAGGCGGATAAGGAGGAGAGGATACGGAGGAATAGGTGGGGTGAGAACTAAGATTTTGAGATAAAACAGGGGTTTGGGTGAAAGAAAACACCCAATCGTCTCCGTGATGTGTGTGCTATATGTATCAAAAGGTGTATATCAAAAGGACTTGTATAATAGGGCGGCAGGATAGAAAGCAGATTCCACGGGAATGTATATATATGCATGGCTGATTTCAGTTAAGAGACCAGTGCATCGGTGCCATAAATTCAGTGCTCTAGGCTAGCAACGACACTTAATCTACGCACCGTGGAAGTGGCATCATGATAGGGAAGGGTGCGAGAAAATAAAAACCTGCAGGTGCGGAAGGCTCACGTCCGCTACGTCGATAGTATTTAAGGGTCATCTCTCGTCTCTGTTGTATAGTACAGGAAAATGCAAACTCCCAAAACGCCTTGGTCACGCCATCGCCGAGCTGACCATCTCCTCTAAGATGCCTCAACACTTGAGTACACCCTTTTAAAAACCAATTGATGCCCTTTTCTGCGGAACTTTTTGGACGACTATAACATCGAGGCGACTAGAAGGGAAGAAGAAAATAATGTAGGAGAAGGGTAGGAAAAAAAAAAGGTAGGAAAGAGAACAAGATGACGAAAGAAATCGATCGCAGCCCTCATCGTGGGCAATGCGTAATCCTTGGCCGTAAAGGCCTCGTCAACTTCTCGAGTCTGGGTCTCCGCGTGTGTGTCCGCTCTATCGTTGAAAAATAAACCGTTTGCCGCCGATGCTTTTGTTTTTGTGGTTCGCAGATACGCCACAATGCTCTTCTCCTCTATTTCAAAACGCCCCAGATGCGGAATGAAAATGCGAAATCCGACGAAAAGTCGCGGGTATCATGGCTTCAGTTCAGGAAGCCTCAATCCTCTCGGAGAAGGAAAAAATTCATGACATGACAAAAAAGGAAAAAGAAGAGGAAAAAAGATGAAAACAAAAAGAAACAGAGAACATGGATGCTGGGAAGTTGTCGGTTAGTTACCCATCATGACGTTCGGCCCATAGCGTTTCCAAACTCGTACCCAGTGAGCAGCCAGATGAGTGTGCCAAGGAAGGCGAAGATGAGGGTTCGAAAAAAAGTCTTGGGGCGAGGTAAATGGTCGGAAGTAGGCTCCTTGAAAAAAGAGGTCGGCTCGGTGTCGGTAAGGTAGGCGATATCCGCCCCCCGCGGCTTTGGATCCGCGTACAAGTGGTACTCGGCGAGGATGGTAGGGGTGTCCCAGCCGTACAGTCTTCGAATGACACCAACAACACAGCCGGTACGATGCTGCAGCGGATGTTAGCCTCGGAAACGACCAGCCAATGCCAGGTGAATGGAGAATACGCACCCTGCCGTGATTACAATGAACCAAAACTGGGTGATTGCTCTCATCGAGGACAAGTCGAAGGACATTCATCATCATCTCTGCCGGGATGGCCTGCTTCTTGGTACCCTTCATATCGATGACATACTGCTTGATACCATTGGTCCTCAAGAAGGTCGTGTAGGTGGTATCTTCAACCTCTCGTTGAACAAGAGTCCTACAAAACCAGTTAGTCCCCCGTTTCCCCCAATGAAAAATTGAAGCAAAATCAGCGTCAGAGGCGTTTGGAATTAATATACGTACACTACCGTTTTCAATTTCAGATCCTTGATGAAGCCGTACGAGTCGGGAGCGGGCCAAGCACTCCTGTAAATACCTGTGCTGACAATTCCGAAGTTGGCGAGTTGCCCTTCCACTTCAGGAACGGGCGTAGTGGATTCCGACAGGCTGGGAGTGGCGGAGCTCTCGGCCTTCTTCAGGTAATCCCAGTCATCGGAGCCAAGGGCAGCTTCATCGGAGGCAACGGAAACTTCATCGGAGCCGAACTGTTCGGAGACGTGAGAGGTATTGGCGGTAGGGTGGGCGGCCGTGGTCTTGTTGTCGAAATGGGCGTCGAGTTTCTTTAGCTCCACAGGAGTGTCCACGTCACCTATCTTTGAGCTTCGCCTTGAACGCAGCTCGTTCTGGTCAAGTGTATGATTTGACATTGTCGTTTCGACAGCCACCTCCATATTCTGCTTTTTCGTACAGGGTTCGCAGTTGGATTTGCGTGGGAGGATGATGGGTGGGAATCTCCAAAGGTGTGGTTGGAGGAAGGGAGAGAGAAGTTCGTAGACCTGATCTTTGAACATGGGTGAGATAAAATCAGGTGGAAGAAGATAGCTTTTGTGATTGAGTAAATAGAGAAGGTGGTTAAAGGATTGGCAAGGAGATCCAGGAAGCTCTTTCCTAGGCCAGTAGTAACCAAGTAAAGCTCCAGTTCACGAGTGAATCTTGAAGCTAGCAGGACATATAGCCAGGTGATCAGATAAGAAGAAGGAGCGAAGCGGGAGTGTAATAATGGGAAGGTAAAGGCCAACGTTGAAGTTGAGGCTTTGGATGGAAATGATGGTTGGTGGTGGTGCAGCTGTTGAAACAGCAGCAGCGACAAAGGCAGGTTGTAAATGTCTGTGACCCGAGGGAAAGGTGCACACAATGGGATATTTAGATTGATATTCCAGTGACCAGAAACCGGCCTGTTAAGCGACCTGGATCCAGGACGAAACTAGTCACTTTGAATTGGCCATTTTGGGAGACGAACAGGCGTGTTGTTTTGTAGTTTGGGACTGCTCGGTGAAGAAAATGGAAGGCGTTCGCGTGTAAGTCGTAAGTCGCACAGGTTGCAGTGATATCCTCGAAAGGAAACCCTGCTTCTCCGTGGGGGGATTTCGTGGGAGAAGCGAGGTCTGGAGAGTTGATGGACTCTGACGGAGGGGGCCAGGACTCTAATAGCCCAAAGGCACAAGGGATCAATTGAGTAGGATCAGGGTGTGTCTGGCTACTTGTAGGATGATTTTAGGGGTTTTGGCTCCCCGGCTTTTTTTTGTGGTGCCTCAACCAAGCTCGATCACACTTTTGCTGCGGTCCCGCTTTCGCCTCATTCTGCACCAGCTGGCAGAACGATGCCCTGTCCCAAGTGTCCCAATTACTATTGCTGGCAATTCTGTAGCGTACGAAATGCACGTCTTAGTGTAGAGAAGTACATGAGAGTTTCTTGAGGGTGGCGTCAGGGATTCGGTCGACCAAGAAAGTGGACTTGTCAAAAGCGAAAGTACGAAGTACTTCGTACACTAACCACAGGACATCAGTATCCTCAGTACATTACATTTGATCCCTACTGATTCGCCTTAAGCCGACCTGGCTGTTCGACTTGGTAGTCTAAGCTCCACTAGTCCGAAGAGTGCCCATTGATACTTCATCGATGCCCATTTATAATATAGTGCCAGAGAGTGAGCATGAACTCATTTGAAAGCCACACCAACAGCCCTAGTTCAAGGCGGCTCTTGATTTCCCACCCCGACCAAGTCTACAGAGTATGAAGGAGTACCAGATAGTAGTTACTGACACATGTCGCTTCATGTGCAAGTACATTAAGGATAACTCGGAATCGACGAAACCTGTTGAGATGAGGGCATGAAAGTTGCTGGGTAGCGAGTCGTTGAAAAAATGCCCGTGATGTCAGAAGTAATAATACAGGGCGGATCAGATGTGGGATAGACAAGTATTTGGCTTGATACGATTCGCCCCCCGCCTTGGCCAGGTCTCAAGTCTGGCCTAGCTCTGATGGCCCTGGCAAAGTATAGTCAGTGATTGCCCTCAGGCTGCTGGCAGTATGTATTGGTGACTACTGAGCTGTCGGAAATAGAGGATGCGAGAGCACATGCCTCGTGTCCATCATACCTGACTTTAACCGATTGATGTTGACTCGATGAGGTACATCGTGCATCAATCACGGGTCATTTGGGCAGCATGTACAAGTGAAAAATGACAATTGTACCTCATCGACATTCGAGCCAACGACTGAATGATGGAAATAAGCCCTTCAATCCAGCGAGCTGGAAATCCTAGTCGATCACAACCATCACACACAACATTAAGCAAGAGGACACGAGAGTCGGATGAAGACGGGGATCAGACCTCTCTCAACCCACCCCAACACACGCGCAGATGCATGCAGCAACCTGCAGGAAGGGACAGCTCCAGATGGAGCGAAACCTTTTTCAGCGACAGCACAGATCTGAAAAGGGAACAAAAATGCGTGAGCTCATTCGCTACAACTAGAAAAGTTTACATCGAACTGGAATGGGGGGAGGACGAGACTAGCAACGTGTATCTGTAGGACTCAGACCATAGTCCATGATAGCTCCAGCCAAGAACCCGGCAAAACTCGAGCTTGTTGAGCAGAGTTTACTTTCAGGGCCCTCGTTCACGACTTGGAAGGCTGTACGAAAGCAATAGAAGCTTCACAAGCTGGAACACAAAGCCTCAGCGGGAATGCCTCGCTCTCGGACCTCAGAAAAGCCGGGCCGAGTTTTTGGGAAGCTGGCAAATGTATCGATCTATTGATGCCCGGAAACCATTTAAGCCATCCCACGCGGAGCTGAAGTTTCATGACTGAGGCCCCACAATTTATTCTTGACGCCTGTTGCTATTACGAAGTATCAATGCTCGACTGGAACTAGCCGACGATACTTCGTACCCCTTCCTACTCCTTCCTAGAGTGAGGTGTACAGAGGGAATGTGGTTTACAAATTACACTAGATGGACTGACATTGTGGGTTCCTGTGGAATGAAAGCCGCCTGTTTATCCTCTCGGATTTGCGATCCACACTAGAACATTGGCTCGTTCACAGGATCACTGATCGATAAAATTCCGCCCAAAAGTCATAATGCACTAAAACATTGAAACTTTCCGAGCAGCGGAAAACGGGGGTCCCTGAAGTCCGGACCCTTTCGTGCGACGGATTGTGCGGGATGTGCTCCATGCAGACCTGCATGGAACGGTTATTGGAACCGCAACGCCAAATTTCGTTTGAATCCATGTCAAGTCTCATGTTTCCAGCAGGAGACCTGGAGATTGGGCCTGGCCTGGCTGGGGGGGACGGCAAATGCTCCCAACCCATGTTCCCGTTTTACGCTGTCCAGCGGTTCGTGTCGTGCGAGCTCTTTCCTTCCCAGATGTATAGAGGTACGTACCTGGTTTGCCCGTGTTTTTCTTTCTTCGCTCTTTTGCTATCGCCATTCGGAGTGGGCATTCGGCGATAATTCCTGGGGAATCCGATGCTGCCGAGCTCCTCCACTCCGTCCGATTCTCTCCCGTGGTCCAAAAATCGATCTCTCCTATTTTCCTTCTTTTCTGGTTTCTTTTTTTCCCTGCACACTAAAGAGAATTACTCATCTTTCGCTACTCCCATGCATCCACGTGTACCACCAAACGCGAGAGGATCTACGAAGTAAACAAGTTGAAGCAAGTAACATTGTTGACGCATAGCGTACTCCGTAAGCTCTCCATTGAGTGCGTGTAATAGGTGTGATCCCCCCATCATGCAATGTAGTACGTATGCGTAGCTCACCACAAATCCGGACGTCTTCGGACATGGATCCTCGCAATTGGAGGATGTGCGATGGCGAACTCGGCGCCTTCATTGCATTCGACCCACGAATAAACACAAGGCGATCGTCTCCTCCATACGTAGCCGCCGTTGCCGTAGAGTTGTCTATCACCCTGATGAGCACGGGGTGTGGCGAGAAACTTCCAAGATGTTCGCCCTGGCTCAGAATTCCCATTTCCCACTGTGATCCAAGGCTGTGGGAATGTCTACTCTTAGCCTAGAACCTTAAGGGATATTGGCGCGTTTACTTGCGCTTTGAACCCTTTGAAGATTCAGCCTCCAAATTTGTCAAGGGTCACGTCGTCCCGTTTTCCTGTCAATCACCGGTTGGGAATCGAGCACACGACTAGGTAGACCCTCACATTGGACAATTTGCGTAAAGTCAAAATCCCCTGCAAATACTCTTTAAGTCTAATTACTAAACTCCATAGAAACTGGCGGGAGTTAACTTACGTCCGCTGTTGTCTCTTGATCCCCCGGGGTTTCTGCTCCGGATCCGAAGGGAACCAAACCTATCTTCCATCTTGGACTCGATCACTGGGGCGGATATAAGAACGAATGACGTCAAAATATCGCATTATGTTGCGCACAACTCAAAATGGGTGAGCAAAGTCCCGAGACATCAGCGAGTTGACGCGGTCGCGTTGCGGGCTTCTCCGATTGGGTTCGATAATGACCCCTTTGGGAAATCGGGGTGGCAAAGAGAAGACGAAAGACATGCCGCTTACCCTATATTCTTCCACATTACTCTCCTGTGCTCCTTCCAGCCTGGTGCCTCCTAGATTAGAAGTAATGACGACTCGCGTCGCGTTGGCAGCTTCCTGGGGTGATCCTTCGATGCGGATCATCTAAACTAAGTGAGTCACGAGCAGTGAGGAAGGTTGCTACTGAGTACTCCGTAGTTTACAGCCCGGTAAATGATGTCGTAGTGTGATGTCGGTTATGCAATGTACTATAAGTAATCCAGGAGGAGACAAGGACCCCAGAGGTGGACAGACAGCTCCATCCTCCCACTGACTAGGGGGACTCGTCCGCCCCAATGATCAATAATCCAGCCCCCAGACAAAAGAACATTGAAGGCGCCTGCCACTGAGGGTCCCTGCAGCTCAGGTACCGTATCGTATCTAGGGCTGCATCCGAATGTGCTCACTTTCATGTTGTACCACACCAAGAACAACCAACACCTTTCATGGGTCATGATGTTGACATGTTTTTCTGCGCACCAATACTGCAACCTTGGCGAGGAACGCCCCATTGTCGACAATATTGGACTCGGGTGTTTAAAACCCACACCTCGCCCGCTTAATTTCGATCTATCGATGAGGGGATTTAATGCAAAATTACATGTGATACCGCTTGCTGCAGATGATGCCGCCCCCAAGAAAAAACAAAAAGAACGCCTGTCTCCATTCCGTCCCAAAACATCATTCAAACAATGCAGTCTATGTGCCTGTTAGTAATACAAAAAGAGAGAAAGCAAAAGCCTGCCGAATCCGTTGCCATTGATGTCTTATTTCACGCCAACGCATCCCACAGGCGATGACCAAGCATCACGACAATAGTCCACAGCCCTTCCTCGAAGCATCCCGCACATAGTACCGAACTCGTCCACAGCTTCAGCGAGAGGTGCCCCACGGCGCCAATCTCTGCGATGCAGAGCAGCAGCCCCACGATATTGCCAAAGGACACACCCCCAGAAAGGCGGAGGATGGCGTCCTTCGACAAGAGCAAGGTAAGCAAGGCACCCATGCCGACACTGGCCCGCATAATCTGCATACTATGCTCGTTCGGGTTTTGCGCAGCGAATAGCCAAAGTCCGATGAGGACCACAAGGAACGCCGCATCGGTCCCTCGCGAACCTCGCCGAGGAGGTGAATCTCCGGATGCGGGGGCACCTTTCCCGCCACTTTTCCGACTCGCGCTGTTCGGGGAGGACCCCGCCTTCGCCGCATCCTCCTCCTCTTGGCTGAGAGTAAAACTACTACTCAACATATCCGCGAGGGAACTCCGCGGGTCCGCGCTGGCGTTTTCATAAGAAAAGAAGGACGGCGGCGCAAAGTTGACGTAGTTGCCGCTGCTGCTCGACTTTTTCTTACTGCCGAACATGCTGCTCCCGCCGAAGCGCGCCGTGAAAATTTCCCTGTCTTGTTTGATTGTCTGCGTGGCTGGTGGGGCGGGGTTAACCAGTCGTTGGGCTGGGGCCTTGGGCGCTGGGGGGACCTTGGCCCAGAATGGTCTTTGTGGTTTATCTGCTTGGCTTGGGGGCGCGCCGAAGGGCTGGGCTTTGGTGATGCCAGGACCTCGAAGCGCCGGCGCGGGTAAGCTGGTGGGTGTCCAATCCATTTCTTCGGAGTAAGTCGGCTGGGTAGGCTTTCGGGGAGGCGTACGAGGTGAGAAGGGGCTTAGTTGTGGCGAAGGTGGGAGCTCGGTGTTGCTGCTCGGACTGTCGAGTCCGGTGATCTTCCCGGTTACACGACTCGGGGTGTTAAGGATGTCGTCAAGGACGTCCGAAAGGTTTTGTGTCGTCGTAGAAGACTTTTCCTTGTTCGCCCTGGTCCGAGTAATCTTTGGCCGTAGTGTGGTCATTTCGGCCGATGCAAATAAGGGGGTAGTATCTAGCCTTACGCTCTTTCGAGCAAGTACGTAGACCTAAGAACAAACAGGGGTTAGATCTAGACACCGGCCCAATACTTTCCATGGAGGAAGGATAATAAAAACTCACATAGGAAATCAGACCTGCTACAAAGGCATGGATGGCAAGTTGGGCGGTCGCCTGCTCGGCGCGCTCAACATCAAGTTGTACAATCTTGGGAAACAAGTACCTTGCCACGGCCAAAATCGCCTGGAAAGCATACCACTTAGGCAATCCGAGGATAGGCCTAGAGAATCCCCTCACGATCTCGGGGAACTTGGGATTCCACCAGATTCCGAGCACCGTCATTTGAAGGGATAGACGGATCAGGCTTTCAGTAGACGGGAGAAATCGGCTCGTAAAGTTCCATGCTCGCACCAAATATCTTCCCTGCGCCTCTGCGGGGAGATCACTCGTCAGGAGATCCGCCGTAGCCGAGAGGTGCCACAGGAGTTGGCACGCGAACGCGCCATACCATAGCCACCTGCCCAAGGAATCGGTCAGGAACATCATCGTCCTCCGCCTCGGCGACGTCCTATTCGCTCTGCTCCGCTCCATAGCCGTGCGCAGAAAGTCCGTCTTGGCGATGTACCCGGCGGCGTTCAGTTTAGCGAGGACTTTTGGTTCGCAATCGGCGCACATCTGGGGATACCGGTCCTCGAGATCCTGTCGGAACTTGTAGTATTTCTTCTCGAGCGCAGCATAGTCCGGGTGGTCGGGATCATCGGGCAGGTATTGCGCAAGGGATGCTGTGTAGAGGTGTTGGTTCTTTAGGCATTTTGCGCAAAAGATGTCTTGGGCGGATTCGGGAGACTGGGGTGTTCCTGATCGTTGAAATGCGTAAGCGTGAGATTGCGATGCGGTGGTCGTCGCGACGGGCGGATCTGTAATCTCGCCGTTCTAGAAGACGAAAAGTTAGCATCTATCTTGGGCGCAAGGCCTGAGGCATCTACATTAACGCGGACTATGGCGTCCATACCTCGTCTAAATAGTTTGTCGCATCGCAGTGCGGGCAGAGAAACTCTTCTTGTCGGGTGTACTGGATGCCTGAGAGTCGGTTGCAGTAGAAGCAGCGCAAGTTGTGCAACCTTCTAAATCGAGCCATATTATTTTAGCTGTCATAACCGGGGGAGTCTCAGGTTGTTCCATGGGTTGATGGAGGTGCTTTATAGCTCTGCTTCGTTAGGCTGCAGAAGCAGGGACCTTTCTTGATGGTTCTTGAGGGTGATGGGTCGTTAGGATCGGGGCTTCGGTAAAAAAAAAGTTGGAGCCAAATCCAAATATGGTTGCTGGGGTGCCTGGGAGGTACAATTGAAGTCAATATTGGTGAAGAAGTGCCAAAGGAAAGGTGCAGAGGAGTAAACTGTGGGGCAGGAACCAAAACTGTCCTGGTACATATCTTGTCTACTGCCAGTTGCCCGTCAGTGTTGAATTCAATGGCAACCTTAGGCACTTGCCAGCATTGGCCACATCAAATCAGTGCACACACCCACGCCCAGCACTGGAGTGAGCTGTGCGGATCTTCACAGCTGACACGGTAGCTTCTGGCATAAAGCGATCCAGGACCACCAGCAAAGTATCCAGAGTCTTCAACAGCCATTCTTCTTTGTTTCTTCAAGGAGACATACAGAGATGGCTCCTTGAGAAGGGTCAATTAGTTTCCAGGCTAAGACTCAGCAAAAATCACAGAATTTGCCATTGTCAAGGTCCTGAGATTTCACTGCACATTGTGTTCATCGAGAGATCGCCAACCATCTCACTCTTACTGAAAATGGCAATCTCATTTTCAACAGGCATCCTCGCCCTCGTTGGAACCATTACAATAGCAGCAACCTTTCTCAACCATCCTGGCCTCACACCGGGTGTATGTGCCTTGGTCCTGCTCCTATTTATCCAAGCGCTCCAACTCCCGGTCAGCATTGGTGTCTTGAGCGCTGTTGGTGGTCTCCTATCAGCCTCCTTCCTCACGGCTTTTAGAGCTCATCCTCTAGAGACAGCTCTCGTTTCAGCAGGCCTCACCATCCTGGCACTTATACTATTCATCGAGGTATGTTTCGTGTCAGCCGCCTCTCTCATTGTATTTTCCCTCTTCTCGGATCTCTAATATAACCTGAAATAGGTTCGTCATGTGCAACTTAGGAGGAAGAGGGTGGGGAATCCTCAGTCTGTCGCCCGGGTTCTAAGCAAGGCCAAAAAGTTCGGCCTGCAGGCACCGCCTCTATATATCCTTGCGGTCCTCGGCTCCGGAGGCCACACTAAGGAGATGCTTCTCATGATGGAACACAGCTTTCCAACATCCAGGACTATGCACCGCCGTTACCTGGTGACAAGTGGAGATCACATCTCTTTGAAGCACCTCGGGGCTTTTGAGGAGAAAATTAAGAGTGAAGTAGAGTCGCAGGGCACCTACGACACATCCATCGTCACGAGAGCCCGTCGTGTTCACCAACCTCTCTATACGGTTCCATGGTCTGCACTGCACTCCATCCTCGACATATTCCCAGTATTGCTTTCGCGGCCAGAGATAGCTACTGCTGATAAGCATATGAGATATCCCGATGTAATTGTTACAAATGGACCAGCAACCGGATTCTTCGTCGCTTTGCTCGCCCACCTTCTCAAGATGTTCTATCTTGTGCCAGAAGACAAGATGCAGGTCCTTTTTATCGAGTCTTGGGCTCGCATCGAATCCCTGAGCCTGACGGGAAAGCTATTGCACTACACTGGGATTCCGGACTTGACTTTGGTCCAGCATGAGGCTGTAGCGAACAAGTACGGTTTATTGAACGCGGGATGGTTGGTACTGCCGCAGTCGCGGCGTCATCGGGTAGTACAGCAGATTTGCATGAGTTCTATATGAGTTACACTGAGATTAGGCGTAATTGTACATGTTAGCGCGGAGCTTCCCACACTCCATCGCAACGTGACTTGATCCAACAGTTTCAAAGGTCCTCGGCTGCATCAAGTATCGGCCCGGACTCGCCTGTCTCGGACTGGACTTCTGCAGTCGGCGCGGCCTCGGGGCCCGCCCGCAGGGCGCGGAATCTCTCAGCCTCTGCCGCAGCCCATGTCTTCCACCTCTCAAACTCCTTGCCCTCGAGCTCGTGCCCAATTTCCAGCCTAGTCTTGCCGAAGTAGGCACCGACGTATTGGGCCTCCTCCTTGGCTATCCTCTTCTCAATTTCTTCTTCTTGTCGGAGCTCGTAGAATTCCTTTCGGGCCTTGTCGTAGGCCTCTTCCTTGGACATTCCGCTGTCCATGAGCCAGAGTTGACGTTGGACGACGCTATCATCACGTATTAGCACATCATCGCATGACTCCTGTAGTAGGGCTAAAAAATCGACTTAAGACATACCACTCGCCGCTCAAGGCCATTCCCGGTTGCCTAACCCCCTTGCTCCAGTCCAACAAACGCGAATCCTTGCCGTCCAATTCGAGAATAATGCGAGGGCGCGCAAGTTCCCACGGGTGGTCCTTGTAGAAGGCCTGTCGCAGGCGGTCCTCGGGGAACTCGATCCGCTGCGGTCGGTAAACGTTCTTCGGGCGCCTCTGCTTCTTATTGGGGGTCCGGAGCTGCACGGCGGCGGGCCTCGTTATTGTCTCGGCTGGGGGGATGTTGTAGAGCACAGGATACCAGGGAGGCTCTTGGACTTGGTACTTTGGCATGACCCTCGACTGGAGTTCTGCCGTCACCATCTGGTAGACCTTGGCAGGTCTTATTTGGCGACCCATTGTGGGCAAAGGCGTGCTGGATACAACTAAATTGAGCTCGGCGACACGAATTGGAGGGAATTCCAGGGAATTTCGTGCCGATCCAGTTGGGTTCTGGACCTTTTCGTGGTTGGTGGTGAGCTCGTTCGAGAAGTTGCGTGCAATGTCAAAAACTTGAAGATGCGTCGGGTAGTTTTCCGAAGTATAGCCGGAAACAATCCAGCAGGAACTCTATTATGCTGCAACCACCCCCACCGTCCATTATTTGTACTTACTTGTACTCGGTACTGCGAAAAAAGATTCTTTGCAATCCGAACCTCGTCGCTTTCTTGCAACCGGGCTTCGCAAGAACCACAACCAACCCGTCAAATTCGAGCCTGCAGCTTCCTTTTCTTTCCATACGTGGCTAGCCCGTTCACACAAACATGTTGCTGAGCTCATGAGAGTCCCTAGCCGTTTAGATGGGCCGATATGCGTCGCCATCCTTTCCGCTCGACCCGCGGTCTCGTCTCCTTCATCCAGCAGACATGTTCGGCAATGTCGCGACAATTCCTCCCCCCGAAGCTACCAGACAGCACACAATGCAACTCCATCTAGAGCCGTGCAGCCGCCGAAGCGGAACACTTGTGCCAAGACAACCACATGGCTTCGATCGACCTTTCTGTCACCACTATCTCCATCGGCCTCCTCCAGAACCCCTTCGACCGAGCGAGGAATTTCCAGCTCAACTCGCTATCACGCCCCGGCGAGTGCTGCTGCTATCCGATCCCCTCCCCCCTCGCCGCCAGTAGACATGAGCTCCGCTCGTCAATTCAGCAAGGATGAGCTTCTCTCGCTCGTCAGCCAGCAGGACGTCGGTCCCGTTCAAGAATACCTCGACTTCCATCAGGATCCGTATCTCAGACGCTATGCTCAATCAGATGGGCCGTATCTAAGAGTGTCGACTCGAGACGAAGACTCGCAGTACCCAAGTCGAGACCAAGCCACTCACGGAAACAAAGAAATTGAACATGCTTCTGATCAGCTTCTATGGGTCGTCCGCAATCGACTACGTCACCCATCCCGAGTCAGTCTCGACACTGTGTATAGACATTATATGAAGGTGCCAGAACCGAGGATGCTGCACATCTCGGCGCCTCTACGACGGCTTTTACTGCGCGCTCTTGGAACACCCGAGCGGAGGGATTCAAAATCTATGCTGAGGTATTTTGCGGCCATCTCGGATGTGAAGAATTGCGGTCTTACGTTAAGACTTCCCGAGTGGAATTACGCGCTGGCTTTTGCAAGTAAATATGTCCGGAGGATAACAGAGGCCGAGGCGGAAACGACACTCAAGCTATGGAGCGAGATGGAACGGCAGGGCGGCGTCAAAGGCAACGAAGTCACCTTCAACATCCTCTTTGACGTCGCCTCCAAGTCTGGGAATTTCGCCCTCGCCGATATGGTCTACAAAGAGATGGAGGCGCGGCAGATCACGTTCAACCGCTACCACCACGTCAGCTTGATTCATTACTTCGGCCTCAAGATGGACGGCGACGGGGTCCGCGCAGCGTATCGGGAGATGGTGAATGCAGGCGAGGTTATCGATACGGTTGTGCTCAACTGCGTCATATCCGGTCTGCTCAAGGCGGGGGAAGAGTCGGCAGCGGAGGAGGTTTACCAGCGGATGAAGACCGACGGCATGGAGGGTCTCCCAGGACCACCTTACCGGGATTACATCCCCAACAAGATGGTGACGAAGGTCCTAATGCTGCTCGGCAAGGTCGGTAAGGAGCACCCTCCCCTGCGGCTCAGATTCCAGCAACTCGCACCGCTCGCGCCCGACCTCCAGACGTACCGCATACTCGTTAACCATTTCGCCCTCAAGACGGGCGACCTCGCCAAGGTGGCCCAGTACCTCGACGAGATGAAGTGGTTCCAGGTGCCTCTCCACGCCTCCATCTTCCTCGCCCTCTTCAAGGGCTTCGCCATGCATGGGGGTTTCGCCGGGGCGACGTGGAGCGACAAGCGCCTCCGCAGCGTATTCTCTGCGCTACTCGATGCTCTGGACCAAGAAGTCGCGGACCTCCACATCGAGATGTGGTTGGCTATGTGGATTCTGCGGGCGTTTAAGAAATGCACGACGCCGGATGAGACGAGCGAGACGTACAATGTTCTGCTGGAGCGTATGACTCTTAGCGAGTCACAGGAAGGGTTTATGGAAGACTTTCTTTGCGATTTATTGAGCGATAAGGATTTATCGGTGTACAAAAGGTCGATGCCGTAGGATAGCGGCTGGCAGAAAAAAAATGGATTTAGAGGCTGTTATATATATAGGGATGTGTTAGTAACTTTGGTGTATAGACTATAATTTACAATACCCAGGTTTCTCCTGTCTGTAAAACCTTTTCGTTCAGTCACTTGTGGAAGATCATCATCCTTGCAAATGTTGCTGCGGATAGCTTCGTAGTGCCCACTTATATCATACCACGGGATGTCACGAGATATTCATTTTCCTCTCCGGAGCCAACGAACATCATCGCAAAGGTGCAAAAGCAAGAATGAGACAAAAGAGAAAACGGAGTCTATTCAGTTATGTACACGTTTTCCACCATCGATGCGCAAGCACTCTATCCCACATCTAAATAGCGCTCATCCGAGTTCCCGATTCGATCCAACGAGAGCTCAGATCAAGCCATTGGAGCCCAATTCGACAGCGAAGAAAGCTTAAGCCTTGGGCTTGTAGGTTTGCCAGACTAAACAGTCAGGATTAGTTACCGTTTCCTTCTCGTAGCCCGGTGGTCGTCGTAGAAAAACTCAATGGATGAGGAGGGATAAAAACTCGATCACGTACCAGCGATGCCGAAGGGAGCGGCGAAGCCGACAGCACAGATGCCCCAGAAGGTGAAGGGGAAGCTCTTGGACTTGGGGTTGAAGGGGAGGTTGCCTCGGGGACCTTCGGGGTAGTGGTAGGGCGAGGAGAGGCGGGCGCGGGTGGTGGAAAAGGCCCTGCGGGCGACGACGCGGCTGGCGTTGGCGTACATTGTGTCCGGTTTTTGCGAAAAGGAAAAAAAGCTATGGATAGATTCTCCGCGTCAGATATGTCTTCCTCTTGAGAGATTGGATCGATTGAGGGCGTGCGAGATCGAGTGTTTGGATCGTACCTTGAGGCTTCGTTGAAGGGAAGGGAGTGGAGATGATCGATGGTTTTGCTGATTCTGAATGAGTGGTCTGAGGTTTGCCAATTCGGAAATGTCTGGATTTCGGTAAAGCCTCGGTTTAGCTTGGCTGTTCACCGCCTTTAAATGGGGTGAGCTTGGGATTTTCTGCCGCGCTTCTAAAGCTTGTCGCTTCAGTGGAGCTATCACCCGTTGCGGATTACTCAGCTCCCTGAAATGCCCGACTTCTTGTTCAAAACGATAACCTCATTGTTCAAGCATCCTACTGCCACACTTCAAGATGCGAAATCTCCAGCTCAGAATATCACAACCGTCGAAGACTTCAGTCTAGACCGGTAGTATAACATTATAGGCGCTTAGGATCCTGGTCACTGATCTCTATTAAAATTTATATCTTACATCCACCAATTAGCAGCTATTGCAAGCGAGGAGGCAGTTTGTATACCTTTGTATTGTTGCCTTACACCCCACTACGGCCTATTTTCACACATAGAGGAAGGAAGTAAAAGAGGAGGAGAACGCGGGCAAAAACGAGAAATAAGAAAGTGAAAAGAAGTAATTGGAGAGGAAAGATATTGTACAAAGTCAGGGTACAAAGTCAGGGCAGTTCATCTCGAGGCCGTCCGCTCTTTGCGCTCACTCAGGTGTGTTTTTCCCCAGTCCCATGATTGTGTCCGAGACATCCATTTAAACACGAGGGATCGGGGTCGGGATATGCTTTGGCGACACCAACATGGATTCATTGGTGAACTTCGGTGAGAGAACCTATCAGTGATGCTTTAGCCTATGCTATTGCAGGATGAAGGAAGGCGCGAGGGCCAGTTCTTCTTAAATGTTGCTCCTTCCCTTCGATGTTGCGATTCGAGGGAGGACGCCAATATCAGTCGCTCTTGCTATCACAATTATACCTGTCAATTACCACATGTCTCCATTTTCTCTCTGACTTCAGGTTCAAATTTTGTCTATTTTTTTTTTATTTTTCTCTCTCCTCCTCTCGCATACACATAATCAACTCTCAAAAAACCTTCCTCATCTCCTCATCCGGCCTCTGCTCTACATCTGTCAGTAGAGGTGTAGTGAGTTGATATCACTATCTTTCTTTGGTCTGTTGAGGCATATTGCCTGCATGCTTTCTGCTACTCTCTGCGCACGCACACAACAGCACGCAGATCCACTGTGCCATCCACAGCCTTATGGTTGACCACCGCCACGAGTTGGCTCGGGTGGCCCTTCTGAAGGGCACCCTCGGTCTGTTTTCCCCTGGAGGCAGTCTGCCTCTAGGTGTTGACCCGGCATGGTTCTCATCAGGGATCAAAGACCTGCTCCTCGTCAGTGTGGACATCGAGGCAAAGCCGGATCAGGCTACGTCTCGAAGCGAACTTGGATATACGTTCCATTGCGGCGTGTCGGTCCTCGACCTACGCTCCGTATGCGAATACGCCCAATCTCTATCCAGCACTCGCTTCACCCCTAGCAGGTCGAAGCCAAAACCTCCTCAAATTGACTCGCACCATTTTACGGTTGGAGAGGCCAATAAATGGAACAGGAAGTATCTGAACCGGGCGAATCGTTTCGCCAACGGGCGAGAGGACCATGTGCTAGCCTCCTTTACTAACCGTATTCATGGCATCCTGGGCGGCAGGGCCTTCATTCTCGTCACACACGCTGGATTCAGCGGCGACTATAAACACTGGAATTCTTACAATATCAAGATCCGTCCGCTCTGGACTGTTGACACGAGCCATCTCGCCCAACTCCTATACCCGCAGGACTTCACTCGTGAACCGTCATTGGGATTGCTCCTGTATTTTTTTCGAATTCACCATAGGCCCTCGGATTTACATATCGCTGGATATGATGCACTCTATACCCTGAAGGTTCTCCTCAGGATGATCTCCGTCATCGTCGGTCACAGCCCGTTCTCAGCAGACCAATCAGGCTCCGACTGGGCTGCCGTTCAGCAAGCGGTGTGTGATATCCGCGGCTTTGATCTTAATGCCAACTCCGAGGCGGGGACTTCTCATCCAGTGCCATCGGATGAAAACCAAATTTCTCAGTTTCGGCGTGGAGGGGAGATAAGGGGAGGAGCCACGCCTTTGAAACTCAAACAGCAGGATACTAACCCTCGATTTAAAGCGAGTGCATCACTGTCCACGGATGTGGGAAGGAAGATACGGCCTCCTCCAACCCAGGTGAGGAGGAGCATCCGACTAGCGATGCAGAAAGCAGTTCACTCTTCGTCTCAAGCCCTGAAGTCACCAGCTGGTCGCTACCACGCTCGACTGCTAAGGGGGGAGACGGGAAGCCTTTGGGTTGATATACGCCCCACTGCCGTCGAGCAGGAACCTATTGCGGGTGGTAACGCAAGCGCGGCCCAAGCCCATGGCCCTGATGACCTCGGTGGAGTAAGTTCCCAAAATGAGACCATGGCGACGTGTCCCATCGCAGACAAGGAGGGAACAAACGCGGCGCCGGCGGCTGTCGTCCCTGAGTCGGACCAAGATGCCACAGAGGAGTGTGGCGGGCTCGCATCCAATGGCATAGATGATCAGTGGGAGGATTTGTCTATGGCTTCGGGGTCAGCAGCACCTTCAGGGGTCCATGCCCAAACCTTGAAAACCGCAGGTGCCTTCCCCAGAGCACTACGGCTCACGCTACGACCCAAGAGGAGCCTGACGCAGGCGGGGACTCCTCGTCCGACATACGATTCACGTGAAATTCAGCTTTATGATGCCAATCAAGCTGCGCAGAGCTCCGGCACAGTAACAACTGCATGTAGTGGACATCCTGTTATGAAGGACACTGCGGTCCCCGGGTCGGGGGCGGTTCAGCGACACCGATACCGTCTCACCTATAATGATTTACCTAGTCTTGATGACCGCGATTCTGACCAAGCTCCTTCTGCCGAGACTCTGACTAGACCTACGACTGATATCCATGGGCAGAGTGGACCTAATGCACCCGGTCATGTTTGGCTCGCCCCTCCTGGAGCTGCAGTGCCTTACCTCAATGCATTGCCCAAGGTTGGAAGTGTTCACAAGACCAAAACCCCAGAGATGGGGCTAATCAGCAGGCTTCGAAGGCAGAACAAGTTACAGAAGAGAGCTGCTACTGCCGCCGCTCCAGCGATGTCCGTTCCAACCACGGATCAAGAAGAACCTGCTCTAGTTAGCAGCCGTCTTTTAGGTCCTCAAGCTGAGACAGAACTCAGAGGCGAAGGAGATCCTCCGACTCGTCAGTGATTGTGTCATGACATTCTTTTCGGGATGTTGACACGCGGTACGGAACGATGACCGCTTAACTTAGGACTATTAAACTTCAATCCCAGCTCCTCCTACTTGCAATATCCACTCGGAGAGATACGCGGGTTTTAGCCATTCCAAGTTGAGACATGTAGGAGTGAACCTCCTCGTGGCGGAAAAGACGGATCAAACGGAACAAACTTAAGAGCTCTTTAGGACCGACTTGCAGAAGCTTTGGACCTTTACTGCCCGGGCTTGGTGTCCATAGGATTGATGTCATGGCTGTTCAATGTATGTCAAACAACCCCCACACTATTTCTTTCATGGGCCAGAGAGCTTTTATGTCTTGGCCTATTCAGGACTATTCACAATGCCGAACCTAATTTTCTACTATCACTTAGGGTATAGCGACTGAAGAGAAGAATGAGAAATGCCTTTTGATTATGAGATCTGCTCAATCGAAACCATGCTACCAGGAAATTCTTAAATGAAGATGCTTGGAAAATGGTGAATATCTCGAGATAATTCAACATTGATTCACCAAGGTATATTCACTGACAACAGGCATATATATGTTACCTTATACTCGGGAATAACTAACACAGAAATTACAGCTACGGTTAAGCATCTTGGGTGATCTTTGAAGGAGTTTGATTGACTGGACACATATCTGCAAAGCATCGACCTAGCTCAGGTTCTTCCGTGAGGATCATACAGGAAACACAGTCCTATATGATTTATTGGCTGCATTATGCCGACTGACTCTTTGATGTATGTGTTGTTGTCTAAGAAGTGTTGTTTATTAAGGGATGCTTTCGAAATGTGAGGGAAGTTTGGCCATGAAGCAGAGCTGGATTTAGCTCAATGCAATGGCTTTTGGTTTCTCATTATCATACAAGGCGCTTTGTGAGCTCGTCTCGACGCCGTTCTCTATCCCATGTTTATATGAATACATCTCCACTCCTACCCACCCCAACTCCCCTAGATTCGTGAGCGTTTGAGCGGACAGCTTACTCGCCGAAGTGAGCAACAGGAGCGTCGAGATCCACTCCGGTCTCTTCCACGAGAAGGTCATGCAGTGAAGATAGGTCCCTCAGGTAGATCCAGTTGGCGACCTTGGTCCCTTGCTTCTTATCCTCGACGTAGACGTAATCGTAACGCTTGGGGCCTGAAATGGGTGAGGAGAGCCATATCTGCTTGTTTGGGGGCTGTTTGTTTATCACATAAGTTCCGTGGGAGGGGAACGCGATTGTAAGAACGCCGGCCTTGGAATAGGTTAATTACAGACAGTTAGAGGAAGAGGCAACCGGAGAAGGGTTGGGGGGGAGGTTAGCTACACACAGCGAACTCGACATCGACATCCTCCCTCTCCTCCTGAAGGTCCTCGTACTTGGCGCAAATACGGTCCAGGTATTCGTCTGACAGCTCATGGTACTTGTTTTCCGAGAGCTCGACAATCTGGTAGGTTAAGGAAGGCGGAGGAGGTGTCTTGTTGGCGGGGGAAAGGGCCGGCGCGCGGTGGGAGAAGGATCTGCGGAGAATTGGGGACGGAGACCGGGTTATGCCGGAAGTGTGGGAGGCGGAGAGGAGGGCGACGGGGGTTTGGCGGAGGGAGGGGGATGGGCGGGCTCGGAGGAGGAGACGGCCGGAGGTGAGCCGGAGGGCTGTCGAGGGGGGCATGTTTGTTGTGTCTTCGATCGCGCTCAATTCGGAGGAGAGATCGTCGGTGGAGGTATTATAGAGGAAGCATAGTTCGGAGAGAGACGTATGAGAAGGTCGGACAGAGAAGATTGAGCAGTGAGCAAGTTACGGGCGCGGGATTGAAGATGGCAATCACGTCACAAAGCAATGGTTTAGATGCATCGAATTGCAAGAAAGCGTTACTTTTTTTGAAGTACCGAAGGAGCAAGCGTCGAATCTCTGGAATAGTCTTCAGAGGGACGGGTGGGTCCGTCCATAATGGTCCGAGCGTCGGCCCATCAAGACGACTTCGCAGCAAAGTATCCATAAGAAGGTAACCAGTCATGATATTAGTTTATTGTAGGTTGCACCTGCCTGGCTTTAGTTGATCTGTGTTATAGGAGAATGAGGGGTGCTCTTTCCTAAGTTGATACTTGAAATATCCCTCTGTGGAAGACTTCCATGTTATTGTATTAGGGAAGAAATTCCCCGAAGGGGAAATTCTTCCCGTGGAAGCTAAGAACTATGGAGGCTGGATTTTGGCATCTGGCTACAGTTGGCTTGGACTGCCAACCTGCCAACACCCTCTTTTTTTTGTATATTAAAATCATGTCCCACGCATGAATTGATCCTTCTTTTTCATATTCGATTACTTCAATTTTGGGGACTTCTCGGTTTAAGACTGAAAAAACAGAAATTTACAATAGGCGAAAAGAGCATGGGTGAGATAACAGTATCTGAAACCAAGAAGTCATCCAAGATCAATCTGGTCTCTGGGATTCTGTATGTGGCACACCATTCAGATTCCAATATAGGTGTTGGAGGAAGTCTCCGGAAGCGGATTCTGCAACGGGGCTTGCCATTCAAGATCAAGCTGGAGAGGAGGCCTCTCGGCCCACTCATCGATATCGAAGTTCATGGTTTCGATGCCACGATATCGCGGTATGATTTCACGCGAGCTGATGTCTTTGGGAAGGTGACTAGACTGGCTCTTTTTCGAAAAGAGAGCCGTCGCACCTACCCGTCCGGATGGATCCTAGGGCCGTGGCTAAGTGTCGAGGCTCGCTGCTCAGGTTCAAGTTGTTGATTTGTTCTCATTGGACTGCTGTATCTTGGGCACTAAAGTTTCCAAGGTCGGTATTGGATATTCCAGCTGCAGCTTCATGCAAGAGTCTGATACGGCGGGTCGTGACTGCAGGTTTCACGCTTATTGGAAGAGCATCTACACGTTGATCCCTACCATGAACGTGAAAACTTTAGAGAGAGCCAATGGAAGGCAGGCTGAAATGGCAGGGAAGGGATTGTCTGTAAGCCTTCTATCATTTTGCATTGCAGACTTTAGGAAGACCAAATGAAAAGCCAACGTCTCTGTCACTAATTCTACAGTTTTTTTTGGAGGTGAAGCCGTGAATGGCTAGGTGGATAAGTCGTCATCCAGACAGAGCCTGTAAGGTGTAATCGGAGGTGTGATAGCACAGGCAAAACGGAGTCTGGAACCTCAGACTAGAACAGACTGTAAGTGATACTCGAGGAATAAGCAGAAATCTAAAGATGAGACCTCTCCAAAGATCACAAGTATAAATAGGACCCATTTCCTCCCCTTCCTTCATCCTTTCTCGCTGTCAACTCTCTCTACAAGTCCCACATTCTACACAGCCCAGAAGACAACTTCCCTTCAGCAAACATACTTTCCTTCATACCAGACCTTGAGGGTTCTAAGGAAACCTCTTCTTCCCGTTCATATTCCCAAAACATTGATCCACTTCCCTCATCAACATGGCCAACGGTGTCCAAGAGCATAAGTCCCAGAATGACATTGAGGTCACAGCCGATGTTAGTCCAGGGCTACCTAGCCAGGAGCTAGAATCTCTTCTCAACCTCAATGCCCATGATGAAGAACATGGGAAGCCGGAGAAGTCGGGCAATAGGGCTGCTCAATGGTTCAGCCAAGCCTGCCGTCTTGTTTCCGAAGCAAGGGGCATGATATCCGAGGAGCTCGTTAACTTCCTCAAGGCCAAGTCCGTTTTCCCACTCCACCCCTTTACATGAGAATCGACTACTAATGGCATTGTATTTTACAGCCTGGGCGACACGAAGCTGTACCTTGTCGTTGGAAAGGCGGGGACAGGCAAGAGCACGATTCTCAGCGAGCTTACCGGACTGGATTTGAATATTGGACATACCATGAAATCAGGTAATCGGAATAACCTCACAAGCTGACATCACCTCTCCGCGGCCGAATGCTGATGGGCTAATAAAATGATGGTCTCATAGGTACTCTCCGCTTCGAGGTATGCCCAGGCATCATCGATGGCGAGCAGTATCTCTTCGTTGATACAGCCGGGTTCGGAGCGGCCGATGTCGATGACCTCGAGAACTTCAAGGACATCATGAGCTGTCTGTTTAGTCTCGGGTTCCTAGTCACCTTGATGGGCGTCATATTCGTCTACGGTGGCACGAGTGAGCGCTTCAAGAGGGAGGATGTTAAAACCTTGCGCTGGCTGCAATGCTTTTGTGGCCCTGAGTTCATGCCGAACGTTACAATCGCCTTCACCAAGTGGGATTCCTACAGCGCGGATGACTTCGAGATAAACTGGCTCAAGGTCCCCGGTCTTCTTGACGAGCCCGTAATTGCCACTATTCTCAAGCATGGAGGCTCCTTGTACCATCACGGCATCCCGGGCGGCCAGGGCTCTCACCATCTCGCGGAAATGCCCGAGAGGACTCTCTCCAACAGGCGGCACAAGGTCGAGAGACGTACCGAGCTCCAGAAACTGATTCGACGGCGAAACACCGGGAAGAAGCCGCCGAAGCTTCAAGTTCTGCGAGAGGCCAAGACGCTGGCCGCGTGGAAGCAGACAGAGGCGGCCAAGGTTTTAATGGCAGATGTGAACGAAACCGAAGTTGTCATACGAGGTAACCGAGCCGTTGTGGTACCGAAGAGAGACCTTGTCGAACCGGCTATCGTTGGTGGACCTCTTCCACCAGGTGAGGGGAGCGAGACTGATAAGAAGAAAGGGGATAGCCCGAAGAAATCGGAGGAAACTGCCAAGAAGAGCGACAGCGAAACTCCCGCAGCCCGTTCGGAGAAAAACAAGACTCGAAACCAGGCGCCGAAACCAGAGGAGCAGACAGGCTGGGGGACTAGGATCATCGGGTGGCTCGAGGTTGCCAGAGAAGTAGCGAAGTTCTTTAAGGAGGCTCGTTCTGCCGCCGCTGCTGGAAGGGGGGAAGAAGTTCCAAAATGGAGCATCTTTGGCACGCTGAAGAAGTGGTTCTTCGCCTGATGGATGCGAACACTTATATGGTTAGGTTGACTTTGGGCCGGTGAAATTGGGTTCCTCAAGGTGAGCCATGCAAGGTGAGATTGTTAAGTGGGAGATAACCCAAGGTGACTTGGTCAAGATACACAGATTGTTTTGATGCTGGGGATTTATGCTTCACGGGATGGGCAGACTGATTAACGCTAGGACTTCTTTCCTTTCTTTTGTCCTCTCATGTTCCTTCGATATATTCTTCTATTTCTCTTTTAGTTTTGTCACAACACATCGCCGTCACCCAGAATGAAACCATGATCACTTGTTCATTAACATCAATAAGTTCCAAGAATGAAATCTGATCGCTAGAATCGAAGTCTTCTGTCTTGCGAATCTAAACGATATGCAACTAAACGAATGATCGGCTTAGTGGGGTATCGCCTCTGGCCACTGCCAGATGGTACCACGCGTCAACACGTGAGAGCAATTTTCCCTGTCTGGAGAGAGAGTGATCTAGACTTTTTGAAGTTGATCTCGAAAGTGCCCATCATCAGCCTTCACAATTGAGTGCAACCACGACCTCTCTCCCAGTCTCGTGGTTATTTCCCTTCTAGGCTCGCCCTAGAAACACGACAATGTTACGGACACTCGTAAGGCGGAGTGCCGCCGCTGCCGAAAGGCCGCCGTTGACTATCCACAACAACCCTTATCAGACAAAGAAGGTCTGGCCGCCGGATTACAAGCAGCTCTCGTGGCAGGAACAGTTGAGGTTCGAGAAGAAGTATAAGCGCAGGGTTATATTGGCGTCTAGGAGGCCGAAGTGGGATAAGGGGGTTAAATTGGTGCAATTGGCGACGACAGTCGGTAGGTTTCCACTTGGGCTTTTACTCAGCGGCATGATTTCGGCTCTCCTGGAGACATGCGCTGACAAGAGGGTTTCCTTCCTTTCCCCCTTTCTTCTTAGGTGTTCTTTCTTGGCTATTCTTCTTCGCGGAGCTAGAGTTCCACGGGAAGAAGTACGTCCCGAACGAAGAGGTGAGTGCCTGATGTGATCCTGCGCCTTGGCTCTATGAGAGGGAATTGGCTGATGTTAGGCGACGAAAACAGATTCGCAAGGGTGTTGGCACTCTTTGGGGTATCTTCGACGAGGCGAATAGGTACGGCGACGCTTCGAGCGCGAATCTCCCCGAGTTGGTGAACCAGAGATCGGACAAAACAAGATGATTGGGGATATGGCGAGATAGCGTGCTTGAGGAAGCGCATTGTTACGATAGGGACGTCAGAATTTTGCATCATCCGGAGTTGAGGGTTTGGTATACCAGGTTCTCTCCGGAAAAGGGCGGTATAATCTACAAAGCATATTGTATAAACGAAAATCCGGAGAAAATCTCATCTCATTTCAAGATTCCATCCTCATTATATTGAAGCGTTAAGAAATTCTTTTCGAATCGCTACCTTGTAGCCCAGCTGAAGTTGCCACCCATGCCCAACCCAGCACCTAAACCCGTACTCCGGCTCTCGTTGACCGGCCTCTTAGCGACGGTACCTTGCGCCCTTACACCGGCGACGATGCGATCCAGATTCGTCTCTACCACTACACCGCCCACTATCATCTCGCTTAGCGTCGAATGAAGGGTCTCGAAGTTAAAGATGAGGTCGAGCTCGCACACGTTCTCGAAGAGTCGGTCGAGGGCCTCGACGTAGACTTGTATGAGGTCGATGAGCGCTAGCGGGGACTCGGTTGACGTCGATATTATGATGAAGAAGAGGGTTGCGTAGTTTCGGTAGGTCACGAGGGAGGGGACATCGTTCTGCTCCTCGGACGAGGTTTGGGAGGTGCCGGATGCGGCGAGGAGAGGGGGGAGCGGGAGGAAGTTGCAGGAGCCGACGGGACGGTTTGATACGAGGGTGAAGATTTCGGATATTAAGCGTTGCTGGATGCTAGTATCCTGTTCAGGTCGTTAGCAATTGGGGGATTCCCTTTGCGACGAGGAGCAGTCGCTGTTGAGCATTGTGGGGAGCTGGGACACATGCGAGCTGGGTGTAGAACTTGGTAAGGCGGGGTTGGCCGGAGCCGTTGAAGACTAGGAATGCGTTGATCATTGCGGTAGGGAATAGGCACTGCGCCTAGAAGCCGTCTGGCGGGTTTGGGACCATCTACTTGAGACTGCGGATAGATGGTCTTCATCGGTACAATTCTGATATCAGAGGTGCCGATGCCCTGTCGAGGGTCGCATGCGATTACCTAGCCAAGATCGGAGCAAAGACGTAATCAGCCGCTAGCATCAACATGTATGAAGTAGCAGCAACATTTGGTTAGCCACAAACAGTGTGTGGCACAGCAACCTCAACTCAATTGAAAGTGATTTTAAGTATATGGGTACCGACAGTCCCGGTGTATTATCAGTAGTATTTGATTCAGCTCTTCAAACCCCTCGGCTGGGCTGTGAACAAAGTACTGAGTGCGCTGCCAAAAGGGTACACGCATAGGTACCTCTTCCGGACTTCGTTCGGATACAATTGTACTGTTGACCCACAGGCCTACTCCTGACTCATCCAGGTACCCCTCCAACACCAGGAAACAGGCACCCCGCGAAGTGTGGCGTTCCCGCTAGAAAATCTCCAAAAGTAGCCTCTTGGGCGACAAGTTTCATCCTATCCGCCCCAATCAATAACACAAAATTTCCCTTCCTTCTGGCAATACCCTCAGTAAGCTTGAGTTTTACAAAATGGAAGGCCAGAGTTCGAAGGTCAAGGAGCTCAAGGGCGTAAGGACTCCCAATCGCGAAATTTCCACTCTTTAAACCCTTGCTTGTACCACCCCTGCTGACTTGCCCCGCCATAGACCGAGAAGCGTGACGCTCTCACCGCATGGGAGCGCGAGTGCCAAGCTGTAAGTGAACTCCAATTCAGGACCGGAAGTTCGATGTTGCGCTGGTATTTTGCAATAGGACTGACAGATTTTGCAGAAATGGGAACAGGACGGCGTATTCGAGGCAAACCCCCCTTCGATCGACGATATTCCCCTCGATTCCATCTCCGCCGCCGATCTCCGCGAGAAATACCCACGATGGCACGGAAACATCGCCTATCCTTACATGGTATGGTACTTTCTGAGTGATACGTAAAAGGAAATGTTGAGTGGAAAGTTGCTGACGAATATCCCCTCTTACAGAACGGTGCTCTCCATGCCGGTCACTCGTTCTCCATCTCCAAGGTCGAGTTCCAGGCCGGTGTTGCCCGCCTCCAGGGCAAGAACGCTATGTTCCCCATGGGTTTTCACTGCACCGGAATGCCCATCAAGGCGTGCGCCGACAAGCTCACCAAGGAAATCGAGATGTTCGGCCGAGACTTCGAGGGCTACAAGGAGGAGTTTGAGGAGCCCGAGGCCCCCAAGGCCGCCCCAGCTGCCAAGGAGGATCCGACGAAATTCAAGGCCCAGAAGAGCAAGGTTGCCGCGAAGAGCGTCAAGGCCAAGTACCAGTTCCAGATCATGAAGGCCATTGGTATCCCAACCGAAGAGATCCACCACTTTGCTGATGCGCACCACTGGATCACCTTCTTCAGCCCTCTTGCCGAGCGAGATCTCAAGAGCTTCGGTGCTAGGATCGACTGGAGGCGAAGCTTTGTCACGACCGACATTAACCCCTACTACGATCAGTTCGTGCGCTGGCACATGAAACGATTGAAGGAGGCGGGAAAGATGAAGTTCGGCAAGCGTTATACCATTTACTGTATCAAGGATGGCCAGCCCTGCATGGACCACGATAGGTCTCAGGGTGAAGCCCTCAACCCCCAGGAGGTTCGTTCGACTCCACATCCATTTCAGGTTCGATCGGAATCTTTTTTGATGTGTTAATATTTTCGTGTTGTAGTATACTGCTTTGAAGCTCAAGGTCCTTGAGTGGTCGCCCAAGGCGGCCGAGATTATCAAGGGCAAGCTCCCCGAGGGCGCGAACGTTTTCTTAGTCCCTGCCACTCTGAGGCCCGAAACTATGTACGGCCAGACGTGTTGTTTCGTCGGACCCAAGCTCCAATATGGCGTCTACCAAGCTTCCGATAACGAGTACTTCGTCATCACGGAACGCGCCGCTAGGAATATGGCGTATCAGGGTATTTTCCAGGAGAACGGCGTCATCAAGAAGGTTGCCGACCTCGAGGGCTCCGATATGATCGGCACCCTCATCAACGCTCCTCTCTCTTGCCACACGGAAGGCGTCCGCGTCTTGCCCATGGAGACGGTCCTTGCCTCCAAGGGTACCGGTGTCGTTACCTCCGTTCCCTCCGACAGCCCCGACGACTACGCGACTGTTACGGACCTTGCGAAGAAACCCGAGTACTACGGCATCGAGAAGGAGTGGGCCGAGAAGGAAATTATTCCCATTATCGATACCCCGACATACGGCGACAAGTGCGCCGAGTACCTTGTCAAGCAGCTCAAGATCTCTTCTCCAAAGGACTCGGTACAGCTCGCAAAGGCCAAAGAGCTTGCCTACAAGGAGGGCTTCTACCAGGGTGTGATGAAGGTCGGCGACTTCAAGGGCGAGAAGGTCGAGGTCGCCAAGCCCAAGGTCCGACAACAGCTCATTGACAACAATGAGGCGTTTGCCTACTCCGAGCCCGAAGGTCTCGTCATCTCCCGCTCTGGCGACGAGTGTATCGTTGCCCTCATGGACCAGTGGTTCATCGAGTATGGCGAGGAGTCGTGGAAGAAGGTCGCCCTCGATTATGTCGAGAATGGCCTCAATACCTACTCGGCTGAGACTAAGCACGCTTTCGAGGGCGTCTTGAACTGGCTCAAGGACTGGGCCGTCAGCCGAAACTACGGCCTTGGAAGCAGACTGCCTTGGGATGAGAATGTCTTGGTTGAATCTCTCTCCGACAGTACCATCTACATGGCGTACTACACTATCTGCCACGTAAGTTACAAGAACAGGAGCCCCTCCTTTCATGGCAAGTTATCAAGGTACTAATACGTCATTTCTAGCTCCTCCACACCGATATCTATGGTCGCGTGAAGGGAGCGGCGAACGTTGAGGCTAGCCAAATGGTTGATCAGGTCTGGGATTACGTCTTTGCCCGCCGTGACTTCGACGAGTCCATTGTCGAAGTCTCCAAGATTCCCAAGAAGACTCTCCAGTTGCTGCGCAGGTCCTTCGAATACTTTTACCCCATCGACGTTCGCGTGTCCGGCCGTGATTTGATTCCCAACCACTTGACTGTAAGTCGACCCCCAATCTCTTTATTTACTAATGGACTTTGGCTCTAATCCTCATTTTAGTTCTGTATCTACAACCATATCGCCATGTTCTCCCGGGAATACTGGCCAAGGTCCATCCGTGCCAACGGCCACTTGCTCTTGAACGGCGAGAAGATGTCCAAGTCCACAGGAACTTTCTTAACCCTCCACGACCTTGTTGCCAAGTACGGTGCTGACGGCGCGCGTATCGCCCTTGCCGATGCCGGCGACTCCATCTCCGATGCCAACTTCGAGGAAGACGTCGCCGACAACAGCATTCTCCGAATGTACACTCTCCGAGAATGGTGCGAGGAGGTAACCCGCGACAAGGCCAACCTCAGGACGGGCGAGTTGAACTCGTACCAGGACCGCTTCTTCGAGAACGAGATGAACGCCGCAGCCACCGAGGCCATCTCGCAATACAACCAGACCAACTACAAGCTCGCCCTCAAGGCGGCCCTCTACGACCTCTCCGCGGCGCGTGACTTCTACCGAGAGGCTTGTATCGCCGGTGGCATCGCCCTCCACGCCGACCTCGTCGACAAGTGGATCAGGCTGCTCGCCATTCTCCTGTCGCCCATCACCCCCCACTTCTCCGAGTACATCTGGCTCAAGGTCCTCAAGGAGAAGGACACGATCCACCGCGCCAGGTTCCCCACGGTTCCCGCCGTCGACCCCGTCCTTACGGCGGCCCGCGAATACATCAAGGACACGGCCTCCAACGTCAACTCAGCCGAGAGCGCCCAGCTCAAGAAGAAGGCCAAGGGCAAAGCCACGACCTTTGACCCCAAGAAGCCCAAGAAGCTCACCATCCTCGTTAGCACCACCTTCCCTGCCTGGCAGGAGAAGTACATTGAGCTCCTCCGCGAGATGTGGGATCCCGCCACCAAGACCGTCGACGACAAGGCGCTCAACGGCAAGATCGGCAAGATGGGCGAGATGAAGAAGGCTATGCCGTTCGTGCAGGCCCTCAAGAAGCGCCTCGTCTCGGGCGAGTCCGTGCACGTCGTGCTCGACCGCAAGCTCGCCTTCGACGAGACGGCGATCCTTAAGCAGATGGTTCCCGGGCTTAAGCGCTCAGCGAACTTGAAGGAGGTGGATATCCTCGTGCTTAAGGATGAGGGGAAGAAGGCGGTGGATTTGGACGGGAAGGAGGTGCCGTTGACGATACCGGCGGAGAATGCTGTGCCAGGATCGCCGGTTTTCCATTTTGAGAATGTGGAGGAGGGAGCGGGGGAGAAGACTCTTGAGATTAGGTAGAGGAGATTTTTAGATGGTTGATGTTTTGGGATGATTTGGGTTTTTATCAATGTCAGAGCATCAGCAAATAGTGGAATGGAAAAAGAATTCATATCACTGTAGACAGCGATTGAATTAGATGTGATGCTTATAGTTTCAATTTTACGAGATATTTTCGGCCAGGGTACTTGCGAGGATATGACAACATATATTATCGATTTACATAGAGAGGCATGGTTTCCCGACGACGCGCTCACAGCGATTGGAGTGGTTCCCATGATGCTTGAGAGCCTCAACAGCCGAGGTCTCACACCAACTCGTAAGTGAAAATGGTTCTACTCATCCTCTAGTAACAGTTCCAGTAGGGTGCCTCTAATAGACCATATTCGCTACTGCTGTATGGCTTCCCGATTTTCTCAATTAAGTCGTTTAAGAAGATCAGTTAACAACCGCTCCGAGAGACCATCGGCGGCACTATCTTGTGGAATTGTGTCTAAGCTGTGGCTCGGCACGCCGCTTTATTGCTCTGATAGGTGAGTGTAAGACATAGAGCCTTACAGGACTTAAATTTGTGTAGTTAGTGAGAATCCTGTGAGGTTGTCTTTTCCATCCGGAGAACACGGAGTCGTCACCTTCGTGTTCTGGTGAATGGCGGTGGCGCTTCGTTCACGCTAGGGATGCTGAGCAGACAGGCGTCTTGGTTCTCGGACGCCGAGATTTGCAGGCCTGGCCGCGTGCTTTAGACGGAACCGTAGCCTGGCGGATACTGGGGACCGCGAGATGTGATCCCGGCGTCTCAGGCACAATGCGGCCGAGCACAAATCATCGACTACCATAGGGCTCATGGCGTTTCTCGCAACGAGGGCGTGCAAAGGCGAGATGGTTTCACCTATTGCTACGCCAATTACTTTGGAAAATAATCTATCTTTCCATTGTTTCAAGCAGCGACGGCGGTGGCGGTGGTTGAGTCGACGGTGGATGGCTCCGGCGGTAAATCCTCCTTAAAGCGGAACAAGTTAGTCTTATACGAACACTTAGCCCAAACATGCCCCGCGCCCAGGGAAGGAGAACATACAAGAGCGTATATGACGCGAATCATGAGGCTACAGCTCGGACAGACGGCAATGTCAGACTCGTCGCGGAGGTCGTAGAGGGAAATCTCGAAGCGATCACCGCATGGGCAGGGATAATGGTAGATTTGGCGATCGGCATCGAAGGTCATGTCTTCGATTTCGATCTCGTCGTAGACGGAGATTTCTTCGTCGTCAGACATTTTTGGCGCTGAGAGGGGGATTTTCGTCTCTTTCTCGGTTGGAGGGGGAGATGGGTGGCGAGGATAGAAAATACTTCGTTGATGACTCGATGTGAGGGACAAACGAGATGGTTGAAAACGCTGCGCGAAGTGGGGGGAGGTTTTGGAGGGGTTTGCCTGAAAAAAAGAAAAGAAAAAGTTGTTTGTAAAAGGAGGTGCAAAACCAGAACTGACACTGTGCTACCCCGCGTTCGTGGCTTCGACTTGAGGCGTCGGACGCAGTCACCGCCACAATAGAACAAGGATATCATCGGCTTGTTAATAAGCAGCCCTCATTGGCCGGTTAAACCACGGGCGGGTCGGTCAGATTCCAAGCTTGGAAGGTGGTGTGAACCTTGGTATACGCTGAATCACATGCTGGAAGAATGGATAGAATCTGGGGTGGCTCGGTTCCCCGTTTGCTTAGATCGCCCGAGGACAGTGGCGGGTCGAGCCAAGACGCAAATTCAACGTGATCGTTCCTGGGGTTGACGGCGAAACTGACGAATGAGAACCTGTGACTTGACTTCCATTTGCTTGTGAAGGCGACATTGCAATGGGAACCTGAAGCTTCGACAAGCTGACCTGTTCCGTCTCTTCCCTCCGTGAATCAGAAAGTCAGAGGCTGTCTTTCTCCTACATCCATCTGCCCACTCTCGAGCTTGGAGATGAATAGGTTCGACCGAATGCCTTCAACCCCAATGGTCTAATCTAATTCTAATCCACAAGGACGCCGCTTCTATACGAAATAATCTAGCTTTCGCTGGCGGACTAGAGCACCCTCGTGAAACCCGCCAGCGTCACACTCAGACGACTCAAATTGGCAACCTCGGGTCTGCCGCTCCCACGCATGCCGAATCGTGATCGCGCAAAAATTCGCATCAAGTAAAACCTTCGACTTCTTCCCGCACATAACATCACAGTTCCTTTACGCCCCCCTGCCAGCGCGGCAGCCATGGCGGTACAATCCAAACTCTCGGGCCACGCCCGCACGATCCGCGGCCTAATAACCACGCTCACGAAGCTCTACCTCGCCAACCGAAGCCGCATCTCCAAAGCCGTATGGATCACGCTCTTCGTCGCACTCGTCAATCGCGTGCGCAATGCGATATCTGAGCAGAAAGCAGCCTCTCAGCGCGAAGCCTCGCAGCGAACAGCTCGCCGGGGGACCGTCTCCATCAGCGATGATGCCGGTGAGGCTGCTGCTGAGGGCGCGCATGGCGGCAAGAAGCGCAAGAAGGTGGAGCTGAACCGCGAGTTTTTCCGGTCGTTGCTGAGGCTGTTGAGGATTGTTGTTCCTGGGTGGAGGAGCAAGGAGGCGAGGCTGTTGATTAGCCATTCGTTTTTCTTGGTGGTTAGGACGCTGATTAGTGTCAAGGTGGCGGCTATGGATGGTGCGATTGTGAAGAGTTTGGTGAAGGGGAATGGGAGGGAGTTTTTGATGAGGATTGTGTGGTGGATGCTTATTGCGGTGCCCGCCACGTTTACGAATTCCATGGTGAGCAAGCCTTCCGAAGCGTCCTTCCCTCTGGCGTGAGGTTTCGGTTTAAAACGATGGCTGGCTAACATTTGTGGTCGCAGCTCTCCTATCACCAAGCCGAGTTGTCGCTGAAGTACAGGGCGAGACTCACGCAGTTTATCCACGACAAGTACTTGTCCCAGCTCACCTTCTACGGACTGTCGGCGCTGGATGACCGGATAAAGAATCCCGATCAGCTTATTGCTGTCGATGTCGCCAAGTTCTCTAACAGCTTGGCTGAGCTGTACAGCAATCTGGCCAAGCCTCTCTTGGATATGGTATGAAAGAAGCCTCCCTCCCGTACTTTCCGGTCCCGATGAGACGTTCACCTGCTAACCCTCCCATTGCGTAGACCATCTACACGTACTCGCTCTCTCGCAGCGTAGGGGGAGAGGGCGTCGTCTTCATGTCACTCCTCGTCCAGCTCTCCGCCAACGTCATGCGGGCACTAACACCGCCCTTCGGCAAATACGTTGCCGACGAGGCCAGGCTCGAGGGAGAATTCCGCTTCCAGCACTCCCGACTAATCGACTACAGCGAAGAAGTAGCCCTGTATGCCGGCCACGAAGCCGAGAAGGACACGCTCGACAAGGGCTACTTCACCCTCATCAAGCATGTAAACTACATCCTCCGCCGGCGCTTCTACCACGGATTCATGGAAGACTTTGTCATCAAGTACTTCTGGGGCGCGCTGGGCCTCATCCTCTGCAGTATGCCCGTCTTCATCAAGCTTCCCGGCCAGGTTGCCATGAACATGGGAGACAGGACCGAGAGCTTCGTTACGAACCGGCGCATGTTGCTGTCGGCGTCGGATGCGTTTGGCCGCATCATGTTCTCCTATAGGGAGATTATGGAGCTAGCGGGCTATACCTCTCGTGTTGCGTCTCTTCTCGAGGTCATGGATGACATCCAGGCCGGTCACTTTGAGAAGAAGCTTGTCTCTAGCTCTGGTACTGAGAATAACGAGGCGGTGCTCAAGGGGCGAGGCACCGTCGTTGAAAGCAAGGACATTCGGTTTATCGATGTGTAAGTTGCGGTTTCTCTCTTTTGAGCGGGCATGTTCTCGATGCTAACTTTGGTATTTTCTAGCCCTATTATCTCTCCCAACGGCGACGTCCTCGTCAAGGCCCTCTCCTTTTCCCTCAAGCAAGGCGACCACCTTCTCGTAGTCGGCCCCAACGGATGCGGCAAGTCGTCCCTCTTCCGCATCCTCGGCGGCCTATGGCCCGTCTACGGCGGCACGGTATACAAACCCCCCTTCACGGACATCTTCTACATCCCGCAGCGACCGTACCTCAGCCGCGGATCCCTCCGACAGCAAATCATCTACCCGGACAGCCTGCGCGCCATGCGAGCCAAGGGCGTCACGGACGCCGACCTCTACAAGATCCTCGCGTCGCTGGGCCTCGAGCATCTCGTGGGCCTCTACGAGGAAGGGTGGGACGCCGAGGCCGAGTGGCGCGACGTGCTCTCGGGCGGTCTGCAGCAGCGAGTGGCCATGGCGCGGCTCTTCTACCATAAGCCGCGATATGCCATCCTCGATGAGTGCACGAGTAGCGTGACGCTCGAGATCGAGAAGGCCATGTATGATGGGGCCAAGGCGCTTAACATTACGCTCATGACGGTCAGCCACCGCCGGAGCTTGTGGAAGTACCATAGTTGGATCCTGCAGTTTGACGGGCAGGGGAACTATGTTTTTACGAAGCTGGATGCGGATAGGAGGTTGAAGCTGGAGGATGAGAAGGAAGAGTTGGAGGTTTTGTTGAGGCAGGTACCGGAGTTGGAGAGGAGGATGGAGGAGTTGACTTCGGCGTGAGGGCGGTTTGATTGATGCTATTGTTATTTTGTGGGGGTTTTGGATTCTTGTTCTTCTTTTCTCTTTTGCCCGCCTGTATGCTATCCATGACTTATCCCCTGGGGGAGTTCATTCTGTATATGGAAGGTCGTTGATGTAGAGGATGTCCCTCGTTGTATGTAGACTCATTAGAGAGGTATTATGGATACAGGAATACATGGAGAACGAGTTGAATCTGTCTCTGCTTCTTCTGCAGATGGTCCCCATATCTATCTGCAGGAAGCACAGCTAGTCCAATCGGTAGGTTCAGAGAGTTTCCAGCATCTCCACCCTGAACCAAGAGGTGAGAACTGACAAGGATACACGTGTACAGGCTTGCAGAGGATGTCAGGAGGCCCATTCTGCCCCATCAAGGCGGCCTGCCGCCCAATCCTAAGATGGGTTCGCCTGTCAGTCCTCGGGCGGATAGCCAACAATGATAGAAGGTCGAGGTCTATCGATTTGACCAACTAGGCCTTTATCTTGCCCCTATGCTGTGGCAGCGTGGCACCACCGTGGCGGTGATTCACTATGACTTCGTGTTAATGGGCATCTAAGGTCAAGTTGCCTGATGAGGGGAAGAGCAAGCTCAAAGCTCTAACGCAGGCACCATCCACCCTCTTTCCTCAGCTAAATGAAGAAAATTACTGGATTGAAGTGATTCATTGTATGCTGGATATTGTTACTATAGCTAATTCATTGCAGTTTCCTTTGTTCCAGTGGAGATCACTTATACAACTCTTTGGTGAACTTCTCACCGTGGCCTTGATCACATCACGACTCCGACTCCAACCCTCACAAAGCAACTTTACATCTTAACATCTTTCAAGCATCCTTCTATAGCAACATCGACAGTTCTATTTCTAACAAGCATAACGACTAATCAAAAAAGGAAAAAAAGGTTTGAGTCCCATCCCTTCCACTCAGAAAAGTCTTTTCTTTTTCTTTCCTGCCCTTTCTCTCCTTCTTTTCTTCTTCACCCTCTCTACTCGATCCGCATCCCGTTTCGAGCGTCGACCGCGGCAGCTTGAGCTCCCAAAGGCTTTCAAGTCTGGTTTTCCCTTCTTGGCGGCGAGGCTTTCTCTCAAGACCCAGATTGGTCAATCGAACGCGAGAGAGTGGTGAGTTTGAGTAAAAGGACGGCGTCAAGGCTTGGGCCCTCCTTCTGGAGTCGAAAAAGTGAGTTTCGTTTTTTTCTTGCTGGAAGCAGGTCACATTCATTTCTCTATTGCTGCTATCGAGTTTTACGATACTTGAAGTCTGAATTGGTTCTAACTTGTTCTTCGACAGGCAATCCCCCTAGTCGGTATTTAAAGGACGTTTCTGTACAAAGAGAGCCAAAGGCGAGTGCCTCAAAGGTATGTTTTCACTTCTATCCACTGCAGCGCTCGCATCATCAAATCCATCTGCTGGAATCTCCTAAGCTCTCCTTGGGCGTTATAGCCATACGAGAAAGAGAAACTAACTCAGTTTAGCTTAGGATTTCTTACCTTTCCCCCCTATCCCTTCTTTTGCCTTTTTTTTCCCGCCATGGCGTCCCCATCCGTCAAAGCTAAGGCTCCCCCTCCGCCTCTCACCATCACGAGAGTCGACAGCGCGGATGCGTCCATCTCCATCGTCAAGGCCGGCGAGGCCAACGTTACCGCCAGTGCCAACAAAGGTAAAGGCCCATCTACCACCCGCCCCGTCAGTGCCCCGGAGCCATCACCAGCCACCACAGTCAGCACGACGGGTTCGGCGTACAAGGCTCCTAACAAGAGCATTTGGGACGTGGATCCACTGATGGCGAGGACCGAGACTCCCTTGACCGGTGATTTTTCTTCTGCTATGCCCCCTTTCCCCAATACCTCCGAGAGAACCAAGACTGGAGAGTCGTCCACCGCTGTGGCGACGACGACGAGAGCGTCCAGCATTATTGTTGAGGGCCAGGACCTCGAGGATCAAAGCGCGACCAGTGAGACGTCCAGTATGGTCCCGCCTTCTCTTATCTTTTCCGATGACACACACCGATCTCGCGAGGATGGTGTTCTGGAGGGTACCACGGTTGTGGGGGACGATGACCACAGTGCGCCCATGACGGAGGGTGGTCCGAGAAGAATCTTTAACGAGCAGGGTCAGAGGATGAACCCGTTCCGCGTCGAATTTCGTCCTCCTGGCGGTAACCGTGTGTTGGGGTTGAGGGATGACACCAGCGATCAGTTCCTAACCAACAGCGACGCCCGTGCCCGTGGCAGTGATAACGTGCCATCGGGAAATGCTCCAGAGAATCCGTTTCGGATTAGGCGCGATGTTCGCGGCGGTGCTCTCGGTGATCCCTCACCATCTCGAGATGGTATGGTCTGGGCCAGAACCGATGTTCGGGGTCGCGATGCCGATCGCATGCCATCGGGTGATGGTACGGAGAATCCGTTCCGTGTACCGCTTGTCAGGACGCCCAAGAGCGAGTTTGCTCGTGCTTTAGCGGACCTCGATACCCGGGCTGATTTGGAGGCAATGTCTATTGGCCGTACGATGCCAAAGGTTCGAGCCGAAGTCGATCCTGAGGAATACAGGTAAGTCGTTGGACTCTCTACTCTTTTTACTCTCTTTTGTTGTTAACGTATTTTTCTCACTTCCCTCATGTAGTTTTGGCCAACGCTACACGAAGCCCGTCAATGGCAGTGTAATTATTTCCAACTCTCGAACGATTGCTCCGGAACGCAGCGACGAGCAGGAGTGCATCGTTTGCGCGGAAGTCAAAGGTCCTGACCAGTTCCCCAACACTTCCATCACGACCACCTGCAAGCACGCGCCCACCACTTGCCTCGAGTGCGTCCAGACGGCTATCCGCATCGACTTGAACAATAAGCTGTGGACGGAGATTAACTGTCCCGAGTGCGGTGAGCATCTCGAGTATGTTGATATTCAGAAGTATGCTGATGAGCGCACGTTCTCGCGGTACGTTTTTTTTTTATATCTCTCTTCCCCATTATCTTCTTCTTCTTTCTGTTGCCTCTAGTCTTCACACCTACTGACTCCACGTCTCCCAGATACGAAGAACTCGCCCTCCGCTCGGCCATGTCCGAAGCCACCAACTTCATCTGGTGCACCTCCGGCTGCGGCTCGGGCCAAATCCACGAATCCAGCACCCACCACCCCATCGTAACCTGCCTGCACTGCGGCCACCGCTCCTGCTTCCAGCACAACGTAACCTGGCACGAGAACCTAACGTGCGAAGAGTACGACCGGCTCCTCGCCGACCCGGAGAACTTCAAGTCGCGGCTCGAGAGCGACGCGCCCCTCGACGTTCGCCGACGAAGGCAGATCGACGCCGACCGCGCCGTGGCGCAGGGCCTCGTGGCTGGGGAGCAGGCGGCGTCGCGAATGAGGAGGATGATGAGGGACGGGAGGGAGAGGGAGAGGGAGCAGAGGAAGAGGGCGGAGAAGGCGGTGGAGGTGGCGAGGCGGGTTGCGGCGAGGAGGAAGAGGGAGGAGGAGAGGAGTAAGGTTACGATTCGGAATACGACGAAGCCTTGCCCTGGGTGTGGATGGGCGATTGAGAAGAACCGCGGCTGGTAAGTTTCCGTTTATCTCATCTTTTCTTCTATGGGTTGGTGCTGACTTGGAGGTGTAGCTCTCATATGAAGTGTGAGTAAACATCTTTTTCTTCGGGGCTCGTCTGAGCCGTTTCTTCCCCCTTCTCCTTCGGGTCTCACTATCACACATCCCCTTTCAACTTTCCTTTGTGTGCTCTTGTGGTTTTCTTTGGAGTCTGTGGATGAAACGAAGATTCGACAGATGTGAGACGACACACGAGAGGTGGATTTCCTTCTTCCCCTTCTACAAAAAGGTTTATACTGACGGATTTGTTTGGGGCAGGCATCAAGTGTGCCTACGAGTTCTGCTGGGGCTGCGCAGTCCCATGGCGTAAAGGCCACAGCTACAAGTGTAAAGGGCTGGAAGAAGAGGACGAGGCGTAGTTTTCCTTCGTTTCGAAAACGACGCTCACTCGTCTATCCCTCCCCGGCGATATCCATTCGACACCCGTTCCATTGGACTGACGAAGTCCTTCATTCACATTCATTTGTTATTTCCCACGTCCTGATGGCCTTTTGCCTGTTCGATTCCACCACCGGTTACGGAGTGGAACGTTCACGAACTACATTTTCCCTCACTCTTTCTTTTTCTTTCTTTTGTTTTCTTTTCTTTTTATCTTTTACTCTTTCTACTTCGGGATGCCTTCCTCTCTTTCCCCCGGAACATATTTCACACCAGAGACCGAAAAGCACCAGCTGAAACATTCATTATCTTTCGACGACAACAGGCACCAAATGCAAGTTTGAGTTCTGCTACGAATGCGGCGCCGACCACCGCGAGATTCTAGCAAAGGACAATAGTGTCCACCGGGGCTTTTGTCCGTGGCATCCCGACAATATGAAGAAGTGAGAGAGTGAAGTATTTTTTTTATTTTGTTGTTGGCAGAGAACAGTATTTTTAAGCTCCCGATTGATATTTCCGGGACCCCACGAGAGATTGGAGTGAGGGTGAGGTTGTTTATAGACTCGGCATTGTGTTATTGTCTTTTGTTTGTTCGGATCAAGTTGTGATAGAAGGAGTTCTGGGGATGGTTTCTCTGTTATTATCGCTGTCGAGGCGTCTTGGTTGGTTCACTGTTCCATTCGAGTGAAAAAGGAAGAAGCAGGAGAGGAGTTCATTGTTGTTTCTATTATTTCTAGGCACGCCAGGACTGATTGTACTTGTTGATGGAATCGGTCAAGATATTCTTATCCCCCTGAGATGTTGTGTTCAATCCGGTTCGACGTCTTCCCGCCAACTCGGTGCACCCGCTTGAGGAAGCAGTCGATGGATTTCCATGAACGATGAATGAATGGCATAGAGCGAATCAATCGGACCCTGGCAAGTCCCCAGGCTCATTACCATGGCCCATTTATACCCAAGACTCGAGAGGACCAGCCACGCATTTCATACGACCAGACAGACGCATAGCATCTCCACTCCGCCGCTGCCAACGTGGCCGCCCTGCATCTGGACCTATCCAGATCCGTCCGCTTGTCTCCACGATGTCTATTAACGTGGCTTAGCTGCCCGACACCCAAAAGACCGCCTCGGTCCCACGAACCACAACACACCGCCTGTTTTTGAACGCTGGCCGGGAAGCATCTACGCCTGCCAGATAAACAGGGCCTGGCCAATATGTTTTTTCTTTTTTTTTTTTTTTTTGCCCGCTGTCGACTCTTGAGACTTCTGTGATGCCGTCTTAATCCTAATTCTGAGGCCGTCGCCGCCTTACACGCCACCGCATGCATCTAGTATTTTCGCCTCCAAGCCCGCATCTCTTTTCTCTCTCGGTTTCTGCCCTTGATCTCACCTATATAATTTTCACACGCCGACATCCAACTTGAGACCCTCATACCAAACTCTCACCAAAAAGAGACCTGAAAGACCGATGCTTTCCCAGCCTCTACTCCCTCCACTATATTGGTATCAGCCTTCTTGATCTCTCTCCTCACCCTCAAAACCACTTAATATAAATATGAAGACAAACAAATACTCCAATTACCTTTCTACATATGGCGGATCTTCATCCAACTAACCAGCCTCTAAGAGATATAGATCCCCTTTCCCCATGTACGTCCGCTCTGGGCACCTGCATGCCTAGATGCATCCCCCATCTCATCAATCACCTCCTGCACTTCCTGCATGCATCGATCGGGCCCTTGCCGAGTGCGCTGGGAAGCGCCCTTGCTGCTGCGATGTGACCTGGATTGTGATACAGAAGCCGCCTCCACCTGGTTCATTCCTGTTCCTTTCTTTCCTCTCCCCAAATAAACTAACTTTAAATGATCGTTCAGCTCATAAAATATGCCCTCCGCCATTACGAAAAACATAATCGTCGGAGTCGACTTCGGCACAACTTTCTCCGGCCTCGCTTGGGCCGAAACACCCCATCGGGCCCGGCCCACGGACCCGGAGCGCATTTCAACGCTCACGGCCTGGCCAACCGGCGACGGGCTCGGGCTCGGGCGCGGAATCACTTCGGCCAAGGTCCCAACGCGCCTGAGATACGAAGGAAGCCAGACGCAATGGGGGTTTAATATCCCGCTGGATGCTCCGCAGCACGAAATCCTCGAATGGTTCAAACTGTATGTATCTCTCCTCCAAGTTTCAGTATTCTATTTCATTATTATTATTTTTTATATTCACCGGCTCATTCACCACACCACATAAGAGACCTTGATCCCAACCTCCCAACCATCGGCCAACCCACAGGCGCCGAAATCACTGGCGGCCGCTCCGCCGACGTCCTAGTAAAAGACTACCTCACCTCCCTCCTCAACCACCTCGCCTCTACCCTCGGTCTCCAAACCCTCTCCACCTCCCGGTTCTCCTTCGTCGTCACCGTGCCGGCAATATGGAGCGAAGAAGCCAAAACCGCCATAACGACCGCCTTCCGCTCCGTCCTCTCCTCGCCACCCTGGCCCTCTTCCTCCTCCACATCCTCCGGGCCCACCAGCGCGATCCACATCATCTCCGAACCCGAGGCCGCCGCCCTCGCCTCCCTCAGCAACAACAAGAAACCACCCACGCTGAAGAAAAACGACACGGTCGTGGTCGTAGACGCAGGAGGCGGCACCGTCGACGCAATAAGCTACACGATAGCGAACCTCCACCCCCTCGAACTCGTCGAGGCAGCGCCGGGGTGCGGAGCGATCTGCGGCTCGGCGTTCGTGAACATGCGTTTCGGGAAGTACGCGAAGCTCAAGTTCGGGGAACACCCGGGGTTCACAGACGGCGTGTTCGCAGAGGCGATGGATTATTTCGAGAGGGTGGCCAAGAGGGGGTTGGAGGTGAACACGCCGCCCGCGACGACGTATCCAGTGCCCATGCCCTTGGGCGACGACGAGGAGGCGCGAAGACTGGGCGTCGTGGATGGGGTCTATTCGCTAGGCGTCTCGGAGCTCAAGACGCTTTTCGAACCGGTCGTGTTGGAGACTATAAAGCTAGTCAAGGAACAGGTGGCGGCTACGAAGAGCGGGCCCGTGAGCGCCGTGTTGCTGGTGGGTGGCTTCGCTGCTTCGACGTATTTGTTTGAGAGGGTGAAGATTGCGCTTGGGGATGGTGTGGAGGTGCTTAGGCCAGAGGATGGGTGGTCTGCTGTTGCTCGAGGAGCTGTTATGAGGGGTTTGGAGATTGCAAAGAAGGAACAGCTCGGCGGAGACGAAGAAGAGGAAGAAGAAGAGGAGGAGGGGGTTAGAGCGAGGGTTAGCTACGGAGTGGAGAGCGAGGTCGTTTTTGACGAGAAGATGCATGGGGATGTGCGGGAGAGACGATATTGGTGTGCGAGGGAAGGCCGATACAAGATTCGCGTCATGAACTGGTTCCTTAAACGTGTAAGTTCTTCCTTTCTACCACTTGTTTACCCTCGTCTTCTCTACTGACGATCACCAGGGCCAACTCCTCCCCGAATCTCCCCAAATCATCCCCTTCACGACAAGCCTTCCCTACTCCCTCATCCGGCCCCCGATCCTCTCGACAACGATCTACGTAGACGTGAGATCCTCCTCCCCGCCGCCCCTCCTCCGCGACGCTAAAACTAGGCGCCTCTGCTGCCTCGCTGCTCCTCTCGCCAGCTCCCCTCCTCCTCCCGCCGAACTCCCGCGCCGTATCGGCCTCGATGGAAAGTGGTATTACTCCAATGTTGCTTTTTCTCTCGAGGTTTCCGCTCGAGAGGATATGACGGCTTTTTCTTTGATGTATAAGGGTGAGTCGAGGCCCCTTCTCCTTTTTCATGCTTTTCACCTTTACTGATCTTGGTACAGGCAAGAAATACCAAACTGCCACCCTCGAGAAGAAATAGATGTTCCTTTTCTTTCTTTCTTTTTTTTTTTTTTTTCCCTTTCTTTTCTTTCCACTTTACTTCGGAGATATAGAGGACTTGATGATGGGTTTTTGCATAGTAACGGAGCTGAGAGGACCTTTCTTTTCTTTCCTTTTGTTCTTTCTTCTTTTTCTGCATAATAGTAGCGCAGTTTTGGGCGGGCGGATAAGGCATTTAAATTCAAGATTGATATTTCGGTTTGCTTTATTTCCTCTCACTTGTACAAAAGACCAGTTAGAATGGATCTCAATACCAATATCATAACACATCAGACATGTTCCTTCAGTTAAGTAGAGGCAGAAGAGACACTCCATCAAAACAGCTCGGGATAGAAAGACACGAGTCACAAAATACGCAACGGAAAACGATAATATAATTCCACAAATCCCTTTCCTCCCTGTTGGTATACTGATACATGATATCCCTCATTAATAATGCTATTCCACTGGATCCCTTCCCTCCCGGAATCCCCTAAACGCCATGCAACCTCCAAGTTCACTTCTTCTTTTTCTCGTTTCTCTTCGTTTGTTTTACAGCCCCCCTCTCCCTTTCCCTGCCCTTTCGAACAGAACGAGACTAGTAAAAAGGCTATACATATAAAAATGTACACAACTAGTGGTGTTGGAAGATGGGAGAGAGACTGGGAGGGGGTTTGATTATAGGCAATGCAGCAGACGAGGGAACTAAGCAGACGATTCACCCGAGCCCTTTCTACTAGCCGAATGTAGATTCACCATCATCTTCTCGACAAAAGACGACGAGTCCGCCGGAACATCTGCCAGTTCTGGGCTCGTGCCACTGTTACATTTCACCTCCTGTGTTGGCGCTGGCCCAGGCGGCAGGTTCGACGACGCAGGTGGCTCTGCCGGCAGGCTCGGGATGCCAAAGGCACCAGCAGGGACAGGAGGCAGAGCAACCTTCGGGTCACCGCTCGATCCCACCGCAGGAGAAGCCGAGAAGCTCGGCCGAGAAATGGAAGGAATTGGCGGAAGAGGAACCGGCGTTGTCGAAACCAGAGGCGCAGCTGCTTGTGTCTGAGGCTCTACCTGCTGCTGCTGCTGTACATGCGGCTTCCGCTGACTGGCGTTCATCTCAGGCACGCTAGGCATTGCAGATGCAGCTGGTCCGGGCTGCACTGGTTGCGCAGCGGGATTTGGCTGCTTAGGTGGTGGTGGCGTCGGTGTCGCCGTCGTCCCCTGTCCCCCTTGCCGAGGCGATTGCGACGCTCCAATAGCCGCCAAATACTTAGCAGGCAGGGGCACGGGCGTCTGCTTTGCAGGAACCGCATGAGCCACTGGCTGCTTCTCAGGCGCCTTCACCTTTGCCTGCGCGGTCCCAGGCTTGGGCGGTTTCGCTTGGGCAGCAGACCCTGGCTTACCGCCCACAGAGGTTGGCGTCGATGGCAGCGACGATGCGGCTGGCCTAGCATTCGGTGTCGCGGTATTACTCTTCATGACTGGCGGGTTGCTGTATTGTTGCGCGAGAAGCCTAGCTGCTTGAGCTCGCTGGAGTTGAAGATGCGCCTCCCTACCAGGGTCATAGCCTGGAGGAAACCACTGGGAGATTTGGAAGTACCCTCGGCCGCCCCCGGGGGATGGTGGCACACCACCGTGGTTGCCGTAATAAGGATTAGGGGGCTGAGCCGACGGAGTTTGATACTGAGGCCGGTATATGTGTTGAGGAGGTTGGCTGGTGGCAGGACTGCTGTAAGCTCCACCTGCAGCCACGTGGTTGGGAGCACTAGCTAGCTGCGGTGCTTGATGTGCGCTGAAAACATGTTGAGGCTGATATCCAGACACCCGGAATCGGGGATCCGTGCCAAACGGTAGCACCGATCCAAGCCCAACACCACCGCTGGATGTCGCGGTGGGTCCGCGGGGATGTGTATTGGGAGCCACGCCGCTATGCATCGCGGCCCCGGACGGAGGTCTCGGTTTATAAGTATATGGTCGTGGCACAGATGCCCCTCCTGCCTGTCCAACCATATTTGCGGCCGGTGCCGGCCTCGGCGGCTTCGGCGGCTTGGGAATAGTGTCCAGGAAATTGCTCTTGGGGTTGTGCTGGCGCCGGGTCAGGTCGTCAGTATATTGGGCTTTGGCATCGGTGGAATTTTCGCCCAGGTAGTGCCACAGTGTGTCCATCTTAGATATGTAGACCTTGGCCTGAACAGGGTTGACGGGATCGTGAGAACTGAATTCGGCCCATGTGTAGCCGGGAGCGAACGGAGCGTCCTTGCGGGGCGTCTCATCGGCGGCACGCTTTGCGTTGAGTTCCTTCTTAGCTTTCTGAGAAGCCGGTAGAGGAAGCGCATTAGCCGATGCCTTGGGAAGCCGGTAATCTCCGGGGTCAGGCAGCAGCAGCCACTTCCATTCGGATTCAACACGGTCGCTACATCGTCAATGCGTTAGAAGACCGAGCAATACAGCGGAGGGGAGTCCGGAAAAAATACATACCCTTTAGGAATGACATCAAGCAAGAGCATCTCTTCTTCCTGACGATTCTCAACCACCACACCAGCGAAAATATCTCCCTTGAAGTACTGAATTTGGCAAATATCTCCAGCTTTGAGCGCCTTAGCCGCCTTGCGAACGCGCTCATCCTTCTCAAGCTGGTCACCGTCCAGCCGCCTATCGCGCTTCGTCCTGTGGAACCGACAGCTAAACTCAAATGCCTCCTCCTTATACTCGGTGCCATCCTCACCAAAGACCGGCACCTCGCCCTCCTCGACGAAGACGCCAGCCGCAGCGGCGCAGGTCGCGTGATACGACCTCGTGCACATATTGTGCGAACATTTCACGCATCCGCCCCTCTTCGATCGACAGAAGAGACACCTGAGATCCTTGCGCTCCTTGGTTACGATACCGGCTATGTTCATCACGGTTTCTGTGCCGTCCACTGTCTCGATGTACGGCTCTGGCAGGTAAAGCGCACACATACGATGTGCCTTTTGGCCATCTTCCGTTGGCAGAGTTTCCGCTCCAGGAATATTGTTGGGGCAGAGACAGCAAGGAGGCTCCTCCTTGGTAGACTTGGGCCGTAGGCGGATCTTCTTGGGCTTCGGCTCTCGTACCTTGCCGTCCGCGGCTCGCTTTCGCTTCCGGCCAGGCGCCTTGCCAACGGGGGAAGTGGTGTCAGGCGGCGTCGGGAGAGTCGAAGGGTCTTCCCCGTCCGATTCTTCACCATATTCATCCTCGGTCTCTTCGTATTCCGTCGATTCGCCCCTCAGCTTCCTTTCAATCTCGTACACGTCGACCCAGACACTGTCTTGCGCGAGGGCGCACTCGCACTTCTTGGCAATCTTTCCCATGGGGAGCCACGAGTCCAGCGCAAAGTTGACGGCCTCGGCGCAGTTGTAGCCAAGGTTGTATCCGGAATGATAACCGTAGGGATATGTAACGACGAATTCGCCAGGGTACGAAACGCATTTGTTGACCGTAATGTTGAAGTCTTTGAGGAGGTGTGAGGGCGAGATCAAGAAAGACTTGTGTCTTAGGAACTGGTTGCATGACTTGGCTTCGGTGGGCCAAAGGCTCTTCATCGCAGCCTCGAAGCGCCGAGCATCAGCCTGGGAAATGCTATACCATTGCTTCGGAGCACCGAAATGGAGATAGTTGATGCTGTAGAGATCAACATCCTCAAGATGCCAGGCAAAGGTGGCCTTCCACATGCCCAAGTAGAGATAGGCCGTGTTAACACCGGGGACCTTGGTGCCCATGACATCCAGCAGATTTGGGAGTTTATTGAGATTCCAGATATCGGTCTTCTCGTCGAACAGAGTGCCCATCAAGTCTGCGCCGTAAAGGGGAGGGGCATAGGTAAGTGTCTTCCAGTAGATCTTTTCAAGCTCTTCGCACCGCTCGGGAGTAAACTCGGAAACGTCCATCCAGTAGTCGAAATCCTTAAAGTGCTCCTCGTCAATCATGACAGAGCCCTCACGACGGCTGTACTTGCGGCGAGCCGAAGTAGATTGGATTTTCGACTTGTTCTTTTGATCCCCACGGCTCGTTCGTCGAATAGGCGTAGATTGGTGGTCCTCTTCGGTCTCTATAGAACACATGGCCGTGTCGGCGTTTGCGCCCTCTAGAGGGCCTTCGGTCTTTACTGGTGTTGGCGGTGCCTCTTTCGGTATCTCGCTCCCAGCAACATTCTCTTTATCTGAAACTGGGGTCATGGGTCGGTCCTCGATCGGGGTCTCTTTCTGCGTCGCTTTTTGCTTATTGGCGGCACCTTTCTTCCTCTTCGGTGGCCTGCCGGGGCCGCGCTTCTTTGGTGTAGACGAGCCAGTATTATCCTCCTTCTCTTTGGGCGCCGGCTTGGGGCGAGGTGCGGCTTTGGGGCGCTCACGGTTCATTCGTCGCTCACCCCGGCGGGCGGGTGGTTGATGCTCGCTCTGCTCGCAGAGTTCCCTCCACTGTCGCAAGGTATATGTTCGGCCATGGATAAAGTTAACTTGGCGATAGGCACCGTTCGAGCCCATAATCTCCTGCTTGATGGGGTCTCGGACTCGGATCTGCTTTATAAGTTCGTCGAGCCTGGGTTGCGCGTCCTTCCATTCTTGGGGGGGAATGATCTTAATGATGCCGTATTTCATGCCGTAAGAGTCGACCTTGGTCATCTAGTGTCATAAAAAGTGTTAGCGACTTCTACGCATCCTTCGGCGGGCAGCGGTACGTTGGGGTGGAGGGGGCGGGGCGTCGTACGAAGAGCTTGAAGTCCTTGAACTGGTGCATGGTCGGCTTGAATACAGGGACAGTCCCCGACCAATGGTCCGGTACGATTTCGCCGATATCATCAACAGGTGGAGGTGGAAGTGCATTCTCGGCAGGAGGAGCGTCGGACATGGGGACGTCGAGGACATCGTCGTCAAGGTCGCTCAATTCCGAATCCTCAACGTCAATCTTGATCGCATCATTCGGCTTTGGCGAGGAGGGCAGCTGAGCCGGCTCAGGCTTAGCGCATTGGATTTCAGGGAGTTCTTCGGGGTCCGCATCGTGGTTCATTGGATCTGTCTTATCGCCGACGAGCTGCGGGTCAACGTCGAATCGAACATGGGGGGCAGCGGCAGTCGTCGCCGAGTCGGATCCGACGACACCGCCGGCAGGTGGAGACGCCAAATCTGCTTCGGGCGACATCTCTAGAAAAGAGGCCGATGGGATGGACTCCGGCGCTGCATGTGACGGTTGTCGGGGGGGAGAGTGGTGAGAGGTGGACGGGGGTTGTGGTTCGATATTCGTCGCCTTTTACTCCAGTAAATGATGGGAAGCAGGAGCCAAGACGAGGGCGGAATTGTAAAACGAGGAACGTAAGGCAGTGTTAGACTGTGAGGTTAGCTGAACTTGAATCTCCAGTCCATCTGTGCACAATCCTCAGCCTTCTGTATTCCCGTTCCTCGGAGTTTTTTTTGTTGGCAGGAATTAATTGGAACGATCAAATGGAACTTGAGATGAAGTCTAGGTGGAGTGAAGTAAAATGGAGTTGCAGGAGTCAAATACAGAATGCAGCAGTGGAATATAGCGGCAGGCTTCAACGTCGGGTGCAGTGTACGAAGTCCACTAATTGATATGTCTGGGGAATATTGCCGGAGAAATCAAGTTGCCAAGGATGGGGTATGGGGAAGAAATCGGCACTGTATAATACTCTAACAGTACTCCCTTCCCAGCAAATTGTTGCCTATTTTGTAAGGTTTCGGAGAGTATAATATACAGTGCTATAATTTAAAAACACGGTATACGGAGCCGACTGAACCGCCACCAGGACGAGAACAGCGAAGTAGTGAAGTAGTGACGTTAGTCTTCAATAAGTCTTTTCGAATATCATTGCTCAAATCTGTGCATCGCTCCTGTCAAAAAGGAACCCTATTTTACTGCGTATTTTCCTGGCTTTATGCTGAGTCAACAATTGTCCGTGTTTATTTGATGTTTAATCGTTGGGATTCGGGTTGTTCAATTGTTCCTTCATTCATCATTTTGCGGAGAACGGATTTATGTTGGTTGCTGTTCTTTACCCTGTTTGGAGGGGTGGGATCAAAAAATGGTCCGATCATGGGCAGATGCTGACGCACGCTAAGACCCTTTGGAGTTCTCGACTCAAGCACGAGGAAAAGGGGAGAAAATAGGGATAGAGCAGGCTGGACTTTATGGTGGAGTTGATCGATTGATGGGTTGCCGTTCGTTCCTTCGTACTTCGCAGGGAGACCTTTGATCAACCGTGGAAGAAGAAGCGCCTCTCAAGGCTAACACGCCTGGAGAGGGACACCACACGGGCGGTTGTTGGAACCGGTTCCGAAGAGGCATAGCTGTTGTTCTCAAAGGCATTGCCTTCATTGTTGCGACTGTCTCCTCTCTTCGCTAGAGACAAACACCCGAGTCTACTTCCTTTGAAAATAGTTACTATGAAGTGGATAAACCGCATCCTAAGAGGAGTCAAGTCGACAATAATAGCCGACGACGACCCCTGTAAAACGGCGACAACAGCAAAGATCGAACTGATTGATAAGATCTTGCTGCCACCTTATCTCCCACCCCCTTTCATCCTCCCCCGCACGCAAGTCTCTCACCGACAATGGGCCATCCAGTCGGATCGCGTGGCATCGCTGATCCGCCGCGGAACCTGAGCCGCAGCCAGGGAAAAACATGCATTGTGCTACTGACTCCTTGCCACTCGCTTGGTCTTCGGACGGTGGTCGCTAGTACTCATGTACACTCATATGCATATCATATCGTAGACGAATAATCGTGGAAGAGTTCTCAACGGCGTCTTCAACGTCACAAGCAGGTCGAATTTTTAGTTTTGTTTTCATATCTGCCAGGGAGGAACGAGATAGAACTTCCCACTTGTCCTACGATCACCGAGTAATGTCGCCTTGACAAAGAGCACCATACTATTAGAGCACTCCCCTTCCCTGAGGAGCGATTGTGAATGGTCGGTCAGTCTGTAGCTAGCCTATGTCCTTCCTTGCCTAGCTCGTAAGCCCCTTGTTTCCTGTGATGATAATCGCGAGTGCTGAAGCTGAAGTCGTCGTTATGAAAGAGAGGTACCTTCTTGATGCATTAATCACATCACTGTCGAGGAAAAGCCTGTCGTCGCTATAATATCGATGATGATGCTTGAATCGTGTTGTTTTCCTTTGTACCATCCGGGTTGTCGAATCCCGCTTAGGTCATCCTGCTCCATCACCTGCCAATGATCAAGATCGTGCAGGGAACCTCAAGTGATGGACAGAACAGCCCGGCCACGGTCCAGCTAGGTCCTTTGACATTCACATCGATCGGAAAAGCCCCGTACCCAAGCAAGATGTCATGTAGATTTCGATTATCATATCAAGTTCCAGAGTATCCAGTTTCATCCCACCCCCAACCCCCACAGCAGCAAAACGTAGCGTCTCAGGAACATCGTCTATCTCATCACAGATAAAAAAGCTGTATGAATCAACGTTTTGAAAGAAAAAAGGCCGAGATTAAAAAGTCGTCTCCATATATACCCCTTGCAAATCCTGGTCATTACTAGACGACAGAGAAGAAGAAGAAAACGAAGAAGAAGTAGAAGAAGGGAAATAAATGTGCGCCGAAAAGGAAATAGCGAGAAGAAAGGCGGCTAGGAGCGGTAGAGAAGAGAGTTGACGAAGGATTGGGGCCTTTAGCGAAGGTGGCTCTCGCCCAAGCCTATGAGCTCTAGGATCACAGGTATAATCGACGTGCTTAACCAACCGATGCCTAGGGGCGGTCACTGTTAGCTTCAATCTCCCACAATGCAGGTCAGAGAAGTCTTTCTTACCTGCGTAGACCACCAACTTGGTCACAACTTCCACGTCGTACCTCACCCGCGGCCTCACTAGCCTCGAGAACATCTCCGTCTCATCAAGGCCGTCCCCTCTGGCCGCATACACATCCACCTTCCCATTCTCGCCCGTCCGCGAAACGAGCACCTCGCCCTCACCCATCATGCTCTCGTACTGCTTCAGCAGACTCTGCCTCGTCTCGTGCACCTTATTTACCTCCTCGTGGCCGCCGCTCTTCTCCTTCAAGTCCGTAAGACTCGACTTGCTCCTCAAGCTCCCATTGCTTCCGATGCTCTCCCTCCTCCTCCGCTCACGGTAGGCGAGCGTCTCGTACGCATCAGCGGCGCTCTGCGGACCGACAGACACGGATCTGCCGCGGCTGTTGGGGTGGCGCATACTCTCCACCACGCGCGGCAGGTCTGAAACAGCAGGGAAAACGTTATCGAGCCGTAGCTTCGGCGAGACCGTCTGGTACTGCGAGGCGGGCTTGAAGAAGCGTCTCGGCAGGATCCAGCCGGCGCGCGTGATGACGCGGAATATGTGCGGCAGGAACTTGAGCAGCGCCGGCTTCGTGACTTCCCTCCAGACGAAGATGATGGCGACGCCGATGACGAGCCGCGCGAGGAGGATGTACCAGGAGAGCTTCGTGACGTCCATGGATTGGAGGCCGTGAGCGTGGCCGATGAAAGGGTCCCAGGCCGTTCGGCCATAGGTCCACGTGCCGCACTCGAGACCGATGACGACGCCGGCGAAGGCGACGCTGTCGTCGAAGCAGGGGCAGTCGTCAGCAGGCTCGGGATGTATGCGGACCAGGGCAATGATAATGAGAGTGGCGATGAGTGGCGCGAACCACGAACTATTGTACATGTACAGATCTAATTCAGGGCCGTAGTAGAACTCGACGACGCCTATGAAAAGGCCGAGAATTGAACCGAATATTACGTCTAGGAACCCATGCATGCCGCAGTAAAGTCGGCCAATGACAATGGAAAATGCGTAAAAGTAGGCGAGGTATTCGAGGCCCGTCTTCGTGCCTTCGGAGAGAGTGTTTTCGGGGTCTCGGAGGAGGAGGAGCGCATACGCTGCTACGGAGACGGCATTGGCGCTATGGGTTGACGGGAAGCCGTATTCTAAGGCGGCATATCCGGTCATGGTAATTCGGTGTAGGGGAGGAGACAAGGGTCGGGGAAGCGAGAGCATGTCTTTTATAAAACCGGTGAAGAAGACGCCGGATGCGAGGACATGGACAAGTCTAAAAGAATGTTAGAGCAGACAAGTATTAACAGCATGCGGACCAACATCTACTCACGCCTTTCCGTACGACGAATAACCGCACCAGAATAGTAGAGGAAGGCCAACCATGTAGAACGTATGGGTACCAAGGTTTGCGGTGATGGCAAAGTAACTATCGAGAAGCGGCGTTCGAACCGCGCCCTGGAAATAGGCCAGGTACGGCGTCTCCCACCGGATAATGGGGAGGAGGAACTGTCGAACGGCATACCGCCAGGTCGGAAGCGCTCTTTTGTCTGCGCGATTCTTGTTAGCCAAAGAACCCTCGGAAAAGACGCAGTGCCTTAGACGAGGACTCCTTCGAGCGCCTTCCTGCTTGTCACACGTGAATTCTCGCCGTGTAAGAAAGGTCTCGCGAAGACCTTCAACAAAGACGTACAGTGGTCCAAACTCCTCAATCCCGCATCCGGCGCCGTGCGCACGTCGCCATCCTTCTTCGACGCAGCGGCAACATCCTCAATTGTCGCGATCTTGTCGAGCGCTCCCGGCGCTGAATGCGGGACGGGGACGGCGAGAGTCATGAGTGGATAGCCGATAACATTCACGGTTCGTTGTCGGAAGAGCTAGCGGTTCGAGACAGAAGAAGAAAGGGGGGTCGCATTCGAGGAGGTCGAGGGCGCGGAGGGAGTCGAAACGAGGGGGAATTGGGGAGAGGGGGTGGTGCGGAATCGTTCTATGAAGTAATATCAATTGTGCAGGTCGAGATTGAGAGGGTTCTGCATGTACAATTGTACGGTTGAGATCGTATTGTTGCGTAATAATCGATGTTTTCCGCGTGTTTCTCGCTTCGCTCCTCGCTCCCACCAAGGAAACAGAGAACAGAGTTCCCTCGGCTTGGCACCGAGGCTTCATTTGATCTTGGGCCAATTCTTAGTGGCCAAGTACCAGTTTGCGGCCCACGCCCAGCGTTCCCACAGTGTGTTGCAGTGTCTTGTCAAGTGCTGAACCCCTGAAAAACGGCCCCGCCAGGTGGATTGGCCCACTCAACGCCGCCCTGTGACGCCACCAATCGAGCTCATTCGAGCTTGCACCCACCCGAATCAAATTGGAATGGAGCGAATGGGTTGATTGATCCATCAATCCATCGATCCTCCCACAAAGTAAGTTCATAGCATCGAAGCTTGTGAAAGTTCAACAGTTCGCTTCCTTACAAAACTCCAGCTCATCACAGCACCGCACGTCATATGAAAACGACCCGGAATAACCGCCAACATACTTTCATTCATTCAATTAGCTCACGCCTCAATACCGTCATAATCTCACCACGTACCCCTTTCCATTTGCTCATCACAAGTTAATCCTCTCACCCAATCCCAGTCCGCCCAATTACCCTCACGCTCATGGCCTCCGTCCGTGCCGCCGCTTCCTTAGCGTCAAAGCCCTTCCGGCCCACAGTCTCTCTCCATGGCCGCCACTGCCTAATCACCGGAGGTTCCGGAGCACTCGGCGCCTCCATAGCCGCCGACATGGCTCGCGCCGGAGCCCGCGTCACGCTACTCGGCCGGAACGAGGACAAGCTCCGGGCGGCCTTGCAAGCCGTGGTCTCAAGTGCCTCCGAAAATCTAGAAGCGGACTCGGCTGGAAACCGTAAGAGCGTAGATCAGACGGCCACCGGTGAGAGTAGCCATAGATACCTTGTCGTAGGTCGTGAGGGAGGCGAGGTTAAGGATATCATTGCTGTAGGTTAGCTCCGTCCTTCTCGTAGATGTGCCCGCCCAAGTTGGGAGCAAGTATAACCGTTCTTGAGCCACTCTAATAATGTTGCATAGGCTGAACGAAAGATCGATGTCCTCGTAAACGCCGCCGGAATACCTCAGTCCAGCCTCCTCTTCAAAACAGACTACGATGAAATCGAGAGGCTCCTCGAATCTAACCTCTCACTATCCATCAAAGCCTGCAAGGCCGCGACTCGGCCCTTGATGCGAGCCGCACCCGATTGTAAGTCAAGAACCGGAGAGGGAAAAAATCAACACAATTTAAATACATTGTAGGAAAAAAAACTAAACTCAATCTCAAACAACAGCTTGCATCATCAACATGGCGAGTGTCCTCGGCACTCACGGCGGTCGTGGTTCCTCCGTCTACGCCGCTTCCAAAGCCGGCATCATAGGCAAGTTCCGTGAAGACCTCGAGATCAACACGCCGCAGCCCGTCAAGACTCACACTAATCATGCCCTCTGACTTTCCAGGTCTAACTAGATCTCTGGCCGCAGAGCTAGGCCCCCTCGGCATCCGGGTCAACTGCCTAGTGCCCGGTTACATCCAAGCCGGAATGACTGAATGTAAGTGGAACCAATTTCTTCTTCTCACACATCAGCCCCCCTTTGCCTCTTGCCGTATGCATCCCCCATAGAAAAACAAAACCGATGCCGTACCCATTTCCCTTTCTCGCCCTTCTTAATGCCCTTCTCCTCCTTGTTGTACAGGTCTATTAATATACACATGATTCCACAAAAAAATCCAGCCGTAGGAAACATCCCCATCAAGCCAGAGCAGATTCCTCTCGGTAGATATGGCCACCCCAGCGAGGTATCGCACGCCGCCCTATTCCTGGCGACGAACCGCTATGCAAACAACTGTATCCTCAACATTGACGGCGGATTGAGCGTTGGTCTCGTGTGAGCCCAGCCTCAAGGCCGTTCTTTTGAAAATGACAAATTTTGCGCGTCTCTTTCCAATCAATCGTCGATCAAGATCGCGCCCTCGTCCTCGATAATGACGACATCGTCGTCCGGTACGTCCACTTGCGACGTCTTGGCCTTTTTAACCTCTAGCACATCGTCATCATCGTCAGAACGGGCGCGCTTGAGCGACTTCGCGGCATCGAGCTCGGTCGCATGGACTCCATTGGCGCCGGACTTTCCGTTAGTTATTACGGCTTCTGGAGGCGGCTCTGCCTTGGGTTTCCTGGGAATAGATGGAGCTTGGTCCGTGGCGATACCCTTGATTGGCTTTTCATCGGGTTCTTTCCTGTTATAAGAGAGTCGGTTATTAGCTTGTGGGCCAAGAGGGATCGTGCCTTGATAAGAGTGGGAGGACGTACAAATCTTGGATATTGACCAGGACATTTACGAAGGGGTCATCGTCGTCCTCGTCAACAATGGTCAAAAATGAGTCCTTGTGGATACCTGTTTAAGAGTTAGAACGAGTAGGTCACGCCAAAGAGGATAAAAAGGGGAGAAAAAGAAGTACATACCAAGCTCAGTCAGCTTCTTATTGAGGTTTTCCGTTTCATCAACATCGTAGAGGATGCCAACTTCGTTGCTGACAATAAACTCCTTGTCACCATAACCCAACCCGAGCCTCACAAAGTCCTCAACAAGATCGTTGAGAGTCGCCCGCGTCATGTCGACGTAGGCGCTCGTCTGATAGGTGCCGCATACCGGGCAATTGGGGTTTGGCGCGCGAGATCTGTCACTCGCAAGGAGTCGGGCGGAAGCGAAAGGCGTTAAGAAGACCTGAAAGGCGGCTAGTTAGTGGGAGGAATAAGGAAAATAGCAACGGTGCTGGTACTACTAACCTCCTTGACCTGGTCATACTCTCCCTTGAGAACCTTGAACGCCTGTAGTACACATAATCCAGCAACGATGGCATTCGTCGTCGCAATAGCAGGAATAATATTTCCAGCCATCTGCTTAATATCGAACCGCGATTTCCGGTCAATACCAAAGAGAGTTGACCGGATATTGGCACTCGCCGCTACGAAATCAAGCGTGTCCACATCATCCTTATCAAAGGCGATGATGGGCTCGGGGTCCTCGGGCTTTTTGTTCTTCTTCATCTCCAGAACTCGCTTGCTGAGCCGGTCCAAACTATCCCGGAATACCACCAAGCTCTCCTCTAGAGTCCACACCCTTTGGCCATCGTGGAGAAGCGAGTCCTTCGCGGCGAGCGCCTCTGAGGCCTTGCTCAGAAGATCGTCGTGCTTGACCGCGTCCGGGGCTTTTCGTGACTTCCACATGTCCTCCATGGAGCGTAGCCTTTCGATGTCTGTGTAGAAAACCTTGTCGAAGAGCATCTGGGGGAATTCCGGGGTGCCGACAGAATTTCGGATCTTTCGAAGAGCCGCCGACTCCCTCCTCAACTCTTCGATTTCTTGCGCTAGACGGTTCTGTTAGGTACAACGCATGTATGCAGCGACAAGGCTTACAAACGTACCATTATCGGCGTCCACGGAGTGGTCGAATGCGGATTCATCCTCGCTAGTGCCGAATATCTCACTATATAGGCGAGAAGCGTTAATAGAAATTTCCGCAAAAATTTCTGGTTACCGCCGCCGGCGAAAAACTTACTTTAGAAGATAGCTCTTGCCCCACACGATGCAGTGGATGGGCTGGCTAGGTGTGCTGCGAATGGTGCAGACAGGAAAAGACTTTGGAGTATCCTTGGGGCTACAGTCATAGCAAGCAGTCACGCCCTTCTTGATGACCTGAACCTGCCCGTTGAAGCCCGTCGTGCCGCTCTCGATTAGCGGTACGTCCGCAGCGAGGCACATCTTGTTGACGTGGCGTCGCGCATCGAGGTTGTCGAGCGCATTGAACACCAGGTTGAATCCCCGAAACCATTCGACTCCGAATTGGCTGTCTTTGATATTTGCGTGATATGCGATGATCTGGGCGTCGGGGTTGAACTTTTGTGCAACTTCCTTCGCAACCTACGTAAAATGAACCAAGTCAATATTCCGAGACGGTTAGGGGCCATTACGGATCGCATGGAGGCGTACCAGAGACTTCGACTTCTTGATGTGTTCGTGTCGGAAGAGGAATTGTCGGTTAAGGTTCGAGAGATCAATCGTGTCGAGGTCAACGATGTGGACGTCGCGGAAGCCGCTGAGGACTAGGTTCTTCAAGAGCTCGCATCCGATTCCTCCCGCTCCAACCATGAGAATCTTGGACTGTTCACCACCAAGTTAGCACTCTCCGAGGTCTACGACGGCTGCGCGACCAGGCACGAGGGTTCGCTGGTGACGAGCGGTAGTATGCTCGGCGAGGCGCGAGCGAGTGAGAATGAGGGCGTGTCACGGTCAACTCCACGGGTGTGGCCGCCCTCGTGTCTGGAGTCCAGGCGGAAATGGTATCGATCAAACGCAGACGTGCATACCTGATTGAGCTTATCGTTAAGGTTTGCGCCCAGCGTTTGCTGGTTGTAAGTATCACGAGTGACAGCCATCTCGATCGCGATTTGGCGCGAGCCGATCGATGCCAACGTTAGGAGAAGAGGACCATCCGGTGGTGAAGGGCGCCCTAACAAGATGTGGGGGTTGGTCGTGTGCAGGCGAAAAAGTTGAGGGGGAAAGGGCGGAAAGAGGTGAACGAGAATGTTTGCAGTTGGACGTGCGACGCGGCGAGGCTACAGTCAGGATGGGCAGGCAAGATTCAAAAGTCGATCGATGGATTGGATTCCGACATTCAAGCGTGACCTCAGAGTGACTTTGGTGGGGCGCTGTTGGTTCCGTATTAAAGCGGGAATTTTAGGACGGACAATGTACTGGTCTTGTCGCAGTCTGCCATCCACTCACTCAGTGCATTTAGGAGGCAGTCCCTGAAGAAGGTTCAAGTTTCCAACACTGGTATACACCAATAATTCAAGGAATCAAAGTGCAAAATGCAACCGGCGTTGGTCTGCCATGCCAGGCGGCTCAATCCAATCAATTTGGTAACACCCTCCATCTTCTCCCCAAGCTGCATCAATCCTGAACGACGACTCGGGTGCGAAGCCGTGGTCTCATGTCAAGAATGGTTTTTCATCAGCCCATCCCCGTCCACGGCAACAATTAAACCAGCAAATATTGATAATATGCCATTAAAAGGATCGCTCGCAATATCATTCCCTCTTATCCATCATTCTACCCTTGTTTGCTCAGTCCAATTCAATCATGAAACAGACTTGTACCGCAAGATGGAGGCTTACGTAAAGACGAGATTGCGCTCTGGGGGAAGGAGGCGGTAGACTTGTTTGCCATTCCAGCGAACTAATGAGATATTGACCGACTATCTACACAATCGAGGAAAAAAGTTTGTCTCTGAGTCTCCTGTTTGCCTTTTCCGTGCTCGATAGACCCGTACAAGGGGGAGGAGTCGGCCTGTAAAACTTCCATACGACTCTCTTCTGTTTCGGTTCTTTCGTGGTGCCCCTGCAAGCCAACCATGTCTGACGACGAGGCCGATCCCGAACTCCTGGAACTTCTCCGCCAGCATATCCAGGGGAAATTAAAAGTTGATGATGAACCGGATACCGGCGTTCTGGAGGGTGCCGAATATGTCTATGACAACTCAATTGATGTTGCCATCGATATGAGAGCGAGCAAGGCAGCGGCCGTCACCATTTACAACTTGATGAAGCAAAAGGGGTACTCAACGTCGACATGGTCAGAGCATGAACTTCATCCAAAAACCAAGGATGAAAGTACCCTAGCTTTCATATTTACTATGGATCTCCTAAATTTCTCGTTCTGGTCTGAGCTACCTGCAGAGGAGAGGTTCGCAGTTGAGTATCGCGGCCAGACTTGGACAGGATATTGGAGTCTTGTCGCTTCATTGCAGAGGGCTCTTGAAGAAGGTTGGCCTTTCATAGATTAATACGGATCGCTATCTCACGTATCTTGGAGAAACATCCTAACCTTTTTCTTTAGGGATTCCCATCACGAGCTCGGACTTTTGGCAAAGTGAAGATGAGTGCACTCTCGAGGTTCTGAAGCACGTCTTTAGATCGACCACCGAAGAAGAGATGCCGATGATTGAGGAACGCCTTGCTTGTCTGCGTGAGGCCGGAAAGGTGCTCTATGAGGTACAATAGAATCTCCACTTACTTGCGCTCCTCTTTTGTCTAGAAAAGCCCAAAATCGGGGTCACTAGCCCAACGCGAGTCACTAATTTTGTTATTTGGCAGAATTACGGATGCAGCTTGGAAGAGCTCATCTGGTCCGCCAACGGCTCTGCTGCTGCCCTCGTGAACATCCTCGCCCGTGACTTCTCTTCCTTCCGTGACGAGTTCACTTTCGAGGGGCGACGGCGTCCGGTCCGCTTTCTCAAGCGCGCCCAAATCTTCGTTGCCGATGTGTGGGCTTGCTTCGACGGCCAGGATTACGGCGACTTTTATGACATTGACAAGATCACAATGTTTGCCGATTATCGAGTGCCGCAGATCCTAAACGCCATGGGTTGCTTATACTACAGTCCCTCTCTTGTCTCGTCCATCAAGCAGGGCAAGCTGATTGGCTCTGGAACTTATTGGGAGCTGCAAATTCGGGGTACGTTTAGAAAGACCCTCTCCCAAGGCGCATTTGCGAAATAACCTGTGTTGTATTAACTCTCTTTTAGGATGCAGTATATGGTGTGTTGAGCTGATTAGGAGAGAAATATTGAGGAACCATCCCGACGCCCAGGTCAATGCAATTCTGATCGACTTTTTCTTATATGATACCATCAAAGAGCGGGAAGAGAAGGGAGAAGAGGGGCTTTTGACACATCACAGGACTAGAAGCATCTGGTATTAGAGTGCATACGGAAAATTCGGTGTAGAGATAGACAGCACTAGAGGCGAACCGATTTTTTTTTCTTTATTTCAAGTATTACATCCCGAATGGATTCAAAAGCAAACGCTCTGCAAGAACGCAAACACAGACAAGTACAAGGAGTTCAAAAGTGACACCCCGTCTGAAACAGAGAATCCCTAAGCCAGACGCCGTAACACCGTTTCCACCTATCATCACAAAATCAGGACTGCCGTAAAGCAGAGTAAAGCAGCTCACGCCCCAGCGGCAATGTGGCTCATGATTTCATCCATCGACGACACCTCTGTGTTAGCCTTGGGATGCTTCTTGTGTTCTTTCATAAGAACAGCGAGGACCTCGATCGGAGGGTTAAGACCAAGCCTTTCCGCCCGCTTCCAGCGCTTGGTGCGGTCGATGCCAATGCTCGGCTAGAGAAAGTCAGCCCCTGGAATGCGATGTCGACTTGCGCATTACCCAACAAACCACAACACAGAAAACGAATGAACGGAAATATTACTTACTCCATACTGTGATGAAACGTCAAAATATCGCAAAATCTTCTCGTGAACAGTCAAGTCCTCCTGATGCACCGGCATCGCGAGCCTAGCACTCATAATTCCAGACCAATACTTTTTAATCTCAGCATCCGTCATCTTCTCCGCCAACGCCTCGAACTCGTCACTCTCCGCTTCCGCCGGTTCGGGAGCAGCACTAACTTGTTCAACGACATGTTCGCCTTCCTTGGGGGTCTCCTCTTCCCCCTCTTCGACGGGAGTCTCTTCGACCTCCTCTTCTTCTTCCTCCTCTTTGGAGGGGGTTCTCACCTCCGCCTTCTTGGGGGTGGTGGGTTCGGCGAGTGCGGCTTTCTTCACATCCTTGGGGACGGCCTTCGTTACGCGACTGGCAAAGCTAATGGTCGATTGACCCTTTTCGGGGCCGGGTCTGGCTCGACTGCCGCCTGTTGATCGTCGGGTGACTGGCATTGTGAATTGATGTGAATGATGTCAAGGAAGAGGGGTAGCGAAAATCGGCTGAGTGAAGGAGTATTAATGATTTGAGAATAAGAGCGTGTGATGCCACAATATTCTAGGTCGGGAAGTGCTCCGTAAGTATGGAATCTGCTCAATTCTTAGAGTATATCCCAGATATTTCGATAAGGTTGAGGTTTCAATTCATTTCATTCACCTCGATTCGGAGATGGTCGTAAGACGGACAAATGAGATCAAGGCAATTTTGGCGGGGCAACGCGAGCCTGGAGCGAGGTCACGTGAATTCCATCATCTCACTGATCTTGACGAGGCAGTGTTCAGCTTCCTTCAAGACTGGATGGATGAAATGTGCAGAATTTTGTCTATTCCGAACGAATTAAACCCAGGATATCTCATTCCAGCGTCTTCACCTAAATTCCTGTAGCCTCCCTGTAGAACGAAAGGCTCCGGTTGGACCCCGCCGTACAAAAGAACTCACTCCTACCCGTTTTTGGCAACCACTTCACAGACCACAGCGGCTTATCCGTCTCACTATGGGTGGCGACGCAGACCTTCCGTTCAACAGACCAGACCTTGGCCTTGCCATCCATGGCGCCACTGAGAAGAAACTCGCCGCTGTCATTCCAGTCGACGGACGTTACCCACGCGGAATGGCCCGTGAGGTTGCCAACATGTTCGCCGTGTTGCATGTCGTAGAGGGCTATGACGGCGGAATCTCCCGCAGCTGCGAGTCTTGTAGAGCCAGGCGAGAAGGCGACGGTCCGGATCGCGTTCGCTAGACCTAGGCTAAGTTAGCCAATCTGCACACACCCCGCCGAAAGCAGAGCTCTCTATTCGAAGAGGGATAGGAGACGTACCTGTTAATGAATATACAAGTCTTCCTGTATCGTTGTTGAAAACGTAGACGGTGCCATTCTGATGTCCACTGGCAGTGTACTTGCCATTACCGCTCAAATCCACACACATTCCAAAGCTACCCGAGTTCCCACTGCCCGTCTCGTACTCTCGAATAATCTTGGGGCTATTCTTATCAAATACGTCCCAGACTATGACCTTGCCATCCCTGGTCGTGGTAGCCAGGTACTGGCCGTTCTCGTTGAGAGCGATAGCCCATATCGATGCGTCCTTCACGGCGCCCTTCGGGATCTCGGAGTGTGTGGTCCACTCACTAGAGTCGGGGTCGAGACTCCATACTTTAATCTCACCACCAAACCCGGCGCTCGCGGCCACTTTGCCGTTGCGGGATGTGCAGAGGTGATGACAGCCTAATGGGTGGGCGGCGCTGATGGTTTGGGTGAGTGAGAAGGTAGGTGTGGTGGTTTCGTGGACGTTGATGCTGGAGGAGCCGCTTGCTGAGAGGATGGCCTTGGGAGTTGCCGCAAGGGCGAATATGTCGGTAAGGTGTGCTGGGAATGGTCAGCGATGCGATGAAGAGCAGGGTACGCTTCGCTTCAGGTAGTGGAGTGGGGAGTTAGGCTGATCATTGATGCTTACCATTGTCCACAGTATGGACGGTGAGATATTGTTTTGACTGAATATAAATTAGCGACGATTAATTCTGAAATTTTTGGTAAGATCAGGGGATAAATACCATGACTGCACGTATTCGCCTGGGTGCGTCGAAGGTGATGAGCACAGGATGAAGTTGGCGATGTGTGAGAGTGTTCAGATGAATGGACGTTGAAATGTCAATTCATGGTGGGGTTAATATTGATCTGGCTCCCCCAAAGCTTACCCCGACACCTCAATTGTTCTGGCGCGTTTCCCCAACCGCCGTACCTCTACGGACACACACCTGATTTGCATTATTCTCTTCTTTCTAGGCCTTTATCAATTAATGTAATTATTCAGCGCAACAGGCGAGGAAGCCTTCTGTTGCGACCCTCTTGCCGGATCAAATCACAAGCAGCGGAGAAGCCCATCAAGGACTGGAGAAGGATCCGACTCATACGGCTCCTATCGCACAAGTCATCAATCTCAGAGAAGACGCCTGTTGCGGAGTCCGAGGGGATGGACCTACGAGCAAAAACAGCCCACGCATCGGAGCAGTGCGGACTCTTCGCCGTGGCTCTTGTGTCTCTTGACGACGCCCAAACTTATAGGATGATAATGGAGAATGGACGTTCAAGTTAGGCATGATATCAACATATCAACACCATCCTTCACATCATTCCCACTTATAACTTCCAAATTCCTTAAAATCATTTCCAACAACCGCGTACTGTGTATGGCTCTCTTGTCAATATGGTGCGCAACCGGACGAACTGCTCTTACACCATCAATATCATCCACGCCTGGAAAAGCACCGATGTATGACACAATAGAGCAGTATACTGAGAGGCAAAAGAGATAGTGTTACATTGATTATATGCCCAAAACGCCAATGATGTACACCAGTGTCTACAATGGGGAAGTGATGCGGGATCAACATCTATACACAAGAGCTTCGGCGGGCTCTGATCCTCCACATAACACCCTCAAACAAACTTCCCAGACGAGTTATCTTCCTTCCATACTTGATGTATCCCTGGGAGATGTTAGTTGGCTGTTCTACGCAAAGATTCCAAGGGATATTCACATACTCTCCATGCAATGAGGGCACAGTCGGTGCATGCGCTTCGTCTGACCACACCCCGGACACCTGCACAGCGAATTGACGTCCTTCAACGCCTTGCCGGCCATCTGCCGGTGTCTCTTCTTCGAGTGGGATGTCTTCTTCTTGGGGACGGCACGAAGGATGGACTCCCATATGTCGCCGAGTAACGAGGGTAGGCTGAGCTGGATGCCAGGAATACCCATGGAGAGGGAAGGGAGGAGAGGGTGGGTGACCTCGTGGGAGTAGACGGTGGCCCATCGGGACGAGGCGAGTATTATCGGGGCCGAGACTCGAGGGAGAAGCATGGACGCGAGGCCCGGGGCCATACGCAGTTGATGCGCCGCTGCGACAGCCATGGTTGTGTAGATATACCCTTGATGACGTTCGAAATGGCGATGGAAGGCGAAGAATTGCAGCGGACCGGAGGGTCGTGTTCCTTGCACCGCCTGATTAAACTTCGAATGAGCTTGGCTTTCGACTTCGGCGATGGTTTGGTAGGAAGGGTTTCGCTACGACGCTCGTATCCTCGAGGATACTGGCTTTGATGGCAAGCTTGATACTGCTCGATCATAGCATCCTCACTTTTCACGCCATGGGCTCAAAATTATTTCCACACCCGAACTTCATCCGACGGTACCTGGGTACTTGATACTTAGTACTTCTCTGGGGTACCTCAATACTTTCCGTAGAATTGCGATCCAGGAGAAGGAGCCAATCATTGAGCAACATGCGCACAGACCAGAGGCAGACCAATTGGCAGTTGCGACTGGGTCCATTTCCCCCTTTCCCTTTCCCTAGCCCCCCTGGCTCTGGGCTGCCAATCCCCAGCCCAAATAACAGGCTGGAAAATTATTGCAGGTGGCAGGTGCGCTCTACTAAATGAATCTCCTAATCGTACGGACCAGCAGTAAAAAGTATCATTTTCTAACCGTTGAAACAAACTCTCTCGGCCCCCCGTCCATCTGATCTACCTCTTTTTGCTGTCCTCACGGTATCTGCCCATCTCCAGCTCATACTGCTGTAACACTTGTTTGGCAATTGCAGCCTTTCCCCATAAGATAACTTCATCGTCAGCTTCCTGTAATATCGAGCCCGCGTCTCTCTGAACCTGTTAACCTTATCTCCCCTGACCGACAAACACGCCCCCTTCTCTCAATTCGTTTCGCACCGGGACGGACTCCGAATAGCAACAATGGCCTCCACAACCATCTACCCCAAGAGCCATGTCGGTTTTGACAGCATCACATCCCAGATCGAGCGCAAGCTCTTGAAACGTGGTTTCCAGTTCAACGTCATCTGCGTTGGTATGGCTTCATTCCCTTGGTCCCTGACTGGTGTCGTGTACTAGCCACGTTCGCGTTGCCATCGATCATCGACCTACCTCAAGCTACCATCATCCTGCCCTCATCGATCAGGTTACTAACTACTTCGTTCTACGTTTAGGCCAGACTGGTCTCGGAAAGTCCACTCTCATCAACACCATGTTCGCGTCTCACCTCATTGACTCCAAGGGACGCATGCTCCCCGACGAGCCCGTCCGAACCACCACCGAGATCCACTCCGTGTCCCACATTATTGAGGAGAACGGTGTGCGCCTCCGACTTAACATTGTTGACACTCCCGGATACGGCGATCTCGTTAACAACGACCGCTGCTGGGATCCCATCGTCAAGTATATCAAGGACCAGCACTCCGCCTACCTCCGCAAGGAGCTCACCGCCCAGCGTGAACGATACATCCAGGACACCCGTATCCACTGCTGTCTTTTCTTCATTCAGCCCTCTGGCCACTCGCTCAAGCCTATTGATATCGTTGTCTTGAAGAAGCTTTCCGATGTCGTCAACGTTGTCCCCGTCATTGCCAAGTCCGACAGCTTGACACTCGAGGAGCGCCAGGAGTTCAAGGAGCGCATCAAGGAGGAGTTTGCCTTCCACAACCTGAAGATGTACCCCTATGACAACGAGGAGTTTGATGATGAGGAGCGTGCCATGAACGCCCAGATCAAGGTAGGTTAAAACATTGTCGGCGCAAACGAGCCCATCGAATGAGGAGTTGGAAGAGGTCAATTTCTAACTCGAACCTTTGCAGAGCCTTATCCCCTTCGCCGTTGTCGGTTCCGAGAAGTCCATTATTGTCAACGGCAAGCAGGTTAGGGGCCGACAGAACCGATGGGGCGTTATCAATGTCGAGGATGAGAACCACTGCGAATTCGTCTACCTCCGCAACTTCCTCCTCCGCACGCACCTCCAGGATCTCATCGAGACCACTTCTCAGATCCACTACGAGACCTTCCGTGCCAAGCAGCTGCTTGCCCTCAAGGAGAACTCGGCGCATAGCGCTGGTAGCCGGCCAATCAGCCCGGCGGCTGATCGTGAGCTCAGCCGGAACTCACAACGGATGACAATGAACGGGTACTAAGTTCGACGCACAGTTTGATTTTCACCAACTCCTTCCCGGCCTTGAAAGGTCACCGGAGTTGAGGGTTACATTGATGTCGGCCATCTGCCCTTATGAACCCTTGATTCAGCTGTCATGGTTTTTATAGCGAAGCGAACCCTTCCCGAGAACAAAAATTTCATCGATTCTACGATATACCTGCCGCCTTATTTCACGCTAACCCGTGGAAGAGACTTTGGGAAACGGCAAAAAAAAAATCCAGGATGATCACCGGTGTCTTATGTCCTGGCGCTGGTGAGGTATCGAATGGGTATAGAGTCTAATTGGAGGAGCTAGTTGTGGCCTCGATCATTCTTGTTGGGCGTCTGAAGGTTTTCTTTTTGGATTCGCACTTCGAATGAAACGAGGTGCCTCTCTCCCATGCGCCCTCTCTTGTTTTGTTACTTTGTTATCCCCCCGAGTCCCAAGGTTCTTCTGCGTTTCTTCTTTTTTTTTTTCTTTATTTGGTTTTCCTGTCCCTTATTACGAAGGAGAGGCTGCTCGCTATTTTTCTTATGTTTTAATTATTTCGGTTACCCCCCCGTGCTCTAATCCAGAGTCCGCTTCGATACCTAGTCAACGCAGTAACTTTTTTTCCTTGTTTTTATTAAAAAGAATATGCAAGCGCTCTCTAGTATAAAGTGACTGTCTATCTGCTTTGAACCGAAGGAGTCTTGACAATGTAAGCATTTGTTCTCGTGTTATCCCTTGTAGATTCCCACGTCGCCTCGCTTTTTCCCGGTGTATAATCGAACCAGGTGTAATATCGAAAACCCAAAATGCGGCCACCATTTTGTCTATATTTTTATATACCCTTCTACGCCGACTTGTAGATGAAGTCATCGAGCTGCTTGTAAGCTGTCTCGAGATCGTCGTTGACGATGATAATGTCATGTACGCCGGGAGTCTTGGAGTACTCGAGCTCGCGCTTCGCCTGGGTGAGGCGCTTCTGCACGCTCTCCTCGGTCTCGGTGCCGCGGCCGCGGAGGCGCTTCTCGAGGATTTCTTCGGAGGGGGGCGCGACGAAGACGTAGCGGGCGGGAATGTCGGAGTTTTTGATTTGCTTGACGCCCTGTTGCGTGGAGTGGCCATTAGCTTTTTTTCTCTTCGACGGACCATGTCGTAGTCGTAGATGGTAGCTGAAAAAAAAAAAAGGGGGGGGGAGAGAGAGAGGAGAAGAGGAAGAAGAAAAGAAGCTATAATAACATACCTCCATCTCAATATCCAAAACCACAACCTTACCCTTCGCGCTCTGCTCCTCAATGGTCATCTTACTCGTCCCATACCGGTTCCCACTAAACTTGGCATGCTCGACGAAGCCGTTGGCGTCGATGAGGTCCTCAAAGTCCTTCATGGGGACGAAGTGGTAGTGGACGCCATGGACCTCGCCGGAGCGGGGATCCCGCGTGGTGTGGGAGACGGAGAAGGCGAAGACGTCCGGGTGGCGGGAGAAGAGGAGCTGGAGGAGGGTGCCTTTGCCGACGCCCGAGGGGCCGGAGACGACGATGGGGCGGGTGTCGGTGGGGAGTTCTGAGGTTGTCGGTTTTTGTGGTTAGCATTGAAGTCGGCGGGGAACGGTATGGTCTTCCTTTGGCGGCTTGATTGAGGTGGTTGGCGGTTTCGCGGGATCATGGTTGGGGGTTTCGAAAAGCTTACTAGACATGTTGGAGAAGGGACGGGTTAAACCTTTGGGGATCGTCTGCAAGCCGGCGCGGGAGAGGGCGGTGAAGAAAAGGCGAGAGGAGCGGAGGGGCATAAAGGATGGGTTGGGGGTTTTGAGATTTGATGTTGCGCGGGTGGGATTTGCGATTTGCGAGCGGTTTGGACCGATGATGTAAAGAGTTCTGAGGTAACACCAGCAGTTTGAACCTTCAGGCAGAACTTCAGAAGTGAGTGAATTGGCGTTTGGTGGGGAAGGCGGCTGCTGATGTGGTTCAATCAAGGTTCTCTCGACGACAGACGTCAAGTCTTGGTGCCTGCCAGCGTTTCTCAGGGCCAATTGGCAGCTGAAGTGCTCTTAGTGGCATGGCAAATGCAGACTAAACTTTAGCCATCAATGATCCCACTCCGCGTTCATATTTTCCGCCATCTGATTCTCGGCTCCTGATCCTGATTTCAACATACCCATAAGGGGGCATGTGAATGTGTCTACTTTGTATCCTGTCGACTCAAGACTGCCGTTTATAGGTTGTGTACTATAATAAACTTTACCTTTGCAATGGTGATTGACCGGTAGGGGCTTCCAACTTCTTCCCCATCTTCGTTGCTCCTTCCACATTTGATATCTCCGGTCCTCCACTGCTCTCCATTGCTTGCTCCTCCAACTCGGTGTAGGCAACCGTTCAACCCTTTTAGAGTCATTATATAATTATGCAGACTTGGCATACGCCAATCATGCGGCGCGAGAACAGTACCCAGCGGAGTGATGAGGGAAAGTCCCACAATACTGGACCGGGAAGGGCCCTCGACACCAGCGCCAGCTCGACCACGCAGCAAACTCCAGCAAACATGCATTCTTCGCAACCCCGGAAAACTCCGAATGAACCATCTAATTCCACTGGAAATATGATGAGTTCGGATGATCCCAGTTCTATACTAGATGTAATGGCTAGCATGTTCGGGCAAAACCCCGATGCATCTCCAGCCCAGCCGCGAGCACCCAATAGCAATAGTGTTTTGCAGACATCAGGTATACCAGGGCTTTCACAAATGATCTTTGATGAGAATTTCAGAGAGGCTGCGTCGAGGATCGAATGATTTGGGCTTTCGTTACTGCGATCGATAAGATCGAAAAAGGAGAGAGATAAGTATGCAAAGAATGGGGGGGAGGGAAGTGGACAAATTGTGCCTGTAAACTCCTTGGAGAGCTGGAATATCGGCGAGGCCGCTTCCGAACCGATGGCGTCGACCGGCCGCTTCGTATCACGCTTGTCAGGTGTCGCGATGGGCTTCGAATAAGAAAAGCATTGCTAATGAGTATCTATGGGCAATGGTCCTCCTGCCAGAGCGAAGGGTTCTTCTCTACTAAGAGTCGTCTGATGTAAAGGTTATGAAATATGTCAGGAGAAAGCAATGAACCATTCTATCCATTTCTCTAGATCTCAGGAAGTCCTTCCTCTCAAATCCCGTCTCACGGCATCACCATCACCATCACAGGCGCCCATTCCCAAGGAGGCACGGACCTTGATCCTGATCCATTTCCCAGTCAAGTCTTCAAAAGGTCTACTATAATATTCCTGGGTCCATGATCACAGTGGTAACAGAGAAACCTAGAACAATCCAGGTTGGACTAGCCAGACTCGATGACGGACTCGAGAACAGCCGGGGCGCGGAGCTGAAACTCCTCACCTCCAGTCAACACGACGGACAATACTCACCGTTCATAAGAGCCATCGGATACGGAATCGAGTACATGCGGCCATACCCGTAGGAAAACTCGGAACCCGTCCGCTCTTCCCTAGATAAGCCTTGCGAGTGCCAGATTAGTAGTTTGGCCGGCGACGACAAGCGAATCCCTGGTGTTGCATGCCTCTATTCTTGGTTCTTTGGGAGAAGCTTCTGAGGACTTGGGTCCTCGTTAAAGTGGAGAGAAGTGATGTAGAGATCAGAGATATTCTGGCCAACGATGCTAGAGATATACTGCTGCCACACCATACTGCTAGTTCCGCAAATATCTGCAATCCGAAAAGCATGGTACTCTTTCGGATCTTAGTCCGTTCCATGCTCCTAAGAGATCACTTGCGTCATAACCGTTCTAAGTTTGGCTCTCAGACGATACCGCTCGGGCTGGTGCCGGGTCAGACGCGGCTCGGAATCAGCGTACGGTAACGTCCTCCCAAGACGGTTGTTGTCGAGGATAGGTTTTCGGGAGATGAGGCTTTGGTCACCGAAAAGCTAAGAGTCATCATTGATCGGTTGAAACACTTTGTTGGCGGGGCGGCTTCTTAAAACTATTGTTTTATCCATGAGGATGTGAGGCAACTGGTTAATGAGGCGAAGGAGACGGCCGTTCAGGGACGGGCCCGAGGCCAAAGACTGTTTGTTTGTGAGGAGGAGAGTAATATACCATTGTTAGGACCTGCTTGCCCATTTGGCGTTGGTGACAAGCGATTGCTCGGTGAATCGGGTGGCAGCAACCGATATCCTGTTCAACGTGATTCCCGGAAAGGCATTTGTATCCCAGCTTATCCTCCTTCCTTTCTGGCCGGATGATGAATATATCCAACGCTCGAGTTCCTACGAGTTCCTATTAAGCATTCTTGTCGTTTCTGCGGTGAAATTGCGAGCCTTCCGGGTTGACTAACTACGAGAGACAAACGTCTAGATGCGACAGCACACGAGCATGAGCGTGTGATTGTTCTCTGGGATATGATCTTACAAAAGGTTGATTACCACGGCCAAGACACCAACGGGGCGACCTAGGCAGCCTGGGTTGTCGCAACTGTGATCCCACGGATTAGAGCTAGATGAATGTCTTCTCTTTGTGACAACTCTTGTTGTCTTCAGCCGAGGAAGTGCATTCTTAAATGAAATTATATGCAGTTTACTACAAAGTTTTAGGTATCAGCCACTCGTTCAATTCAGCCGACGTCAGCACCGTCGAAACGTTTTTGGAAGTTTGGAACCCGGATTGCTGGAAATGGAATAAAACTGTCTGCCAGCCGTTGAAAGTTCCCCAGACAGTTCGAGGAGACACTCAACGGTTGCACCGCCACTGCTGCCATACTGCAGCTAATTTGGCGTGTAATTTAAAATGATGACGGGTACCTTGCCTGGCTCTAAGCTTAGCGGCACATCCATATGCAAAGTAACTGTGTCTTGAGGCACAGAAATCTCGTATTATCTGACGACCGGAGCACGGCCGAGGATGGTATCGAATATCGAAATCTCGTGTTCTCAGTTTTCCAAATCGAATGCCAGTTTTGGCGTGGTTGAGGGAAAATCCCATCCACGTGGTGGACCCGAGATCTTCCCCATGACCATGCTTTGTGTGCATCGGAGAATGTGTCTTGGTCTTGGTGTTCGGCCTATTATTTCCTCTGATGCGGGTTGAAACATGAAAATAATAGGAGGTTCCGCAGCAAATGTCGCATCAAGTCCGCTAAAACCCATTTGCGAGACTGCAATTGGCGACCGAAACAGCGCTCCTCTCCTGAACGGTAGCTCTCGTGCTTGGTTGAACTGGGGTGCCGGCACTGCCCAGGGGTCTTGCATGCCCCTTGGCGTTCCAACTGCCTAATTGCGCTCTGGGCGAGAGTAACCAAAAAGCGCATGATCGAATATTATAGGCCTCTCCCGTACTATGACGGTGAAGAGAGCAGAGGGGCAGGCTCCGTTCCTGGCTCCATTGACCACTCTGCTGGCTTGGCTGCCCCCCCGTTTCCCCTTTCCGGGCTTTTTCCCCTTGGCCTTGATTTTTCCCGTCCTGTCGTGTCTTTTTGTCCATTATCACATCGTGCCTTCCGTCCGTTCTGTGTAACGACTTCGTGTTTTTCCCTCCCTCGCCCACTCTAGACGCTCCTTCCTTTTAATATTCGAGTCGCTCCTTACTCTTTGTCTGTCATTTCGAAATTCCCCTCATTCTTTGTGATTACCCGCGTAGTCCGTCCCTTCCTTCATTATTCCTTCTCTGTCACTCCCTCGAGATTTTTGAGACATCACCCAACTCTCGCCTTTTTCGCGGTAGATCCCGTCGGTGAGATCGGTCAACAAACGGCACACGCAGACCAACGAAACATTGAAACGCCGGTGCGAGAGATATTATAGCAATGCATGTAAGTCGATCAGGATCGAAATTATCACGGTGGTTAAAAAATCCCCCGGGTGGAAGTTTCATCTAAGTCAAATTGTCGCGCCACGACGGATCGCGCATACGGAGAGAGCCTTTCCTACTCTTCCGAGGCACTTGTGGCTTGCATGATCTCCCGCGAACGAGTTCCTTTCCCTCGACGCCGCAGAGATTGCTAACAATTCTTTCCGGCGCGGGACACCGACCTCCAAATTCACTTCCATCGCTCGTCTCGATCTTATGCCCCATCGCTAACCATGCGTCTTTCGCTCTGAATCTAGCTCCCTAGCACCCTCGGCTTCCTCGCCGCCATCGCGGCCCCCTTGGCAGCTGCCGTCGATCCCCTCGAGGTCCAAGGCCGGTACTTCGTCAACCCCAAGAGCGGCAACCGATTCCAGATCATTGGTATTGACTACCAGCCCGGTGGTGCTGCTGGCTATGACCCGTCCAAAGGCAAGGACCCCCTCAGCGACAAGGACCACTGTCTTCGCGATGCCGCCCTCATGCAGGTCCTTGGTGTCAACACTATCCGAGTCTACAACCTTGACCCCAACTTGAACCACGACGACTGCGCTAGCATCTTCAATGCTGTAAGTGTCTAAGCACCATGACTCCGAGCGTCCCGGCTCTCGCCCTGGGTCTCGCCAGAACAATTGACAGCGTTGCTAACCCTCGACTTAACCTGTAGGCGGGTATGTACATGATCATCGACGTCAACTCGCCCCTCCCCGGCGAAGCCCTGACCTCGTACAACCCCTGGGAGAGCTACCACGAGGGCTACCTCAACCGCACCTTCGCCATCGTCGAGGCCTTCAAGAGCTACCCCAACACCCTGCTCTTCTTCTCCGGCAACGAAGTCATCGACCGCCCCGAGTCCGCCGAGTTCGGTCCCCGCTACATCCGCGCCGTCACCCGCGACCTGAAGAACTACATCAAGAAGCACTCGCAGCGCTACATCCCCGTCGGCTACTCCGCCGCCGACGTCCGCGACATCCTCTGGGATTCGTGGAACTACTTCACCTGCCGCATCAAGGGCGAGAAGGACGACGAGTCGCGCGCCGACGTCTTCGGTCTCAACTCGTACAGCTGGTGCGGTGATGCCACCTTCGAGTCGTCCACCTTCAAGGACCTCGTCGACGGCTTCAAGGACACCTCCGTCCCCATCTTCTTCTCCGAGTTCGGCTGCAACGAGGTCACCCCTCGTCTCTTCACCGAGATCGCCGCCATCTACGGCGACAAGATGACGGGCGTCTTCTCGGGTGGTATGGTTTACGAGTACACCCAGGAGGAGAACAACTACGGCCTCGTCGAGCTCGACAGCGATGGCAACGCCAAGCTCCTCCAGGACTACAACACCCTCGCCAAGCAGTACGCCGCTCTCGACTTCGACGCCCTCTACTCCCAGAAGCCCGGGAGCGACACCCCCGACCCGGTCACCTGCGACGCCAAGCTCATCACCCAGAAGGGCTTCGACAAGAACTTCACCATCCCCGAGATGCCCCACGATAACTCCGCGAAGATCCTCAGCGCTGGCGTCAAGCCCGCTCCCTCCGGCAAGATCGTCCCCGTCACCGACCTTGCTACCCCTCACAAAGTTGTTGATGTCGACGGCAAAGAGCTCTCTGGCGTCGCTATCAAGGCCGTTGCCGATAATGGCTGGAACCGCCCTGGTGTCAACACTGCTTTCGAGATCGGTGCCGCCGCTGCTGGTGGTAACAGCACTAGTAAGGAGGATGCTGGTGCTTTCCTTCGACCTACCGTCCTTGCTCTTGCTCTTCCTCTCTTTGCTTACCTCGTGTAAGTTTTGAAGGGGGATGGTTTTTTTTCGGGGGCGAAATTGGAAAGCTGTTAGTGAGGATGATGGTTTTTTTCGTTTAATACTTCCCGCTTGTTCCGTTTTGTCTTCTCATTGGATCGTGTTTTGCCGTTATGTCAAAGGTTTTTTCTGTAAAAAGAAAAAGCCAAGAGGAGATGGATGATTTCCGCATCATGAAACTCTAGACTTCCGAGAACCTTCTGTGGACAAGAGAGAAGAGGGAGGAGGAATAATCCTGATGAAGAAGAGTTTGGGGGGTTGCAGTGTCAATATATCCTGTTAATCTTTCATCCCGTGAATTAAGTTTTACCTCTTACTACAAATCGGTGTTAGTTCGATGGTGGTACGTGGACCATGGAACCATGTGGAGTGTTTACAAAAGGAAAGAATCGTTGGCTTACGACGCTTTAACGATGCTAGGGGAGATGTTGCTCAGCGAGACCATGTTGGATGACGCGTCGGGAGGGTTGCCGGGGCCAGAGTCAAGGGGTTTCCTACCCAGACTTACAGAAATAACTAAGGCTTTCCAGTTCAAAGCATCCCCATCTACCCTCTTCAAACATCACTGGAACAAACACTTTAGCTTTGCAAAGTTTTCTTCTTCAAATGCGTAGCCCGATTCCTCTATAACCTATACCTAGAGAATAATTACAGGCACACCAAGTCCGATTGCCATCGTTTCCTTACGTAGTCGTACCAGCCCGCGCCTTCGTTTCCATTGCTGCCTCCTAGCCGTGTCTCCAAAATCAATAAATCTTCTCCGTTCCCCTTTCCCCATTCCCTGTGCGGGAGGATTCTTTAATGTATAAAAAAATAAGTTTTCTTTAAGCCTGGAACTCGGGAATCTTGTTCTCCTCCCACCTGCCGGGGACGAGCGCAAGAGGGACGATACCAGAGACGTGCATCTCGGGTCCGAAAACCCTCGCGTTGAGGCGAAGCTCTTGGGTCGCCGCCTTGAGGTTCTTGAGACCCTCCTGGTAGTTGGGACCGGCACGGCGGACCCAGATCTGGACGTTGTGCTCAATGAGCTGGGGAGCAAAGTCCCTGAGGGCACGGATAAGACCCTTGAATGTGCTGGCGACGTTAGTGAAGTTGGCAATACCACCTCCAATGAAGAGGACCTTGCCCTTGTCCGATAGGGGAGCGCGGAGCATGAGGTCGAGTACGGTACGGGCGTAGTGATAGGTCTGGGATTCGGTGGGCGCTCCAGAGTATTCACCATAGTTGGCCAACTCATCAGCGAAGCCAGCCGACGCAATGGCGTCGGCGTAGACGACGGAAGCACCACCACCAGCGACAAGGGTCCAGATGCGACCGTTGGGGTTCAGAACAGTCAGTTTGAGAGAAGCACCAGTCTTGGCATCGAGCTCAGCGATGTACGCCTCCTCCTTGGAAAGTTCACGACCGAAGGGAGCGGGGAACTCCATGGGGGGGCCGGCATCAATGTTCACCTTGTCGCCGGTGGAAGGAGCGACGTTGGTGAGGCCGAGGGCAGCGGGTGACCGCGCAATAGCCCACTTGACACCACATTCGAAATCGGCAGTCTGATCGAGCTTCGCGGCAAGATCAAGGAAATGAACGGCCGCAGAGGTTCCCTCGGCGTTGGGGATCACCACAAGAGGGTTAATCTCGAGATATGTGAATTGGCAGTCAACGTACACCGCGTAGAGACGGGTGATGAAGTCAACCAACACCTTGTGCACACCCTCGGGCACGTTGCTGAGGAGGGCCTCAGCAATCTCCCTGTTGGAAGGATATTGCGAGAGATCGACGGGGATGAGAAGTTTCTCAGCCTTCTCATCGACGTCACCAACATCGACACCACCCTCGTGAGTGAAAAGAATCCAGTCGCCCTAACGGAAGGAAAGCCGAGTTAGCAACAATGATTGACACAAGTTATACGATTGCGAATAGACACTAAAGGGAAAATGGTGGGGCACTGGGCGGACCAGCACGGCAGGTGTCTGCAAGGTGGCATCCGTTCGTCCGTGAGCGAGTCAGCGGACTTCCAGAAACAACGCATGGAGCCGCCGAATAACAGAAAATCTGCCTATTTAAAAAGGACTTGATTTCCGAAATTCACAGATCTTCAGTTGCAACTGATTCGCCCACCAGTGAAGAAATTCTTCACCTGATAATCATGGGACCATCTCATTCCATTTTCCCTTTCCTTCTTCACTTCATCACCTCATGATGCCGATGTTCCTTTTTTTTCGTGTTCCTGCAAATAGGCTGGGTTGTCTGAGAGAGAGATGACAACTTACATCGCGAACGGAGTTGATGCAAATGTAGTACTCCTGGTCCTGGCTGTGCTTCACGAAGGGCTCAACTGGAAGACTTGTGTGTCAGCATTTGATCTCATACTCTCGTTTTGACCTCGGGGGACTTACCCAAAAAGTTCCTCAAGATACCGCTGACATGCTCAACCTTCTGCTCCTTTCCAGCACGCTCGGCAACCCAGGCCCTCGCCTCAGCCCATGTCTTGTTGAGAGCGAGAAGACCGCTCTTTCCTCGTCGCTTGATCCTGAAGGTGAGTTAGCAAACTGAGAACCTCTGACCACTCCTGTCATGCGGACAGATCATCTTCCGCGCGGTACGAGGAGACGGTCCGAGTCTCTGCATGTCCGAATGCCTCCAGTGTGCTCGGCATCGCGGGGAGGTGCTCTACTCACAGCATGTCGGGCTTGGCTACAAATCGGGCACCGGGTTGGAGCAACCACGGGTAGGTGACCTCGGCCTGGTCGAGAACGCCCTCGACATCGGCATCTTCGGGGAAATTCAGAGTCGCCAACCTGGGAGGAGGGTTGTGCTTGCTCGGGGGAGGAAGAGGGCTCGGCTTGATGACTGGGGCGCGCGTGAGGTGGTAGTTGAGGATGGCCTTGCCATCGGCCTCAAGAATGGACTTTGCGGACATTATGGATTTATTATGAGAGATCTGCTCAGAAAATCCGATTTTGTCAGTACTGTTCTTTGAAGCTGTGGCGGCTTGGTCTGGTGGTTTCAATTGGGAAGCCTCGGTCAAGTGCGACTTGTGTGTGAGCAAGTGCTGCGATATCGCAAATACATCCACCACCACGCAATCCTCGCACAGCGGGGTTGAGAATTCTGAAGCAAGACCTACAAAGGAGAATGCAGCGGCGCGATATTTTTCAAGTCTAGGAGTTGCAAATTCAAACTTGGAAACTACAAGTCTTTTGATTTGCACACGGAGTCTTGAGGATGGGAGCAAAAATGGTGTCGTGGGAGGGAAGATTGAGAATGTTGGACAACGGAGCTCGAGGTGGGAGAGAGGAATTGCCAGGTCAACCTCCAAAAGGGCGACTTGGGGGAAAAAATGGCGGGAGGTACGAAGGTACCGAAAAGGAGCTACAACCAGGGGAGAAGGGCGGGAACCTGAAGGCGGTGGGAACTTGGGAAGCAAGCAAGAGTCGGAAGTTGAGGGGACTTGCGCAAGTCAATAACACTCAAAAAGAGTACGCCAGCGTGGTACTCGCAGAGGTCAATTGGTGAGTTGGGGCTCCCTTTCCCTTTTTCGTTTCCCATTGATAACAACAGTGACTCGGCCCTTTGCTGTTTCCCCAATATTTTTTGCCATGTTGGACCAGTCATACGCTGCTAGTGCAGCTTCGGGCTTCTTCGTGAGAGTCCCTGCCATTCATTCTCATCAACAAATGGCAAAATTCAACGGCGAATGGCGCTCAGTTCACCAGTTCACCCCTCAAGTCACCAAGTCTCCAATGCCCCTCTTCAGGCTAGCAATGTCGGGGTTGCACCTGAAAATTTTGGGGCGGTCTAGTCCTTGGGTGTGGTGGGGTAGCTACGGTACGACAGTGCGGCATGGAAATCATTTGACACTAGCGGTGTCAGGTACCAGTACATACGATCGAGGAAAGTTGTGCCCAAACGTTTGTTGAGAAATTAAATCTGGCTGCCTATTCTTAGTGGAATAATGACCGAGTCCGTCGTGAGGGGAATCGAGGAGAATTCGGCACACGACACCCACCCAGTCAGACACCTGGCTGAGTGAGATGGCCGAGGGAATCCTGACCATCCTGCCGCGGGTATTTTGGTCCACTGTATGGCCAGCAAGCTGCACGCCGGACCGAGGCCATGTTTCCAATCCTGCCCTACCATCTTACGCCAGTCATCGAAATGGATGGAGGTCAGCTCAGAGGCTGAGCGAGGCTGAGAGGTTTACTGGCAGGATGAAACCCGGGGGTTCGAATCGATTCGGATATGATCAAAAATACGAGATGACAACATTGATGGTCCGGGGCACCCCACGGACATGGCAATACCCTTATGGATGGGGGAATTTTAACGTTGATCGTACGGGTTCCGGGCTCCGGACATTACACAATCAACTTTTTCGAGCTGAAGTCGGCTGAAACCTCACCCCATTGCCCGTCTGCTTTATGGCCTCCTTACAACTATGCGCTTATTATCAAGTGATTAATGAAGTTATCGTCAAGTTGTTGGTGTCCTTTTCACGTCGCATGTGAACAAGGCCGACAATCTTCAATCGCATGTCGATGATTGAAAACTGGAGAACAGGACAGTGACCATTTTGGTTCGAGTCTAGACGTTAATGGGGTTTGGCGATTTCGAAAGTATCTGTACATGGCATGAGCTAGGTACAACCTCATCCCCTGTCGACACATCATCCCGGTACCCAAACTGCTGGGCAATTCAACAGGTCTCAAAAAAGTTGAGAAGGACGGCTGGGCACGGTACGGTGGGGAGCTTGAGTTGACACCTACCTCGACCGGGAATTCACACCCCCCTAAGTGCGGTTGACCTGTGCCTGGGCCGCCAATGCATCCGCTGCTGCGCTGCACCTTCCGCAGCCCGCCAGCTGTGTACCTCAACAGCCGCTAAGGTTCAGGGTCCAAGACACTTACGGACTCAAGCTTACTTCGTACTTCGTCCACACTACGCACCAAGCTCCTGAGTACTTGCGCCGTACTGCGAATTCGAGCCAGTGGTCTCAGGTCCCTGGGGCCGGTCGACGAATGCTCTACGATGTCGAATCTTCAATCGAGTCTTCATTAATCGCAGGACTCGTCATTCACTCTGTTTCAATCAATTTTTGATTTTCGACTTATTTATCTGGAGCTGCACACGCGTTCTAGATTTATTCCAGACCGCAATTTGGTCCCAGGGCTGACGTGTGCCGCTGCCAGCAGAGGGAGGAGCGGAATGTGAAGCACCTCGACTGATTGAGAAGGTTGCTCCCTGTCCCTGCCCAGTGTACCAGGTGTGAATCCTGTGATACTTCATAAATTCACACCCACCGAACCTGATCTTGGCTTCCATGTCCACACCCAAAATACGGAGCAATATTCGTTCAATGGTTGTACCTGAGTGTCCACTAGCCGTTCTAACCCAGCCAACGATTCCTTGACATTTGATCCATTCAATTGTTGTGTGTCAACTCATCGAGGTCCAACCTCCACTCACCCAAATCGTTCCCCCCTTCGACTCCGATCTCAAGAAGCTCTTTTGGATTCTCCTTTCTCCTTCCCACCTTCGAAGAGAGAACCAAGATTTCCTTTCTCATCCTCAAATTTGCTCTTCGCTTTTCTCTATTCCTATAATCTCCAGACGGGAGCCGAATCACCTCTTTCCGACGGATCGATCGTCTTCGAGCTCAAAACAGCTTCATTAGGTATGCTCCCTATTTCCCCCCTTCCTCCCATGTGCTCTTCCGAGTACACTACGACCAATCTCCACCCGGCTTTGGTCATTGCGATAGCGGCCTCGTTGATCTATGCAACCAAAAAAAAATTTGTTGGATGACTGAATCGACGAGGCGCTTGATTCAATAGACCCATCAGTCCCAGAGTCCCTGGCAACATATTTCCCTCTCCAGATTTCGCCATTTTTCCCTCCCCCCACCAATTCCTGAAGCATAACCTCCCACGCCGAGTTTCTTACTCAAACCCCACAATACGCCGGAACCTTCCACACATCAGCTAACTTGCCGTGGTTTGTTTCATTTTTCAATAGACAGGATACACATTCTCTACGCTTTTCTCGAAGCACCTTGTATCGTCGGCCTCTCCCTCCAGAAATCATGACGACCGCTTCCACACCTAATGGCGCCAACGGCAAGCAGGCGACGTTGTCTGCTAACGACAACATCCGCCGCTTCGCTGCTCCTAGCCGACCTCTGAGCCCCCTCCCTTCCCACGCCCTCTTCCACAACAAGACCCGATGCTTCGTCTACGGTCTCCAACCACGTGCCGTCCAGGGCATGCTCGATTTCGACTTCATTTGCAAGCGATCGACTCCCTCGGTAGCGGGCATCATCTACACCTTCGGCGGTCAATTCGTTAGCAAGATGTACTGGGGAACGAGCGAAACTCTGCTTCCCGTCTACCAGGAGGTCTCTAAGGCCATGGCTAAGCACCCCGAGGTCGATGTCGTAGTCAACTTCGCCTCCTCTAGGAGTGTGTACAGCTCCACCATGGAGCTTATGGAATACCCCCAGATTAAGACTATCGCCATTATTGCAGAGGGTGTGCCTGAGCGCGTAAGTGATTTTACAGCCTCGGATCTTCCGGGCATGCATCGCCTACGCTGAACGAACAAAGTTACTAATTTGGGTGATCTAGCGTGCCCGTGAGATTGCTCATGTTGCGCAACAGAAGGGTGTCACCATTATTGGTCCTGCCACCGTCGGTGGTATCAAGCCTGGCTGCTTCAAGATCGGAAACACTGGTGGTATGATGGACAATATTGTTGCCTCCAAACTTTACCGGAGGGGCTCCGTCGGCTACGTCTCCAAGTCCGGTGGTATGTCGAACGAGCTGAACAACATCATCTCCCAGAACACCGACGGTGTCTACGAGGGTGTTGCCATCGGTGGCGATCGGTACCCCGGTACCACTTTTATCGATCATATGCTCCGCTACCAAGCTGACCCCGATTGCAAGATCCTCCTGCTTCTCGGTGAGGTTGGTGGTGTAGAGGAGTACAAGGTCATTGATGCCGTTGAGCAGGGTATCATCACCAAGCCCATTGTCGCCTGGGCTATTGGTACCTGCGCGAGCATGTTCAAGACTGAGGTTCAGTTCGGTCACGCTGGTGCCTTTGCCAACTCCCAGCTCGAGACTGCCGCCACGAAGAACAAAATGATGAAGGAAGCTGGATTTTACGTGCCCAAGACCTTCGAGGACCTTCCCGACCTCCTCAAGTCCGTGTACGACAAGCTCGTCAAGGACAAGGTCATCATTCCTCAGCCCGAACCCGCTGTGCCCAAGATCCCCATTGACTACTCGTGGGCTCAGGAGCTCGGCCTTGTCAGGAAGCCCGCCGCTTTCATCTCCACTATTTCCGATGACCGTGGCCAGGAGCTCCTGTATGCCGGCATGCCCATCTCGGATGTTTTCAGGGAGGATATTGGTATCGGAGGTGTCATGTCGCTCCTCTGGTTCAGGCGTCGCCTCCCCGACTACGCCTCTAAGTTCCTTGAGATGGTTCTCATGCTTACCGCTGATCACGGTCCCGCCGTGTCCGGCGCTATGAATACCATCATCACCACTCGTGCCGGCAAGGACCTTATCAGCGCCCTCGTCAGCGGTCTCTTGACCATTGGCTCCCGCTTCGGTGGTGCGCTGGACGGTGCCGCCGAAGAGTTCACCAAGGCCTTCGACAAGGGTCTCAGCCCCCGTGAGTTCGTCGACAGCATGAGGAAGCAGAACAAGCTCATCCCTGGTATTGGCCACCGTGTCAAGTCTCGAAACAACCCCGATCTCCGCGTGGAGCTCGTCAAGGAGTACGTCAAGGCGAAGTTCCCTTCGCACAAGATGCTCGAGTACGCTCTTGCTGTAGAGACGGTGACGACATCTAAGAAGGACAACCTCATTCTCAACGTCGACGGCTGCATTGCCGTGTGCTTCGTTGACCTACTCAGGAACTGCGGTGCCTTCTCCGCCGAGGAGGCCGAGGACTACCTCCGCATGGGTGTCCTTAACGGTCTCTTCGTTCTCGGTCGCAGCATTGGTCTCATTGCCCACTACCTCGACCAGAAGAGGCTGCGCACTGGCCTCTACCGTCATCCTTGGGATGACATCACCTACCTCCTCCCCAACCTCAAGTCTGGTCCTCCTGGAAATGAGGGTAGGGTCGAAGTCCAGATGTAGACTAGAAATTGATGTCCGGAACGGTGGAATAAAAGGAAACGGATGGGTTAGAGCCGGGACTCGGCGTCGCTGTTTCTGCCCGGAGTTGCTGTTAAGGGATTCGCAGCGGCCGGGCAGCTCTCTTTGGTTTTCTGATTTGAAGAAAGAGGCCGGGGCTTTGCAATGATTTTGGGCAAGCTGTATGACGACTATAGTTTTAGGGAGCGTACATCAGAATCCCAGTAATATGAAGTTATCAAATTCCAACGTGCTGAATGTTCTGGACTCTGTGAAAGTGTATATCAATAGCGAGCATGACCCAACAACTGGACTGTCGAGGAATAGTTGATTTGAAGCAATCCAGCGACCAATTGTGATTACATAATTTATATGTGCCATATCACGTGATTGACAATTTCTCTATCTCGAACCGACGATGGCTTCGAGAGGATTGAATCTTCAACTTTTTGATAGGGAACTAGAATTTCGCGACATTGGGAAGGCAAAATCTCTCAATCAACCGCGAAGAAAACTTATCGTGGCCGATCCCAACGTGCGCCCGACCCCATGCCCCCAAACGCCTTCTCAGCTCACGATTATTCTACTCACATGTTTCCAGTCGCTTTGCCAGATCACGCGAGACATCCAAGTCGAGGTCGATTCCCGACGATTTTCTACTCTCCGACACTCATTTTAACACCTCAGTCCTACCCTCGCGCCAATAAAGCGTTCGATCTCTTCTTCTCGGTGGAACCAGTTCCCTTCAAATAAGCCAAACCCAAAAAAACCGACTTCACAAACAGCAAAAGCCCCGAACAAAAAATGTCCTTCTTCCGCATAACCCTCCACCGCTCGGCCATCGGCCTCCCCAAACGCACGCGCGGCGTTCTCGCGGCCCTGGGCCTCCGACGCCGCAGCCAGGTGGTGTTCCACCCCGTGAGCGCGCAGTTCGCGGGTATGATTATGAAGGTGAAGGAGTTGGTGAGGGTGGAGGAGGTGGAGAAGGCGCTGAGTAAGAAGGAGGTGAGGGAGGAGAGGAGGCCTGATAGGGGGTTTGTGGTTGAGGGGAATGTGAGGAGGGGGGAGGTTGTGTAAAGGGGGTTGAGGGAGAGGGGTGTATGATATGTGTGTATATTGTCCTGAGAAAAAGGGGGATATATGCTTGATGATTATAGACTGGTATAATATTCCCGACTTGGATTACATGGTCTTCGATCAATTCGTGTTTCTAGTGGGATTGATCTGGTTTCGAGGCCGAGGTGAGGGTCTTTGCTGTTGCTTTAGATCAAACCGTGATACCTTCATGAGAGAGGAGGTGTACAAGTTCCAAGACTACAACTGAGTTTCCATCATTTGAACAGTTGAATTCTGCGATGACGATGTCGTTAAGTGGATGTGCTCCATCAATTCATATTTTATTCTGCCTGTTGGAGCGACCACCCACCCCAAACCTTGGGATCTCTGTGATTCTTTCACTATCACAAAGAATCAACCATACCCAAGACTGACTGAATACTGCCCTGACTAAAAGTCATACTCAGTTCAGGGAACACCTAACTAGGAGGACTTTTTGAGACCTGCAAAAAAGATGAATGGATAAACAAAGTAAAAGAAAACCCTATTCACCCTTCCCTTCCTTCCCCTACGCCATAACTAAAGTAAACATGAAATGTAAAAGAAAAAAAAAAATGTAAGGAGATAAGGCCTAGAACTTGGTCTTCTCAATGTATTCCTGAGAAGGAGTCTCATACTCGGGGACAAAGTATTTAGAAGCATTCTTTCCAAGCCAAGTGGTGAACTTGACAAGTTCGTCACGGAGACGGGAAACGGACTGGTGGTCCATGTTGGTTTGCGCGACTAGCTCCTCCAGGGATACTGCATGAAGTGGCGTGTTAATCGAAGCGGCGGGGCATTGTGTGGAGGTGGACGTTGGGGAAACATACCGAGTAGGCGGCAGAGATGCTCAGCGCCATAGACATCACAGACGGTCTTAGCTTCTGCGTCCTTGGTCTTTTGCATCATTTCACGGGTTTCGTGATATTGAACTCGCTCGAACCTATAAAAAAAAAAAAGGAGGCGAGATATTTAGAGGGAGTTCGACATGTCAGGGATGACCATGTGAACAACTCACCTGTAGAGGAGGATCCTGGGGAGAGACCTCTCAAAGTACTCTCTAAGACCAGCAAAAGTCTCCTCAAGAATATCCGCAAGCGCGGAGCCCTCCTCGCGATGGGGCCTCTCGTAAGCGAGGTAATCGTCAATGATCTGGTTGACGGGGTGAGGATGGGGGACGGGAACTAGTTGGTTGTTCCTGGTGATGTTCTCCCAGTCGTCTACGAGAATGGCCTTGATGTGGTCGGGGATAGGGAGTTTGATAGAGGGCCTTGAATGGAATGCCTCTTCCTATCAGATTGTTAGTGAAAAGATCTCGAGTTCATCAGGATCATAAAGAATACTCTTTCGGCGCGCGATGGGAGAATGGGAAGTGTGAAAAAACTTGGAGCAACAGAGTCCGTAGAAGAATCGTGATACTTATCCAGAAAGAAGAACAGGGGGAGTACAGGCGGGGGCGTCGATGAAAACAGTAAAAAAAAAAAAAAAAAAAAAAAAAAAAAAGGAAGAATAAGAGAAGAAGAAAGGGGGAATGGGAGCAAACATACATGCTCAAGCTCATAATCTCGCGCGCGCCTAGGACCCCTACCTCCCAGAGTAGTCGTCCCAGCACCGCCCCTCTCCTCACTACCCCTCGCAGACTCGGCGGCAGCAACAGCCTTGGCGCCTCCCTTCTTTACCTGCTTCGTAGATTTTTGGGTGAGGTTCTTCATCTGGGCGGTTAGCTGGTTGGCGAGCTCGACGTTCTCCGGGTTGAGCTTCCGGATGCGGTCGACGGGGACCCAGTCATCCCAGGTGCTCTTCCAGCCCTTGTAGTGGATCTTGTACTGGAAGCCGTCGCCGGAGTCGGTGGGGGCGACGTCGAGGATCTTGGCCTCGTAGAGCATCTCATGATGGAAGCAGAGGACCTTTTCATCCTTGGCGAAGGGCTGGGGGGGTTGTTTTGAGGGAGCCATAGGGTTGGGTTTATGTTGGTGTGTGGCGAATGGGGGAGGAGTGTGTGATGGGAATAGGATGAATGAGAGAAAGTTTGGTTCTTGAGGGGGATTAGAAGATAAAGGATAGAGGCAAGCAGGGTGGTTCAAGTATTGTACAGAGGATATCACGGGGATGGAATGGACTCTTGGTGTGAGATGTGGGCAGAAACTGCGGTGGACATGTTAGCATTGCGAGCAATATTGAGATATTGAGATGGGTCGGGGAATTCCGCACTGTGTATAGTGTGTGGTTTTCCACTCTAGTAACAGTGCATTCGGCTCAATCCGCACTTCAGACCTCTTTTTCAGATGAGCTTCAAGTATTGGCCAAAATCTTTGAGCGAGTTGATCTGTTCAATATTGTCAATATTTGCTTCAAAACATAAAACAATTAAGAGATTCCGTATGTGTATTTAGAGAACTTACGAATTCGGGTTTTTTGACTCTCAAAAAAAAATCAATGGGCTGGTGAAGGGACGAGGGAGGATGAGTGGGAGAACTAATTGGGAGGACCTTGCGAGAGGCAGGCTCTTTACGCGTCGGCGCGTCCAGTTATTTTCTGGACAATTTCCACCATAAACTACGCTAGATGGAGGTGTCGAGGGTGCCATTTTTGGCACACAACTAAACTACCCTGCTTGGTTCTACTAAAGCCCCGATACCATTCAATCTGAGAAGGTCATGGTGGGACGTGGCAAACAGTAGCTGTACGAAGTAATCTAGATTTAGGCATTTGGCCTCCGCCGTTGCGCGTCGTGGAACACTCTCAATGCGCGGCCCACCGTCATCGATAAACGCATCAGATTTAGTGACTTGCTCGTAAGGCTTCGCGATCTGGTCCTGCCTGTGGAAGGAACCTCAACAGATGTCAACAACTGCATGAGATTCATATCAAACGCCATTTGACTGTGCATGTCCTTTTCCAAACTTTGTTCTCCCTGTCTATACTTTATAGCTATTTTTGGCGCGTGGCGATATGAAGATGAATTCGAGACCCAGCCACGTGATGAGCGGGATTTCCCGAACGGGGAATGCGAAGGTGAGTGAGGCTCCTAAGAAGTTTATGATCCTGGACCAGGATCTTAAACGTTTGTGTGAGGGATCAGATCCACCACCTAACATATCTCAGGAGAGGTACTAAATAGGTATTTATAAATATAAAGTGTTAGATTATATACCCGTCTATCACTTGAATTAGGATATGTTAGATAGTGGCGAAGATCTCTCAAGCTAACGTTGAGGATCCCAGCATAAACTTATGAAGAAGATTAGGATTATTATAGCCAAGATCATGTTTCACGGAGCCGGTGACGGATCGACAGCCCAAAATAGCATTTCATACGGCCAGCGAATTCCATTCCTTCTCTGACTTGCTCAGCCCTGGAAAAAAACATGAAGAAAAAAAATGGGGCGGGTTATCACCGTGGCGGCACTCCTCGCACGCGAGAAAGTAGTCGAGCCCCCCATCACATTTTTGAGCATGGTCCCAACAGTTGTCCAATCATTCATCCATCTCGTTGCAGACTGGCGTGGTTGGAGAGCATATATCCTCAAATGGGAAGCCGGGGTAGTGTGCGGGGGTTATCACAACCACCGGAGTGGCCTGTTCTCGAGGTCGGAGCAAACTACTTAGAAGAGCCCCGAGGACCTCACAGGTTCCATATGGTATTTCTTGACAATCCTTTCTTGACAATCCTCTCGGTCCGAGTTTGAGAACACGGAGCCACTATGAGCAGCCCCAAGTCTAAACAGACCTCTCCGGCCTCCAGTCCCAGGTCAGCCGCGCCGGTGTCGTCAGTTCCAATAATCGCAGTACGTTTTCCCCGCTAACCCCGAGAAGCGGGATTTTCAAGAGTACACGCCCTAGTTATGGTGTAGTGTTGAGCTCTGGTCGCGTCTCGGCTAACCACTTTTTGATCGCGAGCGCAGGATCCTCAATTTGAGAATGAAGGCGAACTCGATGATGCCGCCTCGGAATTGACGTAGCGTACTCCCGCGAACCTCCCATCTTCTTTCGCCCTGAGTGTATGCTGATATGCTGCCCGGGCCTCACCAGCGAGGCACCCTCCTCGACGGCTTCTCTAACCGACAGCGTCCGAGACTTCCGTAGAATACACGGCCGTACTTACGGGAATTCCAAGACTACAGAGTACTGGTGGGACACGACCCCCGATTACACGGACTGAAGCCGATGGCTTGGTGTTAGCGGTATATTAGCAGAACTGATATTCGAACATCTGTTCTAGGGCCCCTAACGACGACCAGCAAAATGAAGGTCTAGATATAACGTGAGCTTCATCAATAGTCTGCAATCCGCTAGTGTTTCGTTCTCGATGGCTGGCAATCTGCCTCAGCATGACACATCCCGCTCAACGACCTTTATAGGCATCACTACCTGCTTCTACTCTTCGATAATAAGCTTTTCCATGCACCTATTGGCGATAATCCACAGGTACGCCGCCAGCCTATTGATGCCCGTTTTCGTCCCTCCCGCCCAGCTTCGTGGATCTAAACGCTTCTTACCATCAGAGAGTTTTGGACTTGGGAACCGGCACTGGCTTATGGGCAATGTGAGTTGCTGATAGAGTCCGACTGGAATCCTTTATTACGCGCTGACACCGTCCCTCTATCCACCAGAGACTTCGCCGACCAGTTCCCCTCCGCCCAAGTCATCGGCACGGACATCTCTCCCATCCAGCCAGCGTGGGTGCCGCCCAACTGCGAGTTCTACATAGACGACGCACAGCTCGAGTGGACCTGGGCCCCCGACTACTTCGACTACATCCACATCCGCGACCTCTATGGCAGCATCAGTGATTGGTCTGCCCTCTATAAGAGGGTTTACCGCCACCTCAAGCCTGGCGGCTGGTTTGAGGACGTCGAGCTCGATATCCGTGTCCACTCCGACGTCGTCACCGACCCCGAGCACATCTTCTACCGATGGAACCGTGTCTTCCAAGATGCTGGCGAGAAGATGGGCAAGACATTCAAAATTGCCATTGGCTCGCGCATGTCGGATCTCATGAACGAGGCGGGCTTCGTCGACGTTACTGAACGCAGGTTCAGGCTCCCCATGAGCCCCTGGTGCCTCGACCCCAAGTTGAAGGAGGTCGGGCAGTTTGTGCAGATGTTCATAGACGGCGGTATAGAGGGGTTTTCGCTATACCTCTTGACGCAGGTTGTGGGCTGGAAATACGAGGAGTGCCAGGTCTTCATTGCCAAGATGAGGCAGGCACTGAAGAATAAGAAGCTCAACCCTTATTATGAGCTGTAAGTCCCATGCGCGACATTGTCTACCTCTCAGATTGTTGATTTATACGTGCTAACTATCTCTGAAACAGGACCTTGGTGTACGGGCGGAAACCCGAGGACGCAACTGCTGCTGCTTAAATGACAACGAAAACGCATTGGATCAACAGCAATTTCTCGCCCCGAGACACTCTCATCCCAACCGACCCCTCCAAATAGCGACCAATATCCCGACGGCTAGGCTCTAAGATATCGACTATGATGTTTTACGTCTGCCACTCAAATCTCTGACCGATAGCTGGCAACAATCATTTTTTGCCTTTCCTTGATCGTTGTTCCTTGTCGGCAATGATTATTTACATTTGAAACAGCCAACCATATTTTGTTGCACTTTTTTCGTCTGCGTCCTACTTAAATCCGCAGCCTCGACTAAAATCTGAACTGACTGCCCCAACAAACTTGCCCATTCTTCGACTTGTCCTTCATGGCATTCGTCACGGTTGTGCTCCTTCCTGCAGTCCAACCTTCCACCATCCCAGTGGCTAAATAATGTGTCCGCAATTCTATGAGAGTTGACTGATTTTTTAAGTTCGATCCTTCATATCGCCTAATGCTAAGATAATCGATTAACTGACCTTGTGAGTGGCGATTGCAACCGTAATATGTCCAGTCATCACCCATGAAGCGCACTGGTCATCGGTCTCCGACCGCCGGGAACTGGAGTCCGTGATCTACGGCGTCCCGAGCTAGTCCCGTGAGAGTATGCTCGTCCCGATGTGCCTAGGCGAAGGTCGTGGGAGTATGAGATAATAAAAGAAGTTTGACCAGAGAATCAATTAACTGGCGATGGATGTTGTTGGTGCAGAGTAAGCACGTCTAGATGTCGCTTGATACTTATTAAAGATTTCAGATTGCCGTGAGTCGTTTTGATCGGGCAGAGGAGACATCGCGTGGGGAGGATAGCCTAGCAAAGCGCTCCTCTGGCTCGGATGGCGATTGCGTTCCAGATGGGGGCTTGGGCGCAGCGCAGTCTCCGCATCCCTGCATGTAGTACTGGTCGTGATATCAGGCGTAGGATCGAACGAACCGCTAAGCGTCGACCCGTGTGTCAATTCGACGAGCTTGTTGAGGATGCTAAACTCCACCTTTAGCTTGACACTATAAACAAGTGCCTTGTACGATGTCTGCAGGCCATATCGCCCCGCGTACTCCATGGCGAGGATTGCTATGTCTAGCAAGACGACGACGATGTTGACGATGATCAGGTGTATCATGAGATTCCGCCTGCTGACGTTGCTGCGGATTTCCCTCTGTGCACGCATGAGCTTAGTTGTCTCGATGATATAAAAACTGGATATGATGACCTCCTGGGCGAAGAAGACGGAGACCTGGACTTTTTCGTAGATCGAATACGGTGTGACAAAGGGCCCCGGGTTGGACGAGTTTGCACCATATACCATTACGATGATAGGTACATGGAGAATGACGGCGTTAAAGATGATCATATATAGTACAGCGCGTAGATGCTTCGTATTATATAGGACCAGGTGAAGCCTCGAGTAAAGAACGAGGGATTGTCCTGTAACCATCATACACCAGCCCACCGCAATCAAGGTAACGAACAGCCAGTTAACGGAGTTGAGTTTCAAGGTTTTGAGTATGAATCCAATGGCGTATAGAGCGATACCGCAGTTGGCGACAAGAAAGCTCACAAAGTACAGACCATGGCGTGTCTTGAAGGTCATGAAGATGATGAAATTGAGCTCGACGAAGTTGTACAGTGATATGCTGAGGAAGACGAGGATGACCATAAGCGTTCCGCCGGTAGCCGGGGGACCTTGTATAGATATGCCCGTGTCGCTGATCGCCATGACTGCACAGGCTGTCCTTCACTTGCCATCAAAGAAGTTAAGAAGAGCCCGGGGGGCTGAGGGCATTTAAATGGCCTGGGAACATCATAATAAAAACCTCAGCATCAGAAGTAAACTTTAAAATCCACTGCGCCAGGGCCACGCCACATGCCCAGTCTCTGGGGAAGTTGAGCAGCGGTAGTGTTAGGTCGGCAGCTTGAAGTTCCAGAGACTGTTTTAAGCTTCAACACCACCTCAAAACTCAAAAGCTACCAGGGTTGGTGGAGCTCTGTAAAGTGCTGGCTGCGGAGTGCTGGGATTACACTAGCTTCTGCTCTAGCTCCTGCGCTCCAATAAGCCGCTGGCAGTTTGTCGCCGTTATCCCCAAATTAGCTAGACCAACACGTCGATGGCCAACATACTTTACGGAGTACATTTCTCGTGGCGGACGAGGTACCTGAGAGTGTGCCATTAGTGAGGGCGGGGGAGAAGAGATTGGAGTGATCTTTGCGACCTTTGCGACCTTTGCGGGGATGGCAGCCTAAGCCAAACCACCCGTTGGCCGGTTTGCAAGGGTCTTGACTTATGGTGGGGCGAGAAAATGGCATGCGACATGCTCGACACCTCCCATCGAAATTCCCAATTGTAAACTACTCCGTATTTTGTGCTAAGAGTCAGTCTCCGACAGGTCGAGGTCTGGTATCCAGTAACCCACTACTTCGTACACCACAATGCAGTGCCTAATAGCTGATGATGCGGCTGGAGTCTTCAATTGATTCGCCTCGGGCTTTGCTGTGATGGGAAAATACCTGAACAACTTCGAGAACGAACTACTTTATATCTACCATCGACGCGCTCCGAGTCTTCCTCGCCCCGGCCGGCTTGTCTAGTCCCATCTCCTCCCTCTGACGCCACACCCTCCTCGACCTCAACAAGGATCATCACACCTTTCCTTGGAGTCAATCCTCTCTCATCCACCTCCTCCAACCCCCAGTTCCTCCACCCGAAAAAAAATGTCTACCCCAACCGAATCCCAGATCCTCACAAACTACCTCCTCCTCCCCGCCGACCTTCGCACCATCATAACCCCAAACCAATTCGCCGCCCTCTTCCCCCGCCCCCACCAATCCTCCCCCAACATCCAGACCCTGTACCGCGACCTCGAACACCAGCGCTCCACAGCCGTCGACGCCGTGCGCAAAAACATCGCCGTCGAAACAAAGAGGGGATACCGCCTGCGCGACGAAGTGGCCAAGGCGCGCAGGGAGGAGGAGCAAGGGGAGGAAGACGACGAGATTGAGATTGAGAGGGCCGTAAGTTTTGCCCACGCACCTCCTCCCGTTTGAAGAGACCCTCTTTTTTTTTTTTTTTTTTCGGGCGGGGAGGAAAAACGGCTTATCTTTCATGCTCTTCTTTATGCTAACTTCTTGTCTTTCCCCGTGAAAGCTCTTCGGATCGTCGACTGATGCAAAGAATACGAAACACACCCTCTCGTCCATCATCCCCGAACTGGACGGCGCCGTAGAAGACTTGGAAGCCGAGATTAAGGCTCTGGAAGACGAGGAAAAGACCATCATCGCATCGCTCAAGAAGACCGTGGGGACGATGAGCGATCTGCGCTACGGGGAGCTGGATAATAAGGAGCTGCCACAGGATACCCTCGAGGCTTTAAAAGCTCTTACAGCGAGGTGTAACGACATGGAGTGAGGCTGTCACTTTTTTTTCTTCTTTCTTTTTTGGTTCTTGAATTTTTGGTCTGCTGATACGATTCCTGGCGAGATACCTTGTTTCCTTTATCTGTTTGATACCCGATACCCTCCCTAGCCTTTTCCCGCCCCGAATTAAAAGAAGAAAAAAAAGTCCCAAAGTAGAATAACAGACACGTCCCAAGTGAGAAGGGTTCCACGCATAATAGAAGTGACCTGAACGATTTACAAACAGAACCTTCCTAGTACAGGTGCCCGGCCATGGTCTCGTCTTTCAAAAAGAAACGATTGCCTTCCTCTTTACTGACCAGCGCCGGCGGCAGGTGCGGCACCGGCAGCAGCAGCAGCACGCTGGGCTGCCCGACGCTCCTCCGTGTTTCGCATGCGGTTGGTCCTAGATAATGTTAGCAAGTGACTATCCATAGGGACAGAGACAGGGAGAAGAGGGCAAAAGACCTACATCATAGTCCTGCTGATGGCAGAAACGGCAAACATAAACAGCCAATTGGGAATGAACGAAAACACCCAAGCAACGTAGCCCAATGGGATGAGAACGCCGTACTTGGCCAGAGGGCCGTCGAAGGGGTGGAAGTACGAGATGAACGGGCGGAACCCGGCCTCCTTCCTGCCCTCGCGCGGAAGGTAGCCGATGATGTCCTTGGCCTCGACGGTCGTGAGGTTGAGGCGCTTGATGTTGATGTCGACGTTGAGGGGCGGCGGGAGAACGTCGAGGATCCAGAGGCTGCCGGGACCGCAGCTGATGGCGTTGCAGAGGACGGGTTCGTTGTCGCAGTTGATGAGGCCCATATGGGGGGCTTCGGGCAGGGTTGCGAAGTGGTCTGCCGTTTCGTTGAAGGCTGCCTCAGCCCTGACACAGTGTCTTCCTGTTGATTGAGCGCGCATACATTAGAATCGCGAAGGAGACCGAGAACAACCAGGAAAGGCGACACCAATAGAAATTGATAATCGCGACGGCTCGGAGCAGAACGCGCCCATGCTGGCACGCGGGGACCACGGCGATGAATATCAAAAGGGAACAACTTGGGCCCAACTTACCACCGCAGGTCTTGTTCCGACCCGTAATGAGAACCCACCACTCCTCAGGAGTAGTCGCACCCTCCTGGACCGGCGCAAATAGAGTATCCTTCCAGTTGTTAATAGTCAAGACGGACAAAGTCGACCCCGACACCCGCGGCTCCTCGCCCTCGGCAGCGAAGGTCGCGTCCGCAAAGTCATCAACAACCTCAGCCTTGGCCTCGGGGGCTGCGTCAGAGCCAGCGCCCGCGGCCGAGTCGGCCGAGCCGCCCGAGGAGTAGCCCCAGTTTCCGAGTATGTTTTGGAACTGCGCCTTGTATTGGTCGAAGAGGGAGTCGGCGGCCGAGGCCGCGAGAGGCATCGCCAGGAGGATGGTGGATGAGATGCGCATTGTCGCGTTAGTCGACTAATTGGGCGATGTGAGGGAAACCTGGGATGAAGCTGTCGATGAATGGGGAGCTTCGGTGATGATGCAGCTCGGCCAAGGGCGTTAGATGGGAAAGGGAAGCGGGAAGAAGAAAGAGGGTCCTCGGAGCTGCCTGGACGGGGAGAAGTTATTGTCCGGGCTAATTATAATACTACAAAGTAATAATAAGCGTAAATGAAGGTCGGAATTAGCAGCACAGCTCTGGCGGTTGATCGAGCCTGGATAAGCAGCTGGTTGAAATTGATCTAGACGAGAATTAATACAGGACGATAGGCAACTATTATTATAACTTCTCCTCTCAACGCGAAAGAATCGAAGTGTCTCAGAAGAACGGCAGCAAGGAGGTGGACGAGGGTGAGTACACGTAGCTTTTCGCGGTTTCCTCCCCTCCATCAAGCTCCGCTGCAGCAAATGAGGGTGGATCATTTTGATCTCGTCTAGTCCCCATCGAGCGCTCTGTTAACCCTTTTCGTGGCGGTGCTCAGTGCTGTTCCGGACCGCTGGGCCGCTGACGCCACCGCCTGGGGAACTCTCAACTCAGGCGCCTTTCCCACTGGACCATTTTCCGGACAGGCCTGCAGCTTATGCAAGCTCTACTTCGTCTGTCCACGAAGTTGCAGGCAAATGTAGCCACCTGGCAGCCAGTTACCATTAATTGCCAGGTGCAAGCCACCCGTGGCGCGTCGGAGCACTCTCTCAGCTTCACCTTGATAGAATCGATGCAACAACCCATCGCAGAAAGCATCACAATACTCTGTAACTACCGATGGATGCCTCTATCTCAAAATGGTAATAAATATCAATTCATCTCCCCGATTCCGTTCCTTTTTCTCACCATCATTCTAACTCGTCCGTCCTCAGCCCCCAAGAACCAAAGGCCTAAAGCGCAAGCGCGCCGCGCCCCCAACCGCGACACCTCCCAACGACGCGTCAGATCCCCTCCAACCCTCTCCTCACCAGCCTGACACCGATGAAGACGAAATCTCCGGCAACCCTCCAGTCGACGAATTAAACGAAGACGCGGCCGAAGAGCGCCCTAGGAAACGCGGTCTTCCGGCCAAAGTGGTAGCTTCTACGTTTAGCCCCGCGCAGAAGCCGAAGAGGAAGCGCGGACGACCGTCGAAGGATGCGCGCGAAGCGGAGGGTACCGGCGATGATCATGACGAGCTGGAAGGGGACCCGGCCCCTGAGAAGAAGAGGAGGAGGGGGGGACGACCTTCTCTGGGCGAAGTACCTATTGAAGAGGCGCAGAACAAGACCATAGAGGAGGCCTCGGAAGCCTCTCGAGGCAAGAAAGAGAAGAAGAAACAGGGTCGGCCATCATTGTCTAAGCAGGTGGAGGAGGAAACCCAGACCGAAGCGCCGAGGACGCAAGAACCTAAGAAGAGGGGAAGGCCGTCGTTGTCGAGGCGGACGGAGGAGGGAACACCAGCGGAAGCCTCGAGAGCGCAAGAGCCCAGACGGAGAGGGAGGCCATCCTTGCCAAAACGGACGGAAGGTGAGGACGAGAATGAGTATGAGGAACCTCAATTGGATCAGCCGCAGAAGCGGGGAAGACCATCCCGATCGAAGCAAGCGCAGGACGAAGTGCGTCCTGCCAAGGAGCCCAGGAAGCGAGGACGACCGTCTCTATCGAAAGAAGCTCCCGCGGACGACATCCCCCCCGCGGATGAACCCAAGAAGCGTGGTCGGCCCCGCCGATCCGACGTTAACGAGGCCACCCCAACACAACAGCCCCCCGACACTGCGGCCCCAACCGACAACGAGCCCCCCAAACGTCGCGGCCGGAAATCCACTACCTCAGCACAGCAACAACAAGAAGCAGATACCCAACCATCCCCAGTCTCACCCTCACCCGAGCGCAAAGCCCCCCGCCCCAAACGCAAACCCTACCTCTACATCGCGCCCAAACAGCGCGAAATCCCCGTGTCGGTAATCTCCTCCAAATGGTCGCCCCTCAACCCCTCCTCCGTCGAACTCGCCCGCCAAACCCTCCAGCTCGCCGAACGTCCCGTCCTGCAGACCTACGCTCCGGGGCCGCGCCGCGACGCCGCGACGGCAGCTATCCGCATTGCGACGAAGCGCGTCGTGAACAGTATCTCGCTAGGCTTACCTTTTCCGCCGGCCTCTAGATACTCGGTCCAACTCGCGACTCGGAAAAAGAAATCTTACAACGGCAAAAACAAAAACAAGCGGAAATCTGCTGCTGCCGATGACGGCGACGGCCCGGATGGCAGAGAGGTAGAACTCGACCTAGAAGCTGTAATCTCCGAAACCGAGGCCCTCGAGAAAAGGTTAGAGCCCCTCCTCCACTCGATAGAGATCCTCAGAGCCGAGGAGAAGAGGATGGATGCCGTCATCGAGAGGGACACGGCTGAGCTGTCTACGCTTTCGCAGAACTCGAGGAGGGAGTTGAATCTATGGAGGGAGAGCTTGAGGAAGTCGGCGCATCCTTTGCTCCCGGAGCGGTGGGATCCCGATGCGGATGGGAGGGAGAAGTTGGTTTTAGCTAGGGATGGGGAGGGGCCGTTGGGCGAGTGGGTGTTTGCGGTATGTTTTGTCCCCTCATGTTGAGTTTTCTTCTTCTACTTTATACTCCGCAAAATATCCCAGGTTTGCTACGAGAACAACCAAGTAACTGACATGAATAACAGAACTTTCCCGATAGCGAAGTCACGGCGCTCGCAGCGCAGCTCAACAACCACCTCTCTTCCATCCGGGAAAACATCCGCTCGGTCGATAAGCTCGACGGCTCTATCGACGAGTCGTGGGGCGCTCTGCGGCGTGCGTTGGCGGGGTTGTTGCCTCCAGAGAGGTACGAGGCTGTGTTACATGGGGATGGAAGAGAGAAGTGAGTGGCTTGGGGCACTTTGAAGGGTTGTATGTCCCCCTTGAGGCTTTTTTTCTTGATTTTATTTCAAGGGTTTAATGAGGAATGGGAAGCTTAGGATGTTTAGCTTTGGGTTCGGCGCTTAGTAGGCTGGTTTTGTATGATTACGAGTAGCATCTGCGGATTCGGACAGGACAATAATACCAATGGGTTGAAGATATTGGAGACTTTACTCTTGAAATCACCTACTTTCGAGTTACCGGACTCTCGCCAGTACGCCTTAATGCCTCGAGGGTAGAAAAGGAATTGACCACGAAGCACTGAACAGTCATCTTATTTAATGGCATCACTAACAGAACAAAGCAAAGCGCCGAAGGCCGAATCTGATAAAAAAACAAAATCATACACATATCATTGAACTCTAGAAGATTCGTCATATTGCAATGTGATGCCAGATTGAAGCTAGCAACCCCTCAAAGAAAATCAAAGTAGAAAAAGGGCAGGCATCAAGAACAAAGAGGTGGGCAATGACATTTATTCTTGACACATGAAAAGAAAATATTTATGACATCCGAAGAAACAACACCCCAAATCCACTTAACTTCCTAAACTACCTGAAGCTATATTCTACATCCCCTTTTTGCTTTGCGTTACCCGACGACTTTAGTTCTTCTTGGGAGCGACGGGGACGACATCAACGTACTCGTCGACGTAGACAGTGTCAGGGTCCTCGACCTCAGTCTCGGGGGAAGGGGTCTCGGCGTTGTGGACGGGCTCGGGAGTAGACTCATCGACGGGGAGCTCAGGGACAGAGGTGTCCTCAACAGGGGTCTCAGTGACCTCAGGAGCGGCGGACTCAACGGGAGCCTCGACCTCAGGAGCAGGGGTAGTCTCGGTGGCAGGGACCTCCTCCTCGGGATAGCCCTCCTCGCTGTTGTCTACGGGAGTCTCCTCGGCTGTCGTCTCTTCGGGAGCCGCAGCAGACTCGGTGGCGCTGGGGGCCTCAGTAGCGGCGGCAGACTCCTCGGCAGCAGTGGTGGCGGGAGCCTCAGTGGCAGCAGCGGACTCCTCAGCGGAGGTAGCAGCAGGTGCCTCAGAAGCCTCAGCGGAAACCTCGGCAGTAGCAGTAGCGGAAGCCTCAACAGACTCCTCGGCAGTGGCAGTAGCGGAAGCCTCAGACTCCTCAGCGGTGGCGGAGGCAGAGCCAGTGGCTTCGACAGTCTCCTCAGCGGAGGCAGGGACGGTGACGGTGCTTTGGATGGTGGTGGTCAACTCGATCTCGTCGCACTCATCGAGGTCCTCCTCACCATCATCAACGTCCTCGCCGCTGTTGTTGCCATTGTTACCATTGCCATTGTTGTTACCGTTGCCGTTGTTGTTGTTGCCATTGTTTCCAGAGTTGGTGTCCTCATCATCCTCGCCATCAGAGCCACCAATGGGAGAGTTCTTGCCAGTGGAAACAGGAGTCTTACCACCGGCGGTGGGAGAGCCGTTGCTGCCAATGGTGACGTAGACGGTGGAGGCAGGGATGGTGACGGTGACGGCCTCGGGGCAGACACACTCGCCAACGGGGCTGCTGGAGTCAGAGCTGCCGGGGACGGTGGAGCCGTTTCCAGTGGAGCCATTGTTGCCACCATTGTTACCGTTGTTGTTGCCGCCATTGCCGCCATTGTTGCCACCGTTGTTGCCAGGGACGGTGCTGCCGTTGCCGTCGCCGGTGGGCTTGGGCCTCTGGATGGTGATGGTGTTGGTGGTGGTCGAGGTGGCCTGGACGGTGGTGGTGGGCTCAGGAGTCAGGGTAACACCAGTGATTCCACCAGTAATGGCCTGAGAGATGACAGAGCTGGAGATAGCAGGAACCTCGGAGACGGGGCAGACAACCTCGGTGAGGGCGATGGTGTTGGTGACAACAACTACCTCAAGCTGATCGGGAGAAAGGCTAGCGATGTCAGACTGCTTGGCGGGGCAGTCGGTGACGGTGGGGGCGCAAGAAGTGATGGTCTTGACCTCGGTAGTGATGACAGTGAGGGTGGTGAGGGAAGCGCCGTCAACGGTGGAGCTAGAGTTGGTGAAGCCAGTGGCGGTAGAGTTGGCGAAGGGGGGAGGAGTGACGGTAGCGCTGGCATCGGTGACGGTGGCGGAGACGGTCTCCTCGACAGTTGAGCTTCCCTCGGTAGCATCAGCGGCGACGGTGGTAGCGTCGGTGGCAGACTCAACAGCAGAGTCAGTGGCGGACTCGGAAGCAGACTCAACGGCAGACTCGGTGGCCTCAGGAGTCTCCGCATCGGCGGTCTCGGTGGCGGCGGTCTCAGAAGCCGCAGGCTCAGAAGCAGCGGGCTCAGTCACCTCGGGAACTTCGGCATCAGCAGTCTCAGTCGAGCCGGTAGCGGCGGGCTCCGAGGTGGCGGGCTCCTCGGGATAACCCTCAACAGGAGTCTCGACAGGAGACTCCTCAACGGGGGTCTCCTCTACAGGGGTTTCCTCGACGGGAGTTTCGACGGGGACCTCGGGGACAGGAGTCTCCTCACCACCCTCAACAGGGACCTCGGGAACGACGGTCTCGACAGGGGCGACATCAACAGTGGTGTCGACGTAGACGATAGACTCGGCAGGGGTCTCGTCGACGGGACCCTCGGTGGGAACGGGAGCGGGGGTCTCGATCTCGCTGGAGCGGCCGGGCTTACCAGGCTTTCCCGGGTGGTGGCGGGGGACCACACCGGCGTTCGCAACAGCGAACAGAGCAAGAGCAGCAGCGAACTTCATGTTGGCGGTTGTGCGTTGGCTTGTCTTCTGTCTTGCAATATCTCAATTCGAGTTCGTTTTTATGTTTATTTTGGTGTCGGAGTGTTGGATGCTCTTGGGGACGCGATGTCGATACCGATATCTGGAAAAAACTTCAGGTTGGGAAATCGATTCCACGAAAGGCGGCAGACACAGTTTGCCCCGAATGAAAGAAAGTAAAAGGTTGGTTTCGAAGGAGTGGCAGCGTCAATGAATGACAGCAGAAAAATGAGAGACTGTTGGTCAGAGGTGAAGCGAGCAAAGACCTCAAGAGCAGGTTAGGGAAGGAAAAGAGAGGAGGAGAGGTAAGGATCGTGCGAAAGAAGGAAGCCATCTCGGCTTATATTCGAAATGAAGGGTTGCCCTAGCTGGCTGTCACTGCTGCTTCTTTGCACCCACACGTTAAAGGGGCCGCATTTGATGAGAGGAGGGTAGCGTCGTAGTGGTCCGTAAGGATGCATGTTATTCCAGATGTTCCTGAAATCTGCCTCCACCAACCCCTACAGGCGACAGGTACTTGCTCATAGACCTCCCATCCACATTCGCCCCAATGCGACGGCTACATGGCGGCAACTGGCACAAAATCGTGAGCCAGGGCATCTCGATCCCCACCCACGCCGCAGATTTCCACCAGGGTCCCTTGCGTTATGCGACGAATGCCATGGAGACGTCAAGTGGCGGTACAAGATTGGAACCAAGGTACCTTGCTTGATGTGAGTCGACAGGACCGTTTCCAAGCAAGCATGAGCTGTTCCGGGTCCTGGGCTTCTGGGCAGCGCAGTTTTTTTGTTAGTGGAAACTGGAAACACACACAGCCACCAACTTACACGCAAGGGTCAGCTGGGGTCTTAATGCGAAGTACTCCATACTTCGAGCTAACGACCGCACCATCCATTGTGCGGTGGAAGCGCCAGGTCCTCGTTTTGATTTCTTGGATTGACCGTGGCACATTTGGGGTGTCCGGGCGGCCCCAGTCGCAGAACAAAGTACAGTGTACCTCGCTCACCCAAGTATTGGGCTGCACTGCTGACGTGCCAGAGGTACCTGTCCGACTGAATTATTTCACTGGGTGCTGGCAGCCCATGTCAAGACCCATAACAACCTGGCATCGTGGAATTAAGGAGCAACGACAATCTTCCTCTTCCGACTTGGAGGCGGGTCGATTCGTCATAAAGCCCTGCGTTTGCACGAGATCGTGTTCGGCTTGTACTTGCGATGTACTTCGTATAATCCAAGAGATTTCTTCATATGGGTTATCCGCACGAAGTAAAAGAAGGGAATACGAAAAATAAAGCCCTTCTGCTGTGCTACTACCAATGTTGTCTACTTCGTACGAATAATTGGAGACACCAATTCTGCGGATGAAAGTCGGCTTGCACTAGAAACTTGGAAGAACGGGAGTCCCCAGTGTCCAAGCGAGGATAGACCAGAGATTAGAGACACCGACGTAGATGGCGGCGCAATTTCCCGTGCCTCTTCGCAACTTCCAACTTCCAACTTTGCTCCTTTTTCAGGGGCTAAACAGCAGAGCCCCGCTCCATAACCAAGGAAGGAGAGACCGACTCTTCCATCCCAGGTACGAAAAGCAATGAGCTGCTAAAATAAAAACAAGGGAGCTGCGACCCCCTCTCGTTGGTCAGGTTCCCCTTCCCTGTCATCTGGATGGCCCACTTCATGCAGGTACAAGTGTACAACAAGAAAATCTGAGACAAATGGTCCAGCCAATGACAGCGTGGTTGGACCAAACTCCAGCCAACCAAATCCCGGTAAACGACCAATTGAGGGAACAGGGATCTCCGCTCCTTCCCATGCAGATCGACCGGGGTCACCCTGCAGTCCGGACCTCCCTTAATCTCGTAGCCGCTCTTTTGATCTTTTGCCAAGTGGGAAAGAGCTGGTCAAGTCCAGGAACAGGAATCGGTCGACGACGAACCAGCAAGGTCTTGGGATGAAAAAGGATCATTGCGCTGGTACCTTCGTACCTTGGAAGGCGGCCTCAGACCAAGAGTTTGGGGCCAAACATCTCGGGTCATCAAGTAAAATGAAGTGTAATTACACCATCCTGACCTTTTTTTTGGCCACGGTGATGTCGCCAGCAAGCCCCTTATTTTCCATCCTGGGGCTCTGTATTACTGGCAGGCAGGAGGACGCCCTCTTATATTAATAGGCGACATTGTGATCTGTTGAAACCAGGGCGCCAGCTCTGACAATCCTGCTACTCGTCATCTTGGGTTCCTGGCAATGTCCCCTTCTCGGACATTGCTTAATATCGTCACCGCCACTAGGGTCCATCCTTCACGATCAGATGTATTGGGGGAAGAGTCGTCTCATCTCGCGCCCAAATCCCACCATGCCCGAACGACCCGGGAAAGATGGGGGAGATTGAACTAAACTAGGACACTCCATCGAAAGTACAAAGTATGCACGCACTACTGACATATGACTTCATAGACAGGCCTGCTTGAATGTTGTAACAGAGAGAGGACAAAAGAAAAGAAAAAACAAGCTTTGATCATTGATGTGGATCGTCATGCAGGCGGGGTCACCCTCTTCACTGCCTCACCTCCTCCAATCCCAATCCCAAACTCACTAACAAAGTAAACACTCATCGTGATCAATGCATCCAGTTTAATGTTTGGCACCTCCAACCCACTCTCCGTCTGGATATCGGCGGAGTTCAAGATCGACAGCGCTTTAAGATCGCCACAAGGCGCAGGGCTAACCAAGAAAGTGAATCCCCCCTTCGCGATCTCGGAGGATCTGACTCGGCGTACCAAAGAAGAAGAGAAAAAAATCCTCCCCGTTCCCGATCGATCATGCTGGTTATTTCGGCACACTCTTTTATGCAAGGTTCAACAACGTGTGCCCTTACTTTGCACTTGTTCCGGGCACGACGTACTGCGTGCTCCGTACAATCATAACTTGGACGCAGTGACCTCCCATCATCTTGTGTTGATCGAACATCGTGAGGTTCTGTATGTATGTACTTCGTTCTTGTGTTACCCTACCCGATGTCGTCGTAAGCACGGCCGCACGACGAATGCGATGGTCCGGATATCCATTCCGGGACCTCACTCCCACGTTGCGGTCCCCTGCGGAACCAAGCAGCATCTAGAGCGTGAGATCCTTCTCTTTTTCTCTCCATATCTCTACCAGAAAACCAAGTCGTGTCGTAGCCTGATTCACATAGGTGCCGGGAAAAGCACACGCAATCTTCTGCCTCCCAATCACGCCCACGTTTCATCTAGCGGAAAGTGAGGAGATTACTCTCATTACACACAATAAGATGAGCTCCTCCCCCAATTTCGGTCTCGACATTGTGCGACCCATTAGCCTGGCAAAAAAGACCAGGATTGGCGGCCCATTGTTTAAAGTACTTTGTAATAAAACTTGAAGACAAGCCTTGAGTCGTGAAACCTCCATCGTCGAGACAGAACAAGGCTTCCCGAAGACTCCTCCATTGTCTAACTGGCATTGACTATCCGAACGGCGTTGTAAAATGGGTCCTCGACTCTGGAACTTCGGTGAGTGATAAATTACCGAACGCACGTCCTTTACGCGGATATTGCCCATCACCCATTTACCAGGTAAATCCCCCATCATCGTCCCGAAATCCCAATATCAACCCATACCAATATAACCCGAGGTAACACATCATCAACACTCAAGCCGCCCAGATTATCCAGACGCGGGCAAAATATCCAACCGCAGGCGAGAAGCGAGGCGGAGCAAAGAAGATCAACAGATCCCAAAAAGCCAGGAAATGCCGCAATAATATAAACGTTCGTGGGAAAAAGATCCGATTCTTCTTGTTTGTGCAGCTCCACCTCCTTTCTTGAGCCCTGCCACAATCGGTGCAGATTGTCCAAAAAAGAAAAAAAAAAAAAAAAAAAAAACCGTCCCCTCGTACTTCGTACTTTAGTAGAATATGAATTTTATATGTAGTGATTGAAACGTAGGGACGTTGTTGCTTCTGGCTTTCATGCAAGTCTCATCATCCCTCGATACAGGAGACGGTTGCCATCAAAAGGGGCATATATATGCGGTTGATGTGACAGGTGGAGTGGGCGTCTCATGTCTCTCATGACAGGTGAGATGTTCCCCTCCCCCACGTTTTGTTTCGGAAAGAAACAGGCCCTGCCAGGCGAAGGGAGATCGAAGCAAAAGGGAATACTGAGTAGGGCAGAAATGGAAGGATAAGGAAAAGTAACTTGACACACAGTCTCATCATCCTGGGGAAACAACTGAATCAAGTGGCATCACTTAGGATCGTCAGAGGTTGATCTATTCGACATCTACTTCTCATCGATGCATGCATGCCCTGATTGCCAGCGAGTACAATTGTGATGTATTCTTGCAAGATCATTCCCATAAACTGCCTCATTTCTTGCTCAGGCCATCGAGCCCCATCCAGCCTTACCTAGAAACCTCCCATCGACGTCCTCCCAGGGACGAGACAGACCGGTCAAGTCTTATCATGCAGAAGACACTCTCACAAGAAACACCACAGAAGAAGAAATATTTATCCCCGGTTGAAGCGGGGTTTCATGTTATTAATAGTATACCTATCTAGGTCTTCAAAGCATTCTGCCAAGTCCTAGTAGTAAGGGAACAGAGACGGACGGCCAGAGACACCGGAAGATTCTCTGATAAGAAACCCCCAGAGCTCCAATCCAGCCTGAATCCACCCTTTCCTTCTCCAGTTGCCATATGCCGCGCCACCTTTCCATTCGCATCCGATATGAGGTCCCGGTTGATGGGATGCCTCTCATGAGCTGGTGTTTTTCTCCGTAAGGAGTCATGTGTACATATGCATCTATGTTGAATTCCTGCCAGACCATTTTTTTTTTTTCATTTTACCAATATCCCAGCTCCAGATCCGTGCAAACAAAGGGGGGTGTATCATAAAAACAAAGAAAAATCCCACAACCAAAAAGAGAAGCAAAGCAAAAAAAATGGGAAACATGCAAACCTCAACCTTGATATAGTAAACGCCGATGTTGAAATCGTGACCTCCGTTATCTCAATGCATTGTGGCTACCCTGCCACTACCGAAGCAACAAACATGATAGATGCCAAAGAATCATGAAAAAGACGAGACTTTTTGTTCTTTTCACACACACCAAAGGAGGTTCAATTGGAACCTGAAGGAAAGAAAAAAAATTGGAAGAAACAAGAAGAGAAAGGCGAAGGGAGGAGCAGACCGTGATGAGTGTGGTATTTGTGTCTGTAAACTCCTCCTTGACATCTCGCCCAACGCTTATTTGGCGTACTTGGCGCGGAAGAACTTGGCAGCATTGACCATGTTGGCAAGGGCCGCCTTGGTCTCCTCCCAGTGACGAGTCTTCAAGCCGCAGTCAGGATCAATCCAGAGCTGCTCGGGCTTGAGGTACTGAAGCATCTCCTCGATGCGGTGCTTGATCTCCTCCTCGCTGGGGACACGGGGGGAGTGGATGTCGTAGACACCAGGGCCAATGTGCCTGGGGTAGGCAGAGTCGACGAAGACGCGGAGGAGCTTGGCATCAGACTTGCTGTTCTCGATGGAGAGGACATCAGCATCGAGCGCGGCAATGGCATGGAAGAAGTCCTGGAACTCCGAGTAGCAGAAGTGGGAGTGGATCTGGGTCGAGTCCTCGACGCCAGAGGTCGAGAGCCTGAAGGCCTTGACGGCCCAGTCAAGGTAGGCATCACGCTCCTTGCCGGATCGGAGAGGGAGACCCTCACGGAGAGCGGGCTCGTCGACCTGGATGACGTCGACACCGGCCTTCTCAAGGTCAACGACCTCGTCGCGGAGGGCAAGAGCAAGCTGCTCAGCCTGGACGGACTGGTGGACGTCATCACGGGGAAACGACCATCGGAGGCAGGTGACAGGACCAGTCAACATGCCCTTCATGGGCTTCTTGGAGATGGAGACGGCGAACTTGGACTCCTTGACGGTCATGGGGGCGGGACGAGAAATGTCACCGACAATGATGGGAGGACGCACGCATCGAGAGCCGTAGCTCTGGACCCAGGCGTGGGTGGTGAAGGCATAGCCGCTGAGCCTCTCACCGAAGAACTGAACCATGTCGTTACGCTCGGGCTCACCGTGGACGAAGACGTCGAGGTCAAGCTCCTCCTGGATCTTGACGTTGTTCCTGATCTCCTCCTCAATGAACTTGTCGTACTGCTGCTCATCGATCTCCTTCTTGGTGAACTTGCTTCGCTGGAGACGGATTTCCTTGGTCTGGGGGAAGGAGCCAATGGTGGTGGTGGGGAAGAGGGGAAGGTTGAGCTTCTTCTGCTGCTGGTCAATTCGGATGGGGAACTCGGACTTGCGCTTGTAGTCCTCGGGGGTAATGTTGGCCTGTCGCTCCTTGACCTTGGGGTCGTTGGTGCGGGTAGAGGTGGCACGCGAGTGCATAGACTTGGCGTTGGCCTCAAGCTGCTCACGGACGGCGGCGGGGCCCTCAGTGATGGCCTTGGCAATGACGACAACCTCAACAGCCTTCTCGGAGGCGAAAGAGAACCAGTCGGCAATCTCGGGGTCGAGCTTCTTCTCGCTGGCAAGAGTGTGGGGAGTGTGGAGCAGGGAGCTGGAGGTCGAGATGATGACCCTGTCCTTACCAAGCTTCTGGATAGCGCTCTCGGCAGTCTCAATGGCGCGCTTCAGGTTGGTCTTCCAGATGTTTCGGCCATCAACGAGACCGAGAGAGAGAACGGTGTTGGCATCAAGAGATCCGATAACGGTCTCGAGCTGCTCGGGGTTGCGGACAAGGTCAATGTGGAGGGCATAGACGTTCTTGGGGACAACGTCAAGGTTGTGGACAATGTCACCGAAGTAGGTGGCGAGGACAAGCTTGGGGATCTTGTCGCCGAGGCCAGCGAACTTCTCATAGGCAGTCTTGAAGGCAGCCTTGGCCTTCTCAGGGAGGTCGAAGACGAGGACGGGCTCGTCAATCTGGACGGTCTCAGCACCAGCCTCCTTGAGCTGGACGAGGAGCTGCTCGTAGATGGGGAGAAGCTTCTCGAGGAGGTCGATGGGCTCGATGGACTGGTCTCGGTCAGCCTTTCCGAGGTGGAGGAAGGTGACGGGGCCAACAAGGACGGGGCGGGTAGAGATGCCGGCATCCTTGGCCTCCTTGAACTCGACAACGGCCTTGGGGGCATCGACAAGCTTGAAGGTCTGGTTGTCCTGGAAAGTGGGCTTCACGTAGTGGTAGTTCGAGTCGAACCACTTGACCATCTCCAAACTGGGGACGTCAATGCCGTCCTTCTGGTGGCCACGGCCCATGGCAAAGTATTGGTCAACAACATCGAGGTTGTTCTGGGTATACCTCTCGGGGACAGCCTAGAGACAGAAAATAGGTTAGCTGCACGCTCCCTCCGGTTCAAAACTTGGTGCCAATGTGTTCTGGCTGGAGAGGAAGAACTTACACCGAAGTCCTGGATGTGGGATAGGACCTGGTCGTAGAGGGCAAAGTCGTTGCTGGGAATGACATCGACACCGGCATCCTTCTGGATCTGCCAGTGAGCGAGACGAAGCCTCTTGGCCTCGGCGAGGAGGTCGGCCTGGGAGATCTTTCCACCCCAGTCTAAAGCGAGAAGCATCGGTTAGTTATGTTGAGGCGATGACATTGAAAGAAATGCTGTTGTTTAAGACGGGTTGCCTTACAAGCTTCGGTGGCCTTCTTGAGGTCACGGTTCACACCCATACGGGGGAAACCGAGAATAGCGGACTGAACCATTTTGGCTGTGGAAGTCAAGTCCTGGGGGAGAAGGAGGTAGTGATGATGATGGAAGGATCAAGACGTAGATCCGGTGGGAAGAAAGATGACAATTGACTTCCCTGATGGAGGATGGGTTTTGGGAAAGAAAAGAAAGTTCAAGAGAGGAGGGGAGAAGAAGAGAAGAGGAGGATGACAGAAGAGAAGAGGAGGATGACAGAAGAAGAAGAAGAAAATTTGACGGAGCTTGAGGTGGGGAGGGAGAAATGGAAGTAGCGCATTTGAAGGTTGCGGCCAATGCAGGCGTGGGCTGGGCGGTGTGATAAGACTGTGAGACTGAACTTGGAAGGGAGGGGCAACCAAACCCCTCCCCCTCCTTTGCTCCTTCCCTTGCTCCCCAATGCCATGGCCCATCCATGCTCATGTCAGAAGTCCATGTCGTTGTCGGTCCAACGCCACCGCTCGCGCCGAAGCCAAAAACCATGCTACTTACGCAGTACAAGGGTACATTTATCAATCCACTTTACGTACAAGAGTAGCCGCATCAAGCCCAGCAGCCCAGCAGCACCAAAACATGCTGCTTCATGCAATTGAGGTTGTAGCGTTGTGTACGGCGGAGGCAGCAGCATTGAGGAGACCGACAACGGGCCAGCGACGCGAGCTCAGGTCCAGGCGAGATGGGTCAATTGACTGATGGCGGGGTAAAATCAAATACGTTGAGGGTCTCGGTGGAGAGTCTGCACATGCCCTTGTTGTACATCAATCATGACAGAGCCAAAGCCAATGGGACTCCCCTGCATCCCTGCCTGGTCCTCCGCTTCTCACGTTTATTCCGTTCATTTCAACTCGTCGTACTTTTCATCTAGTTCTCATCTGGTCTGGGTTCGGAGTGGCGGATTGATTGGCCGCGATCGCACATGGGCATAACGACAAGTGGGCAGCACTAGACGAGCAACATTGAACACACAATATACGAAATAATAAGCTCATCAACGCAGCAACGTTCAAGCTCTTTTTTTTTTTTTTTTTGGCGCCTCTAGAAGTATACTAAACTACAATTAAAGCCACCCTCGCTCCTTGTCTCTTGGCTTTTCGGAAATGGTGTGGTGTGTACACAAGTATACTTCGTACATGTAGTGTTGGAACAGTAACCTCGAGATGGGCTTCAGGCTCTACTTCGTACACTACTGATTCTGCACTAACAATGAACTTTCGCGTTGCAATTAACGCCCTATTGCTTTCAATCGTCCCAAGTCTTATTCAAGGATATGAATTCCCATTCGTCCTATGCTGGATGTGGTCAGGATGCCGCACCAGCTTGAGACAAGACCTGGTTGACGGCGCAGACCGGAAAGCATATAGCAAGCCTAATATTGCATGGAAGGCAATCTTTGCAGATTCGCTTCAGCATGAATCCGAGATGTAGGGGTGATGTGTCATCAATTGACTGCTTCAAGCAATTCTAACGCCGACTTGCACTTACAAAACGCCCGTCGTCGACTTCTGTCGCTTTCGACGAGAAATGAACAGGGTCCCTACTTCGTAGGTCCCTCCATTGGGTATCCTCCCTACTTCGTAAGCTGCCCTATCTGTTTTTCGACCTTAATATATATGTATCCTGCCCATTGAACGGCGGTGACCGAGAATGGAAGCTTAGAAGTCTTCGTAAATTGCCCGTTCTGTCGACCTGGGCGATGTCGGAAGCACTACGCAAGAGAGTACAACTTAATGTATCTCGTCTAGCTCGAGATCTCAATGTATCTCCGGTCCTCCCTGGTGAGATGAGACCTCGGATTCCACGGCGGAAAATTTTTTTCCTTTGTTCAAGTGTACACCATATTGCGCCATCGAGATGGAGGGTGTCGGCGACTTTTTTTCTCTCTCCCCCGCCCCCCTCTTATTGAAGAGAGGAGAAGAAGGAAGGCTGGAGTTGAAATTCTCTCGATTACGTGTTCTGATAAAACCTCCGACTGTACAATATACAATTCATGTTGTACAATTGTACTTAATTGATTCAACCAATCTCACTCATCAAGCATGCAAGCAGCCTGGATGCTGCCCCTCCATTGCTCTCTTGCCCCTCCCCCACTAACATTATCATTTGATGCTTTCTTTTATTCCGTTTCTACCCATGCACAAAATTCTGGAGCTACCCCGCCCCCGCCAACCTGGAATATCCTCATCGACGATGAGGTTGCTGGAAATAGAAGAAATCTTGGGCATTGGATCGAGATAATTGCTAATTGGACCAATTCGCCGTATTTATCAGTGCCTAACACAACCCAACGTCGTGAATATACCTTCGACAGCCAACTTGTTAAACGGTCTCCTCTGAAGTCATGGTGAAATCCATTTCCAGATGGGGGTTAGAGTGATTATGTAACAGTTAACAACTCCTCATTAGGAGCGTTGCTTCTCCTGAGTTCAAACTACACTTTACCATCCCACCTAAAGGAAGACACTGGCTGTTGGCGGCAGCCTGATATGTCGATGTATCTCACTCGCCATACGCATTCGTACCCTTACTCTCGACAAAGTAGAATTACAATTCCCCGTCATTCGGCCCTATGCGTTGCACGCTTGTCAGCATTTCAACTCTCGTGCGTATTGATAAGACAGGGAGCGGAGCGTACGCAAGTGAGACTTCGTGTTTTCTGATTCAACGGGCTGTCCTCCTTCCGAGGCTGACGTAGCGGGTTTGGTCGGACCAACCGTCGTGCTCGAAGTCGGTCTTGGTAAAGGGGTTATTTCGGTTCGTCGAACACAATATCTATAACCCTCGAGGAGCAAACACGAAAGCCGATCATTCTCGTCCCAAGTTAAGGATGGGTTCCATTCTACAAATGTTTCGACATCCACTGCGACATGGCTGTGGTATCAGCTTTTTGATCGGCCCTCGAGCTCAAAGACAGCTATAAATACACTTACAGCGTAGAACGAGGCTACAACGGCGCACGAGTTGTACCGCTGCCGGCTAGATCTCCGGGGCGGATCTCTGTGTCGATCATAGTCTTTACAATCATCTGGTGTCCCCGGCGCCGGTGGCAGGTCTAAGGTCCATATCATAGTCGTGGTCGGCCTTGGAGTTGTGTTTGCAGTTGTGGCGCTCGCGATTTCCGTCGGCCACTCCCAGTACGGAGCTGTCTCGTATGAAGTGGAGCAACTCTCCGGCGGAGGCCGTGAGAAGCATGGATTCAGGACGGCCATGCGTCCTCTGACCAGCGTCAGAACTTTCTTTTTCCCAGGAAATCTGGCGGCAAGAAGACATCTGCCCAGATATCTCGATTGCAGGGAAGAGACTCACTGGAAATTAGGGTAATTCCTGATATTACCAACAGGAGCTACGCAGTATGAACGCCCTGCCAATAGGTTGGTACAATCCGGTCTTCCAAGTCCTGGATTAAGGAAAAGAAACTCGGCAATGTCGATATCATGGCTCTCAGTAATGGCAGAACAAGAGTCGCCGCTCTTCACAAGATAGTATTTCCCGCCTGAATAGTTCTCGGTGTTAGTGAACTTCGACTATCAACAGCAAGAGACGAGGCCTTTTTAGGGCATTGTACATTCAGTATTCGTGTCCGGCGCGATATCACTCGGGATAGGCCTGATGAGAGACCGGTAGCGTCAGTGAGTGTCCCTCCACTCGGCCGGGAATATCGGGATACCTACGCGGCGGTGGTAATAGTTGCCTTGGATGAACTTCCGGGGGAACTGTGCCCCAATTAGTATCGCCAGCACGGAAACACCATAAGGCCGGTCGCCTTCGTACCTGATGCAGATTTCGTATCCCACCATTGCCTCCAAGTTAGTACACATCCGGTTAATGGTAGGATTCCACGACTTCAACTGATAGATCGAAAAATGGTGGCCGGGGGCCGTAACAATATCATAGCACGTGTCGTTCTCCTGCACGGTATATACATCACATCTTTGAGGAATGCATAACTCCGTACCTGGCCCAGGAAAGTTCGAACAGCATGATTGGAGGTTGTTTGCGTCCATCAGGTAGAATGTCGATACCCGCTGCGACTTGCTGACTGAGTGGCAGTCATCGCCGTCTTTGACTGTATACGTTGCGACGCAAGATACCTGTGCCGGAGCCGAAGTCGAAGTCGGGTCTGCCGGAGCCGCTTCCGTTGCGGTGTACTCTGCTGGCGGAGTAACCCGATATGTACTGACACCACATCTGTCATATTTATGAGTATGGGCTCTACATTGGTGCCCTTCGGAGTACTCACAATTCTGTCAAAGCAGAGAACTCCTCTGCTATATCCTCGCCCCAACCAAAGACGCTATTTAATTGTACCTCGAGATTCCTCAAGTTGCAGCTTCAGCAAAGCTGGTCGCCCGCGGCCGCCGTGTCGGTGTTCCAGGTCTCCACGAACGGGAAGCAAAACAAATCCGTCTCACTATGTGTTTTTTGTATCTAAATGTCAGTGTTGAGCTCGGGGAATTGGAAACATGCGGTTAAGCCACTAACGTCGGGAGTGGGATAGATATAGATATGTGCTTACGGGTCGCGTAGACAGGTGTAATTGTAAGTGTAGATCAGCATATCTACAGTAAACGTAGGGGGATATTCTACACCGCCGATCTTTGTAATATCGGTGGAATTTGAGCACGACGAGAGCTGCTTTTCGCGAAGCTTTTCCAAGCTCGATAGGCATTCGTCAACGCAGAGGAACTCGAGAAAACGCTGGTCGAGGACGACATCACCACGGCCCATTGGGCTCAGGGCGATGTTGCAAGAAACTGCCTCATTGTATGTGGCACTGCGAGCCAAAGGGTCAACTTAGGGCTGGAAGTAGAGGGGAAATATGTCCTACCTGCACGCCTCTGAGAGACCCTCCGGAGCCTCGATGCTTGGCGGGTCAGTGGAATTGCCGCCTCCGACAAACACTTGGCCGAACGCAAATGGTCGGAGATAGGTCACCCCAAGAAGCTGTTTGGAGGGGCTTAGACGCTTGGTTTCCGAGACGTAACTGTCCGAGAATAAACAATTTTCACGTTATAGAGCTACTTACTAAGACGCAAACCCGGCGAGCTTTAAGAAACATGCTGGGGTCTTTCATCGAGTCGTTCTGGGGTATGTGTGCTTGAGGCTTGTCATGAGCACAATCATGGGCACGGTACCCTCTTAGATCTATAGAGAAAGGCAGACAGTCTTCGGAGCGTTGAGTCATTATCTTGGAGCAACACAACTCCTGGCCTTGTTAAAAAGGTCCCAGTCAGTACGGACATCGCTAGTAACCGAAGGCAACCAAGACCTTTGCCGACAATCCGGCCACCTCTGCCATCGGTGTGCCCAACATCGGTCGCCTGGCAAGGATTCACACTTAGTAAATGGTGAGCCAATATACGACTTATCACGAACCAGCCCAATAGGGCATCCTTGATAAATAGACTCCCCACCATCTCCCACGGCATTAATCTCTTGATTCCAAACGACACGATGAGAAACGCGGCAGCAGGCTAAGGGAAGATCCCCCTCCCTCTCGTCGTCGACCTCCTTTCACCGACGTCTGTCCTTCCTGCGAATATCCGGGACGTCTCTTGATAGCATTTAAATGGCTGAGGACTTGAGGTAGAGTTTATCCGCGCGGTAGGGGAAAACAATCCTTACTTTAGCCAGTACCAAACTGTCGGGACTCGTCAGCATCAAAGGAGAGTCGATCACGCCAGTTCTGTAAAAGATCCGTCATGATCACTCCTCTCGATGATACCACGGATCAACGCGTATCATTCCCTTTCACCGGCGAGGGGAATCACATCCTCCACGATACCTCCACGGTATGGAGCAAAAGTGCCTCTCGACTAGGATTTCAATATAACTGTGACCCTTTCTTCGAAACAGGAGTTTGAAAAGCCGTATGGCTTTTTGACGGTGATATAAGTCTTGGGGGGAAACTTGAAGTGGCCAGCCCGGGGCTACCAGAGATGGCGGCAAAGATGTCCGGTCCATCTATACATCTCCAGGCTAGGATTCAACCACCCGGGGTAAGTCGGAGGCTCTCGCTGCTTACTTATCTAGAGCGCAGATTTTCGGCGTGTCTTAGGATCGCCCGACTCATCTTACTTCACCCTTCGCCCAAGAGAGAGACTTATTGCTTCGTTTCTTGACCACCTCTGGGTCTAGCCATCAGTAAGCGGTGGCCACCCATTGACAGTCTGGGAAGGCAGTTTTGTGCGGACTTGAGGACAGGGAGAGATTGGAGAATGAAGCCCCAGCCAATGACTGGTGGGTGATATGACGATGTCCTATTGTCTCACACATTTTCTGTGAATGCCTAAATGGTCTTTAGGCAAAAGGGTGTGGATATAGCGCCTCTTTATTTATGCAAAGACATGCGCTGTTAGCAAAATATCTGTGTCACCCCAAATCCTAGTGAAAGCTGAAATCAGGAGAGGGGATGGTTCAATGAATGTCCCAGAACTGTTGACTGATTGATACTTCCATTCCTTGTGTCAAAGCAGTCCAAACCATTGAACTATTTCTCTTTTCTAGTTAAAAAATCAACGCTTCATTTCCTTTTATAGTCTCAGATGAAACAGAGATGGCATCAAAGGCAAACCGGGAGACTCTCCAACAGATCTTGGCCGACCATAAAACAGAGCAGCTCCCCGTCACTCCAGAGCTTCGAGAACTTTACCGCCGAGCAATCGAAGATCCTGTCAGCCTCTCGAGGGCCGAGAGGAACCAAATTGTGCGCCTTCTGCCTCCCGAAAAAGAGGACCACATCATACAAACGATGCTGAAATCTGGCTCTAAGGAGGAGCTCATTGCCAAAGCCTATAACGCACCTGACACCTTGTCCAAAGACGAGGCACTCTTCCTTACAACCCGATCGCCTCTTATTTATCTATACATGACGGACGAAGATCTGAAGCTAGGGGATAATGCTTACCAGAGTATAGTTACCAGGGAAGAGCACCAGGCTTGGGCAAACGCTATTGTGAGAAAACATGACATAGCAAAGCAGGAAGCGGATGAGCGGGCGGCCGAGCGTAAGCGCCACATGGAGGCGTACAAGTTGGCAGCCCAGCAGCCTCGAGCGGATTGGGTGCAGAAGATGGTGGATGCAGGCGTTCAGCAGTGGGGGTTCGTCTGCTTCCGGGTTGCCTATACGGGACGAGCCGATGATCCAGCTTGGGACCGATTCAAGGAGTACTATACTGCCACCGGAAAGTACGTGAGCTCTCTATGGAGAGGCCTCTCCGAGCTATGGCCAAAGCACAATACTATCTTCATATCGGATAGCACCTTAGACGGGGTGTCGAGTGAGGCCCTGCGCAAGCGCTTCTCCGAGATGAGAGCCAATAACGAGATTCCCGACGGCGTGCGGACAGATGTTTTCCTCGTCGCTGACGAGGGGACGCTTCTCGATGAGGCTATCCTCTCGGGGAAACCTTACAATGTTTCCCCAGCGACTCTCAACTTCTTCATGCGACATCCTGTCAATTACGTGAAAGTTCCCGCTCCTTTCCTCAAGGCTGTAGATCCGACTCACGATCCAAGCGCTCCGGTGCCAACGAATGGCCCTTATGCCGGGTTTAACGGCGAATTCGAATGTCCCCTGCCAAAGGCCTTTGACTGGCTGAATTATAGTTTTTGGGCGGGAACAGAGACGATGAAGCAACGGTACTGGCAGACCCAGGCCTTCGAATGGATGGTTGACTGGCCACCATTTGCGTCCTACCCGCTCTACAGCTGCAAGGATCCTAAACGATGAAATGAGGCCGGCATTTAAACTACCCTTGCAGGAGTTTCGAGACCAATAAGATTCTGCCATCAGCTGCAATGGCAATTCTAGGCATGGTGGCGATATTCTGAGGGCCTGAAAGTTGACTCTCAATTCGATCGATTGCTGTGTCGTGGCTTCCTCAACAACTCACACCCGTGACAGTGATGTGAAGGTCACCTGCTTGGGTTGATATCTAGATACCCTCGATACCTTGATACATCGACATCCAGCTATATACCTGTTGCCGAAGCCCTCCCTGTGCTGTGAATAAATACACCACAAGGTCTCAGTTGACCTTCCGATCTCTGGGATGACCCCCCGCAGCGTCGATGAGCAATAAGACAGATCAACCTCACTTTATATACGTTAGGAAACCCTCTCTATTTCCACTGTCACGAAGAGATCATGCCCTTTCTTTGCTGTCCCTGGCTACAGAGCCCTTTAGAAGAGAACCCGCCTAACGAACTACGACTAGAAGGCCCGGCCGAGACCGTCGATCTTGCTTTGCACGAAAGTATTCCCCGCCTGGATCGGAGATTCTTACCACTGGCACCTGCAAAACACCCCCCTCTAAGTGGGAACCCACCTCTAGATAGGCCGATGAAAGGATCGTCGGTCCATGGCCAGCCACAAGGCCTACAATGTCGACGGTCCGATCCCGGGTTTTGTCAAGTACGAACTGCTCGACCTCCAAGGCAGCGGCCACGGACAGAAACTTGCTTCCAGGACTACCATCATCGAACCGACCAATCAAGCTCACAGGTTGTCAAGTTCCGGCCCATCGAATAGAACTCGGTGAATGAGCCCACGTCACGGCAGCAGTCTTGTAGCATACAAATACGGAGCAAATTCCGCGAAGAGTTTGATAAGTCGACAGACGGGGCCGTTGGCGATACCTTCGGCGAGGACTATGCTGCCACACCGAAGCAAGGAAGTTTCGATAGAGAAAGGTCGTCATCAACTTGGAAGCCACCCTCCCAGGTCATGTTACGTCCTGCTATACGGCGCGAGATTAGGGGCTCGAACTTCCAACTTGCGCCAGAGAATAACCATGTACGAAGTGATGCCAGGACGTTGTCTCGGGTGTTCCCAGAGGATATGGAGATTACACTAGAATTATGGAAAGACGCGTTTCGGCGAGACAGCCTGGACCGGGCAAACCCTGCCACTACCACATCGGAAGGGGAGTGCCATGTTACCGAAGTTTATTGGAGCGGGATACCTCTAGCCTACGAGAGAAGAATGGATGTGCCACATGTGTCAAGTTCATCTGACATTTCGCCAACATCCAGACGTGTTCCTCGTGCTTTGACACAACGCCACCACGATATAGCCCCTCCAACGACTGGCGGGCGACAGAATCGCCTTTCCCAGGAACAATGTGATCAACAGCCAAGGCGTATTCCTAAATCGTGGGCTAAATGGCCATCGCACACTCGTCCTTCCCGTACGGGACCCGCAAGCGCTGAAGACCTCGTGAACACCAAAGACTTTGCAGTCATTGGCACGAATGAGGAGACGGGATCGATCTGGTGGTCTACGGATAAGCTATACTCAAAGTCAACTCCCCTTTCCCTCCCCGGGAAAATCGAGGAGGCTATGAAAGGGGGCATAAGAAGAATTGTTCCGAAGTTGGCGCTCTTCCGTGTGGGTGGAAATGTACTCCATGGACGTAGGGGGAGTGCGCAGGCCGGGGGAGTATTGGAATATCCGGAACTGGAGATTTTGCCTACCAAGGAGGGATATTGGGAGCTTCGGGCTTTGGAGATGGAGTTGGAGCAAATAAGGGCACTGAGCTGCTCATGACTGGCTTTTAAGGTCGAGGACCAATTAATAAGGTAGGGTTTAGGAGATCATTAGTCTAGGATAATAGGAGACTGGGGCAGGATATATCTCTTACTTCTGTCTTCTTCCAGGTGTGACAACTGTAAGTGGTGAGAAGAATGCCAAGAGTAAGATGATGACCGGATCCGGCTCGGAGGTCTTCCCGCCCCACCGCCGCCACAATTTGAGGTTTGGAACAAAGAGATCAATTGATGCAAAATGGGGAATGCGGAAGAAGTAGACCTTATAGAAAGCGTTAGTTCGACACGTGAACACAAGCAACACAGGGCAGGTAGCTCAGTGGTAGAGCGGAAGATTGCAGTACTCAGCTTGAGAACGCTGCAGACATCTTTAGGTCGCGTGTTCGATCCACGCCCGGCCCTTCTTTTTGCCCTTTTCGTAGAATCTCCAAGATTCTTTCATTCTTTTTGATATTGGATTGCAGTCATGAATATTATTTGGGGTTTCTTTATTGTGATGTTTTTTTCTTCTTCTCTATTTTCTTTCCTTATTCTCCATTGCTCACCAAAAAGTTGCATTTGGCAGCCATTCGCTTGCCAAATTCGAGATCTCTCTTTGATTATGGAGCCGAGATGTTGGGATACCGTTTGCTCTACTGAAGTTTGTCTACGATACCCGAGGCGGCGATACGTTTCCCACCATCCTGGGCTTAGGAACAACAAAACGGGAGGATTTCTCAACAGGCTCCTCGACTAGAAATGGGTATATATCACATCTTATTTCTCAAGGTTTATACTCTTTCCAAACCTCGCATACAGCTCCACCTTGAGCTGGGTCATCTGGTCACGAATAGACGAAAGCTCATCCTCCAACTTCGACACGTCCTCGTCTATCTTTGACGTGGCATTCTCCAGCATCTCCTGCGCCTGTTCCAACTTGACGTGAAAGAAGGCATCTCCAACCTTATACCTGTAGTTTCGAAGAAAGTTCGCATCGCATTAGCAAGATGCCCGTTCGAATCGTTCTCGGTCGAATTGTAGCAGATGGTAATAGCTTTGCTTACGGGACGGTCTCGTCTTCGTCGGCTAGTTCAAGCTCCGTGCTGACATCGTCGAGTTCCTCCTTTTCTTTCTATTTTCCGCCAAAAAATAGCACCAAATAAGGTGTTAGCCCTCTCTTCCGTGGACGGTAGGACAGAGCGCCCGAAAGAAAACGAACCGCCTTGGTCTTGAGCTCCTCCTCCACAACCTGCTCGCGTTGGCTGAGCCGGCTGAATTTGTTAATCTTGTCCTGGTCTTCGCGGCGGACTTGTACTTCGTCTCCGGCGGCTTGCTCGTCCTCCTTCGTAAGCTATATCCTCGTAGTTTTTCGAACGGTTAGCTTCTGATCGGCTATGTTTCCCAAGGGAAATGAGGCAGGGTCATGGGCATTTACCATGCGTCTTTGCATCATTGTGGCGGTGGTATGGGCCGGGGGACTGGCATAATATGAAGTACGAGGAGCTCTCTAATGGGGGAGAGGGGTAGGCGGAGGGTTGGGCGGGCCAGAGACTTTTCGCTGCTCCCTTCGAATTTCTGGCACCCGATCAATCCAGGTCGTGGTCTGGCTGCTTTTTGGCGATGATGACAAGGAGGGATGGGAGGGATGGCGGGGTCGATTTTCCGGGTTGCAGGGGGTTGATATCGCACTGTGTGGGGTTTGGGAGCTCTTGCTCAAAACCAACGACAACAATTTGAACAATTGAAATGAAATATCGAAGACAAAAAGCCTGTCGAGATGGGCCATCCTCAAATGTGACTTTCTTTTCTTTCTTCTTCTTTTCTATTCCCGGAGTCATTGTGTAGTAAAGCAGGTTAGGTACAGGCTACTTCCGCAGTTCCCCAAGCTATGGCGGCGCCAACACAATCTGCGGACAAGCCCATCGCAAATGGTGAAGCCTCTCAAAAAAATGATCGGCCGACGTAGTAGTGCTAGTTGATGGGAATAGAAGTAGAGAAAGTAGGGGGTGAAATGACGTCTCGTGCATTTGAATACAACAATTGTCTTCCGTACTCATCCTGAGGTGAATCTGCAAGCATTCCCAATTTCCCTGGTCAATGATCAGCTCACCTTCCTCCGAGGCATCCAGCAGGCCCTTCATCGTCCACGGCCTGCACTTGTCGCAAGGTACAGCGTTGGTATGGGCGAGTCAAGAATCCTCATCCCCGGCGCTACAGGGCCACTAGGCATCTGTGTCCTGCTCAACCGCCAGCTCTAAACAACATTTATGTTTGAAATGCATCTAGGATCCTGGCGGAGCTGGCATCGAATCTAAATCTCGACGTAAGAAAAGCCTGGAGGACGACGAAAAAGAACAATACAGGCTGCCAATTGGGATTCGCTCCTGACGATTGGTATTGGCCCCTTTCGTATGTCATAGCGTCGTTTGATGACCCGCCCTTCTGGCCTCTTCGCCTATCGTTCTCTCTTTCTCGCGCTTGCGCCGTCTGGGTACCGCGCCGCACTACGTCCGTATCGGCCACTTCTTTCTGGGGAGATGCTAAAGGCCCTGGGCTGGGTCGTTTCCGGCTACCTATGCCGGTCCGGTAGGCTCCGGGTGGGAGCCATATGTGAGAAGGAGGCTGGGACGGTGATAGTTGGCTGAGTATGCGGAGAAAGGTGAACGGTGATTAAGAAGATTCCGGCGGCTATGGTAAGAAGAAGACGAGGAATAATGGAAGGGGATTTTCCACGATTTACGGATGCGACACCTTGTCACGGATCGTTGTAATGTAGACTTTTTTTGAAATGGCTAAAACAGCGCAGGTTAAACATTGATAAAATCGAAATCTCCAACACCATACCACTTAAACCTCGAGAAGAATTGCCGTTTCTGTCTTGTTCGAGTCAGGTCAAGGTAGCGCCTATCAACCTCGCACTATGATACTTCCAGGAGTTACTTGTGTTACTTCGTCGTTCGTATATAGAACCTGCGCGATTGAAGGCTAACGAAGCCGAGCAAAGGACTAGGGGGGATAACATGATGTTGTACTGAGGAACCAAAGACATCAAGTAATTTGCTTCGACGACGAAGTGGAATTATGATTGAAGTCAAAAGCGGAGCGAGCATTGGTGTCATGGCTTCCCCACCCCCCCCCCCCCCCCCCCCCCCCCAAACGAGGTACTCAGTGCCTGCCATGACACGTGATGAGATCAGAGGGACCTTGAAAATACCCCCAAAGTAAACAATTCGATCTGGATCACTTCGTGCACGACAAACGGGAATATCATTAACGACCCAACAACGGCCGCATTTGAAAACGTTGCCTCCGCTCCATTCAAATTACCGGCTACTATGGCGCCGAGCCAGAAATCGTATCCGCGAGGGACGGTAAAGAAGATTGTCAAGGCGCATTCGAATCTCAACATTAGCAAGAATGCTGATGTCTTGGTGCGTCTTCGTTCCCCCACCATGGCGCAATAACGCGTGCAGCTCTGTCTGCCTCGAGACGCGACTGACGGGCTTATTTTGTGACAGATCTTTCTGGACTACGTTTTATTCATGCAGACGTATGTTTTCGACTTGTTGCGATCGATATGAATTTTGGTCGCCCGAGGGTGTGCTGGTTGCTAACCCGTATATTTGGATAGCCTTGTGAAGGAGGCTGCGATCGAGTCCAAGCAAGCTGGCGAACGTGGCATTACGCCGTGGAGTGTAAAGAAAGCTACTCCTGTGAGTTCCTACAGGTATCCTCCCTACCGTAGAGAACGCGGGAGACATTATTGACGGGTTCTAATATCGCATGCGATTAGGACGCCCTCGCAAAATTCAAGGGCTGAGCGAAGGGCCATGGATTCGGCATGCGACAACACGCCCACTTAGCGATGAATGCATCAACATCAAACGCGACCGATACTTCTTCGCAGTGCGCGATACATCACTTGGGACTAGCGCGCCGACGTCTTATCGCACCGGGTCTCTTCCAGCCTCGAATCTCGACGAATACATCGGCGAACGAACATTTGAGAATGGAATAAGATAATGCATGTCCGTGTCGAGCTCAATATTTGGCTAGTGGGGAGAAACGGCCGGACTTATTAGTCTTGGGACGTCCGTTTGTGTAGCAATCTTCGATAGGCAGCACGGGAACGGGCATGCCGAAAATGCAGGCATTGGCAGGAATGGCCAATTGTGGGGTCTGGAAGAGATGCAAACAGCATCAGGTCCGTCCCCGAATACAACTTTTGAAGCATTCAAATATACAAACAACTCAGGGTGGTGGCGAGATTGAGGAGGTGGCGCGCAGCCCCCAGGATTTATAGGCTTGTACTCCGTAGTCTTAAAATCAGGAATGCCTCGTTGAGAAAGTAACCCACGTTGGTTTGAAAAAGGTGACGATGTTGCGCTCGCCTTGCTGGGCCTCTGGCAGATTGATTGATGCAAGGCAGTCCAATCAGTCCAATGGTCCACTCCTGGATGCCAGCGTCGAGAACAAACAGGGCCCTCGGCTATGGGATGATGTGCTTCATTGTCGTAGATTCTAGAAAACTCTCCCTGCCATTGCGGGGTGTAATTACAGCTCGGGGGAGCTGGTCACTCCTTCGCCCTTCTTGTCCAACTGCACGGTTCGTCGCGCCTCAAGCGGAGCTGCACTGGCATTGGATGAGCCAAACTGGAGCCTAAACTAGCGTCAAATGTAGGGCATTGATGCTGTAATAGCGCATGAGATGCACCGATCATGGCAATTGGAGTCGACCTGCGAGGCGAGCAGCCAGTGCGTGGTTGGTTTGCCTGGCTTGCTGCTTGCGGGCACCAGCGGCAAGAATGGTGAAGGTACCTCGTGGAGTACTTTCGGCAGGAAGAGCCCAGTCTGAGCACTGGAGCAGCCTCCCTTTCCATATTACACAATAGATCCGTGCCTCGTCAGAATTCAGAATTTCAAGGAATTCTCCCCCCAAAAATTCTCCCAATTCTCCTCGTTAGATCAACATCCATTGATTCCCCCAAAATACCTGTTCACAAACCCCTTTGTATTCTCTTATCATACTCTTCCTCCCTCCGACACCCTCGAATCTCCTTCTCGAACCCCGAGTTTGCGAGTTCCTTACGTCACACCATCACCTTCCCAAAACGCACCCAACCCTAGCGCATCACGCCCCAAAGACGCGCCTGCGCCCACCATCATCAAACTCCGATTTTGCAAGATCCAGTGGTCTTGCAGCACCGTCGAATCGTAACCTCCGAAGCGACATCCTCCTTTCCTTTATTTCTCTCTGGACCCTGAACCTCGCCCTGGTCCATTCCTTCATATCCTAAACCTTTATCACAGAAGCATTGGGACTGCGACGCACAATGGCTGCCCCCGCTGTTCAGTCCGCCCAATCTGGTGCTAAGGCCTCCAAGAAGAAGGCCAAGCTTGCCGACAGGACGGCTTCCCCCGCTCCCCCCGTTTCGCCTGCCCCCGAGAAGGAGACAGCCGAGGATCAGCAGGAGAGTTCTTACATCCGCGAGCTTCAGAAGTGAGCATACCTTCATCCAGCCACTGTTCGTTGTTCTTGGCTAATCTTTGTTTTCTCCCCAATTTTCTAGGAACATCCGCAATGTCAACAAGAAGATTGTGAGTAGCTTACCCCCCCACACTCTGCGTAGCTCTGCGCTGAACCTACATAACCGGACGGTGCTTTTGCGCCATCGTGTTTTAGTCCGAACACAAGTCAATTAACATCTTTCCGCCCAGGCCAACGCTTCCAAGACGGATGCCCTGCTCAAGGAGCATGCCGGAAAATCTCTCGACGAACTTGTTGCCGACCGAGTCATCAATGCCGATCAGAAAGCCCAGATTTTGAAGAAGCCCGCCCTCCAGACCCAGCTCAGCCAACTCGAGGAGCAGCTCGCCCAGTACAAGAAGGTGGATGCCGACTACCGGTCGCGCACCGAGGCTGAAATTGAGCGTATCCAGACTTCTCTGACGGAAAAGTTTGAGAAGGAAAAGGCCGATGCTATCCGGGAGATCGAGGAGAAGGCCGAGGCTGATCTCAAGCGATCTCTGCATGACAACTTCCTTATTCTTTCCCAATTCCTTCGTCTTGCCGCCGCTCGACGTGCTGAGGAGGCCGACCCCACGTTAGATGAGAACCTCGCGCTCGAGGGTCTTCTCCTGGCTGTTTATGGTGGTGACGAGAGCGCCGTCAGTGCCATGCTCAAGCTGGCAGAGGGCACGGACGACCTGACTCAAAGCACTGCGGGTGAGCAGCTGCAATCGACCTGTAAGTTTCTTCCGTTGTCTTTGATATCGAGGTAAGCCTTGCGCATGGAGTTCATGTTACTAACTGGCCTGTCAGATGCCCATGTCAAGTCCATCTCCCAGGCTTACCTCGCTCAATACGAGGTCACCCAGGAGGAGCCGGAGGCCACGCCTGCTGTTGAGGCCGAGCCCGCGGACGCTGCCGCAGCCTCCGCAACCGAAACCGAGCAGGTCGAGGCTGCTCCCGCCGAGGCGGTGAATGGTGACGCTGCTGCCGCCGCGGACACCAACGGAGCTGCCCCTGCTGCGGAAGAGGCCGCTGCTGCTCCTGAAAGTGCTGCCGATCTCTCGACCTCTCAGGAGTGGGTTTCCGTTCCTCGACCTGCGGAACCCGAGTCGAGCACTGAGCCGAGCCCTGTTGCCCCCACCAACGGTCAGTCTTGGGCTGATGACCATCCCGAGACACCTGCCGATGTAAGTTGAGACGCCCTGCCTAACCGCCCACCACCCCGCCGCGTCTCCCAAATTCCTAATAGGAGTCTCGTCTCTAACTTAATTTTATAGGCTCCCGCCGCTGCTACCCCTGCCGATCCCAACGACGGCTTCCACCAGGTTCAGCGACACCGTGGTCGTCACGACCGTGAGGGAGGAGGCTGGCGAGGCCGGGGCCGTGGAGACTGGCGTGGCCGTGGCCACCGAGGTGATGGCCGCGGTCGCCGTGGAGGATCCCGGGGAGGAAGTGGTGGCATGGGTCATCGAGGCCCTCGCCGAACTGAGGAGTCTTAGATGAATCCTCAAACCAGGCCAACAGGCACACTCAACTTTGGCGGGTGTCTCCTCGTCAAGTGACGACTGCCTGAATTTTGTCATTACCCAGCATTGCATTATCCCACTGAGATGCCCTCCCTATCCGCCCTTGTACTCTTATCCCCTCACACCTCCTGACTATGATTTCATTGTCTTTTGTTTTTTTCCCCGCACAGCATGCGACTAGGATGGTATAAAAAAAGAGGTAGTGGTTAAAAATGGCATATTTGGTCCTGCATCTTTTTGTTTCTTTCATCTGTTAAGGAGGAATGGAAAGGGAAAGCGGTGAAACGTGTCTATGAAAACAAAAACATATTCATTGTGCTCTTCTGGCCGGCGGCTTTGGAGTTTTCTCTTTTTTCGAAAGGCGGCGTCGTTTTTACCCATCATCAGCATCTACTGCTACTACTACTACATCATCATCACCATCAACTCTATCCATAATCTCTTGGGGGAGAGGGGCTTTCACCATTTCAGAACCCTTACCTGGCTCGTACCTGAATGAGAGGGTTTGCGTCGTGGGAACGGGGCAAGTGTGTACAATGTTTGAAAGATAGCTTGGTAGATGGCTTACATAAAATGGAGAGGTTAAATACCCGGGAGATTGATGTTCTTTTTTTTTTTTCCAGATTTTGTGAATGTTTTGTGTCATGTAGACATGACAATTATTTGCTCCTTGGAAACTTGTACATAGCTGTTCGTGGTTCGGTGAGGCTCACCGAAGAGCCCCACCTAAAACTCGGGGTGGGTGGCGCAGGTCAAAAGTGCTCCTTCCCCAGGTTTCAAGCTTCAGCAACCATCCTTCAACTTCAAGTTTTCAATTGCCCCAATCCTCGCCACTCAATCACCTCCATCCCGTTCCACACCGTCGCGCATCTATCTCGGTATTATTCTCCGTATTCGACGAGAACTCAATTACAATCCTCTTCTCCTCTATTTATTTTCAGCGAAGAGCACCTCCGTTACCAAATAAAATCAGCGACACATCACACAACCACCTCTCTAAAACCCCAAAGTCCCGTTGAGGGAGATTGAAAAAAATGGACGATACACCCAAGGAAAGAGAGGCTTCTCCGCCGCCTAGGAGAGATTCGAGGAGCAGATCCCCCCGCGGACCGAAACCCGAGCGAGACGACGATAAGGAGCGGCGCCGCGATGGTGAAGAGAGGAGGGACGCGAGGGACCGAGATGGGGATAGGCAATACCGCGATAGGAGAGATTGGGATCGCGAGGGTGGGAGATGGGGGAGAGATGGTGGTCGGGGTTGGGATCGGGACAGGGGGAGGGAGAGGGATCGAGGATGGGGCGGTCGTGATCGCGATCGGGACAGGGACGGTCGGAGGGATTGGGACAGAGATAGGGACAGGGACAGCAACAGAGAGCGGGAGGATAACCGAGACCGGGGACGCGAGAGAGGAGGAGCGGATAGGGAACGCCGACCACCTCGCGCAGGAGGTTTTAAGTTTAAAGAAAAGCGAAGCGAAGGCTCCGACTCCCGCGACGACGGCCCCCGACGAAACCACCGCCCTCGCTCCCGCTCACCGCGCCGAAACGACCGCGACGCCCGCGCTAAAGACTCGTCGGAAAAGCGCGAGAAGAAGCCCAGGCCCAGCACCACCGCGACGTCCGGTGGGGAGCCGATGATCGTGGTGCACGTCAACGATCGGCTGGGTACGAAGGCGGCGATCCCGTGCTTCGCGTCGGATTCGATTAAGAATTTCAAGATTTTGGTGGCGGCGCGGGTGGGTAGGGAACCGCATGAGATCCTGCTCAAGAGGCAGGGGGAAAGGCCGTTTAAGGATCAGTTGTCGTTGGAGGATTATGGGGTTAGCAATGGGGTGCAGTTGGATTTGGAAGTGGATACGGGGGATTAGGATGGTTCTACGGCTGTTTACGAGGGTTTTTGTTTCATGAAGAGCTTTTGTATTCTACTGGGCTGGAATATAATAGATCTCTAATTCTAGGACATCGGGATGTCTTTTCTTGTCTCGAATGCTGCCTGGGTGGCGTCCTCAATGTTTGATGCAAGTGATGCGGTGGCTGGGTCACATGATATCGCGCCTGGATTTGGTGATGCTTAACAAGTGGGGGCGAAATTTGGCGCGTCACTTCGCGCCCTATCAATGACATCCCCAGTTCATGCAATACTTCTTCTCATGTTTAATCCCCCAATCTCACATATCTAGACTCTCCGTCCAGCTTCAAACCATCTCCATTTAATCCTCAACAAAAAATAACATCAAAATCAACTTGTCTTGCCCAGTCCGCGACCAACACCTCACCCAGACAATGGCAGCCACCAAGACCCAAACCAAGGTCTCGAGACCAAAACGACCAACCACACACACCTCCAAAATCACCAAATTCACAACATCAACCCCCAAACCCACCAAATTCACCCCCTCCCCAGCAACCCAACAACAACTCACCCGCATCGCAAACTCCACCCGCTCCCCCTTCGAAAAACGCGTCTACTCAACCCTCTGCCAAGTGCCCCGCGGCCAATTCACGACCTACGGCGCCCTCGCAGCGCATCTTGGCTCCTCGCCCCGCGCCATCGGCAACGCCATGCGCAGGAACCCTTTCGCCCCCGAAGTCCCCTGCCATAGGGTCGTCGCTACGGGGGGTACGTTGGGCGGGTTCAAGGGCCAGTGGGTTAAGAGTGAGAAGGAGGGGGGTGGGAGGTTGGGGATTACGTTGGAGGAGAAGGTTGGGCTTTTGAAGGGGGAGGGGGTGAGGTTTGCGCCGGATGGGAGGAGGGTTGTTGGGAGTCCTTTTGTGGGATTTGTTTAAGAGGGGGGAAGAGAAGAGAGGGTATGAAGGGGGAGGGATGGGATAGGAGGATGGATCGGTGATGATCGGTGTATTGATGATTTGATGTTTTCCTTTCTCTGGAGTTTGTTTTCGGGAGTACACTACACACTCTCTTTTCTTCGGCAGTCTCGGCTCGGCACGTCCTCTTTTCTCGCCGACAGTTTATGTTTGTCAAAGGAAAATGGAATGAATATACTGGATATCTTTTGCTTGAAGAATTTCGAGATACTCCAACGTTTCTAAATCGCCACTCAGTCATCAAACCCAGCAAATTCCTCCTCCGCCTCCGCACCCTTCTTCACCTTAACCTCCTTCACCGCCATATTCCGCCTCCTCACCTCCTCAATCAACTCATTCAACTCCATCTTCTTCACCTTCTCCTCCTCAGTCATCTTCGCATCCGTCTCAGCCTCCTTCCTCTTCCTCCTCTTCTCCCTCCTCGCCGACCGCACATCATCCTTCTCCTGCTTGCCGCTCCACGCCTCATTCTTCTTCTTCCTCTTCTTAGAATACTTGGACGAATCCGGCACCTCGCCGTTCGCCCTGGCCGCTTTCTCGGCCTCTAGCGCTTCTTTGCGCTGCTGCTCTCGTGCCTTGTCTTTGTACGCGTACGTGTCCCAGTCCACTTCCTGGCCCAGCGTCCGATCGCCTTCCCACTTCTTGACCTCGGGCATCTTAGGTAGCCGGAGGAGACCCCAGGCGTTGCCGAGATCGGCCCAGTCTAGATCCGCGAGCCGGAATATGGATGCGGCCTGGTGATTGGCGTAGCTGCGGACCCAGGAGACGAAGGCCTTTTGCGCCTTGTCGTGCAGGGCGCGGTCGGCGCGGAGGAGCTGGCGTATCCGCTCGGACGCAGAGGCCGCATCGTTTGCGGAAACCTTGACGGCGGGCTTCTGAAGAGGGGAAATCGGCGTTTGCCTCACCCCGAGCAGGGTGACGTATTCCTCTTCACGGCCTTCGTGGAGCATCACCACGGCCAATCCTTTGCGACCGGCCCTTCCTGCGCGCCCACATCGGTGGATGAAAGCTTTTGTGTCTGACGGAGGGTCGATCTGGACGACGAGATCGACGGAGGGAAAGTCGAGACCGCGAGAGGCGAGGTCGGTGGTGAGGAGAATCGTGGGCGACACGCAGGTAAGGAAGCGGTTAAAGTTCTTTTCTCTGACCTTAGCCGGGTGCTTGCCGTGGAGGCAGAGGAGGGAAAACCCTTCCGGCAGAAGCATGGGGAGTACGTGCTGGAAGTAGTCGACCGCGGCGCATGTCGACAAGAATATCATGCTCCGCTGCGGTCGCTGCTGGAGCTTCTCGAGGAGTTGGCAGAGGAGCGGGAGCTTGTGGCTGGCGGGCCCCGTGAGGTATGACATCTGGAGACTCGCCGGCACCTTTCTGTCCTCGATGACACCGCCGTCCTTCAGGCTCTTTACCCTGACTGTAATTTTCACAGGGTTCCTAAGTCCCACCCTAATAATCTCGCTCACGGCATCGGACACGGAGGCGCTGAAGAGACCGGTCCGGCGCTGCTTCGGGAGGTGACCAAGGATTCTTTGTAAGTCTTGCTTGAAACCGAGGTCCAAGAGGCGGTCGGCCTCATCGAGGATCAGAACTTCGAAGCCGGCGGCTCCCTTACAATGGACGTAGGGAGACGCCAGAAGCTCGACGAGTCGACCGGGCGTAGCAACGAGCAGGTTCGGAGAATGCCTCATGAAGAAGGCAAGATCTTGCGCCGGCGTCGTCGTTCCGCCCACGAGTAGCTGTGGCACCACTACGGGGCTCGCCGCATCGGGTCGCTTTTCTTCTTCCTGGAGATAGGGAAGAAGCTGGGCTGAGGGTTCGTGGAACTCGAGCATGGAGAGGAGGACGGAATGGATCTGGGTAGCGAGCTCTCGGGTGGGGCTCACGACGATGGCGGCTACGTGGTGTCGTTTGAGGTCTTCGATACCGAGGACCTTTTTCACGGTGGGCATGAGGAAGGCAAGAGTCTTTCCGCTTCCAGTAACAGCCTGGATAACATTGCTTCGTTAGCATGTGTCGTCGCGTTGTATAAGATGTGACACCTCAACGGGGTCTCCAATATGGATGTATCATACCTCAACGACAACGTCGGCTCCGCGTTCCAGGAACTGAGGAAGACAACTGGCTTGCACAGCCGTCATCTTCCTGTAGCCCATGCTCGAGGCATAGGACTTCATCCAGTCTGGGATGTTGACGGCATCCCAGGACCGAGGGTCAATGCCAGACTTTTGCTTGCTCATTGTGCGTCCTCAGTCGAAGGATGGTATAATTGTAAAGTAATCTCGACCCTCCTGACACAAGGAAAGAGTGCCCTTCTATATGGGCATGCAGAATGGTTCCATGAAGATTCCTCCAGGTGCAACTTTTCCACAATGCATTCACCAAAAAATGATCCCCCACCAAAAAAAAGTTGCAAAATCGAATCCAAGTCGCTGCCAGAAAAAATAAAGTGGATCCAAGGCCGATAAGGTTCTGATAAGAAGAGTGGTCCGTGCATGTTGATTGACAGTCACATGTCTTTTATTAGGTTCAATTGACACCGCAGTCACTGACAACATTGCAGATGCCCCAGAAAAAGGGTTTCAATATCCAGCAGTCTTCCAGTCCTTCCGGAATTGGGGTTTTCGAGATTGAAGAAGACGAACTCCGCAGAAAACACACGATTTTAACACACCGTCAACATCTTGCGTTGATGCGAATAAAGTGGTAATGACGGAACGATGGTTCTGGAAAGAAACAGCTAATGATGACACGAGACCTAATTGCGGTCAAGAAAGGTACATAATATGTACATTTGATACCATCCGCGGAGGCTATGCTATTAATGTACCAAGAGGGTTCTCTAGAAAAAAATAGAAGTAGCCGTGGCGGTTTTAGCGGCCAAAATTAGCGCCAAGTACACCACGAAGTAAGTGGGCAGGCGAGCTGGAGGGAAAAAAAAGCAGAAACGGCAGGAGAGCATGAGGGAAGGAAGAACCACCAAAAAAACAAGGACGGAAAATTTCTGCTGCCCGACCCAAAATCCCGTCCTTTCCAACGGCCTCCGATGGGACCCCGTTCATCGACCTAAATTATAAAAGTCAATATACTCTCTCTTTCCCTAATAAATGCGTAGACTCCCCGGTCTGGCATGTCCTCACACTTGCCCTGCCACTCTCGTGACGGGCCCGACAAACCCGCGCACCTGCACCCTCCAGCAGCAGCAGACCCAGTGACGGAATCTCTCAGCAAACTATACTACTTCTATACAGTCCTACTCCGAGGCACAGGCACACCCTCATCTCCCTCCCACTCCACACCGAATAATTATCAGCAGCATCATGCGGCAGAGTCGGACTCTGCTGCCCCATCCTCTCTAGTCACCGTGGATCCTACTACAAGCGACGCCGAATCCGACCCTGTCACCTCAAATCCGAGTCCGAGCCACGCCGCCAACGGTCGCGGCTACTTCCACTCTTTGTTCCATTACTTGGTCCCATCGCCCACTCGTTCCTCGAGGAAAGATACCCATCTCCGCTCCACAACGCCTTGGTCGCTACCGCTACTCTCCCTCCAACGCTCTTTCGTCGGCACCCTCTGCTGTCCGGCGCTTCCGCCTTTGGAACTGAACATGTCGCTGAGAAGACGGTCTGCCGTGCCTGCGACGCCTCGCGTCATCTCGCCGAGTCCGACCCCCTCCGAATCGGAATCATCCTCCTATTTCCCTCCCGTTACGCGCTCCGCTGCGAGGCGAGCTGCTACTCCTCGACCCCTCGAGGAAATTACAGACGAAGATGACGACGCTCCGCAAACCCGGAGATCCCGGACGAGGAGCCGCTCTCCCATGGAAACGGCGCGTATCCGGCGCCTGACCTCGTCTCGTCGAAAGTCGAGCTCCTCATCCACTAAGCGCCCCGACGTCGTCAAACCATCCGAACCGATCGTCGCCAACGGCAAGACTACTACTCCTACTACTACCGCTACTACCGAGGTGAACGGCCACCTCGCGCCGCCGGCGCCCGCCACCCCGCTAGGCTGGAGTTGGAGGGATTTCAGCCGTAGCCCCAGCCCTCTCGGCCTCATCCCGATACACCGACATTGGCGCACGTTCGTTCACAAGCACGAGGTGCCCCGCAAGGCCCTGCACGTGTCGATCGGCTTCTTTACGCTTTGGCTCTACATCGGCGGCACGCAGACCGGCGCCGTCGCGCCCTGGCTCCTAGCGGCTTTAATACCCATTGCTACGGTCGACTATCTTAGATTCAACTTCCCGTCGTTCAACCGCATATACGTCATGGTTCTCGGCGCCCTCATGAGGGAGAGCGAATACTCTGGATGGAACGGCGTCATCTTCTACCTCCTCGGCGCCTGGATCGTCCTCTACTTCTTCCCCAAGGACGTCGGCATCATGGGCGTCCTGCTCCTCAGCTGGTGCGATACCGCCGCCAGCACCTTCGGCCGACTCTTCGGTCGCTACACGCCTAGGATCCGCCGCGGAAAGTCCCTCGCCGGATCCTTCGCCGCCTTCCTCGTCGGCGTCGCTACGTCTTGGTATTTCTGGGGCTGGCTGGCGCCCAAGACGGGACCTTTCCCTGGTGACGAGACGTATCCCTTCATGTTTACGAACATCCTTCGACTCCCCAGCATCTTGTCCAACACCCTGGGCTTGTCCGAGGCCCAGGCGAGCATCTCGGGTAACCTCGCCCTCGCCGTCATGTCTATCTGGTCGGGATTCGTCGCCGCTGGCAGCGAAGTTATAGACCTGTTTGGCTGGGACGACAATCTCACCATTCCAGTACTCAGCGGCATCGGTATTTGGGGTTTCCTCAAGGTTTTTGGTTAGATTTGGTGGGGACATTTTTTAGGGGCAACCCTTGGGGGGTTAGATTCGGTAATTTGGGTTCGGTAATCAAGATGTTGTTTTCTTCTGAATTTACATCTGATATCGCCCCACATCTGGACTGACCATCTCTCAACTCTGTCCTGTTTCTTCTTACCTGTCATTCTGGTTCTTTTACTTTTGGAGAGGGAATGCTTGCGGCGTCATCTTAACTAGACGGTCTTTGGTTAGGGGAGACGACCACTTACGGACAGGGCAAAGGTGCAAAGACTTCAGTGTTCTTTCAGCCAAGCTCTCATTTCGAGGGAACGCCACTCTCACCCCATCCGACCGAGAAGTTCAGGGAAAAAAGCCGAATACGTTTCATGGGATGAAGATATGATGGGACGTCCGGGTAGTGGGAATGAAGGGCGGTAATTAATCTGGGGATTCGATTTATTTTTCTTTTGTTTCTTCCACTCTCGCTCTCTCTCTCATTTTTACACTTGTAACATTAAGAAAAAGCTTTATGGCGGAAACTGGGCATTGCAGACACACACAACACACGTAGATAACTTGCACCTTGAGCTATTTTTTTTCATCACAATAGACATGATTTGCATGAAAGCTGAGTATGGCGTATTTGAAGCTGGAGTCTTATGAGATCCTTCCCCACAATGTCTTCCCCCTTCGTCCATTCCATGGGAGGGGCTGAAGAAAGGTAATGAAATTACCCACTTCCGAAGTGAACCTACGAAGTATATCCATTACACTACGGTCCAGACCTAATGAAGCCCGTGATCATCTGCACTATGTAAATTGGGTGCATGTAGTGCTTTGCGCTAGCGCTCTAATTAGACTAGGATGGACTTGGTTTTTTTTTCTCTTGGTCAGGATTGTCGTGATGATGTTGTCTTGCTGTCGGTTCTGATTCGGTTCGGTTGTGTGTGTTTACCAGAAGGGGGGTTGAAGACGGTAGTAGATCGGGTGTTGCCGCAATGGCTCTGGTGAGTTGGACAGAACATTAATGTTCTCTGTGTTGAGGAGGCAATTGACATACATAATTGGGATCGGATCGGCCTTGGTCCTGAGCAAGGCCTCGGAAGCCCGGATATGGAACTCATGAGGGCTTTGAGAGGCGTAATGTTGGGAGGAGGAAGCTGGTCCAGGCTTGGAAGAGGTTGTCTGCGATGTCGTGCAGGATTTTGTGGAACCTGGAGACCTGGAGACCTGGAGCCGAACGGATTTCGATCAATTGATGCATTAATGGTGCAGCTAAGGGGAGGGATATATGTCCAGGAGGATGCTATCGAACTTGGCATCATTGGGACTGCAGACTGCACTGATACTTCGTAACTGCGGATGATGCTCCATAGCGTTCCTGGCTGGCTTGGATATCTGACCCCGTCGTACAGAGTACAGAAAAAAACAGGGTTCCTTCGAGTGCCACCTCATCTTTGAGGTAATATCGGACAGAATAAGATAAACATCTCAATCTATACTTACCATCCCTCATAGATCCCCCCCGTCCATGCATTGGCTTCAACGGAAGGATATACTTCCTAGGGTGGGGGGAATAATACTTCAATGCTTGTAATATTTGCGACTGCCTGGAGGGGTGAAAGTCCCGCCTTCTCAGGGGATCGGCGATGATGTCACTCATCTAATCGACTACGAATACACTTTGACAAGAGGAGAACAAGACAACCGGAAACGGTGAATACTTGAGGCAGACCACAAGGAAGATACTCGGCCAGGCTGAATTCATTGGTGAGGCAGAACTTCATGCAAAAATCATGTTTGTACGACGTCGGAGGTTTTCTTCAGAATTACATATCAGCCACGGAATGAATACAATTGGTGTTTAAACAGAACATCGCCAACTCCCAGCTCCCTGACCGTCAAGTAGCTGATACCGCCCGGCCATTGGAACGTCAACTTGTCCCCCAACCCGTTTGCGATCATGTGCTCTCTCGAGTCCGCGCACCAACTTTTTTTAGCTTTCTCGTGCGGAAAGCGGGGGAACAAGCAACTGGCGAAGCCCACGCTTACAGGCGAACCTAGGCCGGAATGAAGCCACGATGCGATTCATGTAACGTCCTACACCCACCACCAAAAGCAAACAAACCACGAAGTAGAATATTTCACAGGGGGTAAAGGTGGGGGGTCTGTATATCCAGCTTCGCGGTGAAAGAAAAAGATAGAAAAAGACGGAAAAAAAAGTAAGTAAAGATAGATATTAACAAACAGTCCGGTCCATGGCGCGGCTTATAATTCTCTTCTTACGGATTAGCCCTCGACAAGCGTACGCTATATTCCCTGCATCTCAAGGGTCGTACATTTCTGCAACCTACATTACATTAGATCAAATTACACTTTTTTCCCCCCTTTCTTCTTTTTTTTTGATATACATACATATCCACTCACTGTCGGTGTCGGGTG